TTTTTTGATGCAGAGGTAATTTTAAATTATGACAGACTCTATTTATTGCCATGGTCCAAAATTATGAAATCCTGTGGGATAGACCATGTCTGTGTGTATAATATATTGCATGTTATTTATCAGGTTATTTATTACTACTTATCACTTTTATTTAACATTAAGATTATACATTTAGATAGACCATACATACATATGTACTTCTTATTGTATGTTACAAAGAGCTTGACATTTTCATCGTATTCTCTGTTTTCTTAACTACCAATCTGATTAGGTAGATTTCTTGTTTTGGACAATCAATATGCGATTATCTTAAGTTATTTTTGAACAATTAATAATCAAAAGATTTATGTTACAATACAGAAAATTGGTTTATTCATGAAATATGTTATGTAGAAGGATACTTTAATTTAGTTCTTCATATACGGATTGTTACTGTTGATTTGTACACACATCACCTGATACATCAAAGTGTTTAGCATGATCATTTTACAGAAGCTTGGCAAGGGAATATTTCTACTAAATGTCATATTCATTTGTTTGGATATTTCCTCATCAGCAAAGATGCAGTATATTTATCTGAAGATGTAATCATTAAAGAACGGATTCAGTTTCAAAATTTGATGAAGTACTATAAATATGAATATGATTTATTCTATTATGTAACTAACAGTTGTCCCTTGGTGGGAAAGGCAACACTTTATATCATGCACTTAAAGAATGCAAACCTTGAAATGGGATAAATATTACTGGTACACATTCACACATATATTTCATGGCATGCATGCCTCATGTTTTGATAGGCGTAGAAGCACCTTATGATCTGCATGTACACCCTTTATGACATGCATGTACACATTTTATGACCAACATATACACAGCTATGACATATAAATACACATCTTATGACCTACATATAAATAGCTATGACATGCATGTAGACATCTTATAACCTACATATACACAGTTATAACATACAAATAAACACCTTATTACCTACAAATACACATCTTATGACCTACATATAGACAGTTATGACATTCAAGCGCATATATTGTGACCTACATTTACATAGCTATTTTGTACAAATACATTTTATGACCTACATATAAACTGCTATGACCTGCATGCAGACATCTTGTGAGCTACATAAACACAGCTATGACATACAAATACACACCTTATGACCTACCTATAAACAACTATGTCCTACATATACACATCTTATGATCCACATATATACAATTATGACATACAAATACACATCTTAGGACAAACCTATCAACATCTATGACATACAAATACACATCTTATGACCTACCTATTAACAGCTATGACATACAAATACACATCTGTGACCTACCTATTAACAGCTATGACATACAAATACACATATTATGACCTACCTATTAACAGCTATGACATACAAATACACATCTATGACCTACCTATTAACAGCTATGACATATAAATACACATCTTATGACCTACATATAAGCTGCTATGACATGCATGTAGACATCTTATGACCTGTATATAGTCAGTTATGATATTTACGTGCACGTATTGTGACCTAAAGGTACATAGTTATGACATTCAAATGCTCAAATTATGAGCTTTACTGTTTATGCACACAGTTTTAACCTACAAGTATACAGTTTATGACCTACATGTACAGTTTTAGCAAACATGAACACATTTGGACATTATTTCCCGCTTCTTATGAGATGTGCACGTGTATACATGCATCTCGTGACACATTATTTACACGTGACATATACGTAGACAAGTTACATAATCACCTTATACTGGTAACATAATACATATTTAAAGCAAAAGAAATCAGTTTAAGTCAGCCCAAGACATTTTCTCAATACAGATATCTATTGAAACGTAACTCAGTTTATTTTGAAAATATTTTTACATATCAAGTACAGATGTACATCTGCCGAAACGGCAGTATTATGCAGAAGTTGTATATTTAAAAACAATACATCTATTTTATGCTACACAAAAGACAAAATGAATGTTTTTCAAGCATTAAAATCATTATATAACGGTTACTCTAATTTTATTCTTGCTTGTTTAGACATATGAAGCTGAGAAAATTTATTAATTTTAAGTGTTACCTTTTAAATCTAATATGGTTGAGTGATGATGTGTTTAGAATAAACATGTTTTAAATGTTTCTTCCGTGTCATTGTTACATTATATATGTGTACACTGGTATTAAATGTATCTTTTTTAGGCCCTATCTCGACTGATTACTGCATTACATTACAATTACTTACAGTAGTTTATGTCGCAATGAAGACTTCTGTTACCAAGCATGAACTGTACATTATATGTGAAATGCAAACCCAGAGTGCTTTTGTCAAGAAACTTATAACCGAGAAGGATAACAATGGTATATTTCAGATGGAATTTATAAATAAAACATATAGCTGCCTATCAAATATCTAACATACTGATGGATCAAAGAAGAACATTTGATTCCAGCATATCATAAATATCGTGCACCACGCCAGATATGCAACAAGTTCTTGTTTAAATTGCAAGCAAATTATTGTGTTTTATAGGATGTCTGAATACCCAGAGGTCGAACAAATCATGGTCAGCTCGGCATTCAGCATAAACAGCTCGAGCGTATCCATGCTGCAAACTATATCTCAAATTCATAAACACTTCTTTGTTTTTATTCTCCCGGATCGAAACATCGGGGATATATTGTTTTTGTGCTGTCTGTTTGTCCGTCTGTTGTTATCTTTAACTTTGCCCATAAATATTGTACCGTAAGAGTTAGTTCAAGACCTTTCCGGTGGTACCAATATGTGACCTTGACCATGACCTTTGACCTACATTTGAAAAATTGTGCATGCAATAATCACATGCCTTACACAGTGCAGTTTTAATGTCCCACTTCAGAAATTTGCTGCAATCGTGGGCATAATGTTTCATAAATATATCTTTATTATTGATTTCTCCCTATTCCAACACCCTTCTCTAAGTCCTTGTCCTGTTGCCGATTTTGATGAAAACTAGGTGACTGAATAATATCTCAACGCAAACTGTATTTTGCTTCGTTTTTAAAACTGTTAAGTAGCATGTAATGCATGACGTTCAAATTCATTATATATTGATACTGTGCGGAGAGTTCGATAAAACTTTGGTATGAATTAAATTATTGTTTTATTTCTATAACATATGCATGTTTGTACTTTCAAAACAAGATATCTCCAGCTCAAATTTCTTTGAGTCACTGACTGCAATCTATTTTCTTCAAATAGAATTCTTCATAAACTTAAAAAAGAAAAGTCCTCTTGAATTTTCTCTACATCCGTTGAGCCATATTTCAGATTTTCACTGAGGGAATATAAACAGATTGTCAATATTTTGAATCACCGTCGAAATATCAATATAGTTGTATAACAAAGGAGCAATACATCACACAATGACAATTTCTTTTTCTCGGAGTTTTAACCAATTTATTTGCATTAACGACTTTGCAATGTTACAACCATTTTCCTCTGTGACAAAGTCACCCGAAGAAACTTTTGGAGAGTTATTGCCCTTTGTTCTTTTTGCAACTCTTTTCTATCTCCCTTTTCTCCAGTTTTCTACTGGTTTCTTTCGATATTGGTAAGTCCAGGCTCTCTGACAATGACATTTATGGTAATCTTTTCTGTTATTATCATAATTTTTTTGAAGAATTAAAAAAAAATCATTCCGCGAATAACAAAATTATTATTATTAATAATTATTGGTAATAAAGCGAATGAAATCGCTTCAATATTGTTCTGATTTTACGTATTTTTCTTCGTCTTTTCCGATGACGCCATTCTTAATTTTAGTATTACTTCCATTTAAAGTAACTTTAAGCGTAATTGATCAAAGTATGGATAAAAAATCTGCACAGAGAAATTTGTGCAGACACCTAGCAGTATGTCCACAATAGCTACATCCAGAGTTACGATTCTTTTGCTTGGCCGTTCAATACGTCAAATGAAATTGTGTACCTCACTTTCTTATCTGTTACTTCTTATTTCATTGCTATTTAACCATATATCAAAATCTCATGTTACACTTTATAACTCAAACATAATTGGGCCAGCTTGCTGGAGTCCCTTCGCCGAACATTTACAAGAGGTAGATGGATATTTATGTCCATTCCAAGGCTGCTATTGTTTGTTAGGTATTAAGGACTGTTAAAAGTCTTCAAGAGCTACAATATCAATATAATAATTAATCTTAATGAGGTTATTTCAGAGCTACATATGTATCATAACGCTAGGGCATAAAAAGACATGCGAGTAACTTTCAAAGAAAAAGAGTCAGTAGACCAAGTTTAATCTCTCCATGTCATTTCTAGCTCATCAATTCCTGTTTGGAATGTAGTCGGACTCCGGTGAATGTAGACTTAATTGATAGCAAATCACAATTGCCATATATAGTTACACAATAGTATTGCATTGTAGGTCCGAAAAGTTGAAGCTAGGGTTAGAATACCGGCGACATGAGCAGACAAAACAATACTTTCTAAAATTCATGGAGCAAAATGAATCACACGAAGACTAGGCCAGATGTTCCGAAAGGATAAATATAATTAATCCATTACTGAACAACAACTGACAACAACCAAGTGGGTTGCAACAACAGCCAAACCATGCCTCTCTCTCTCTCTTTTTTTTTTTTGATAAATTTTCAAACACACACTTCCAATTGTGTTATCATTATATTTCAAATACTGTAGCAAATTGTTTCACAGGCGTGTTTTATTTCAATTTCTTCTTCGCTACCAGAGACGTATAAAAACACTTTGTTACGTCTCGACAATTACTGAGAAATTATGTGAACAGTTACCTAGTTAACTCCCTTCATGTGGTACTCTCTTCAGCGCATCATAGGTATCAACTTCCGGTTGGCAATATGGACGAAACTACCTTGGAAAATATTGTGAAAATACAACTTCCCGAGGTAATCCAGTGATGCATATATAAATCAAGATGGATATGTCGATGCACAGAGTTATGAAGAAAGTGTTTGCGCATACATCTGCGGAACTTTCGTCAGATTTCTTGAAGAATTTTGAGGATGTTTCTACACCATTGTCAAATGTTCAGCTTACAGAAATCAGTCGGGAAGCAGGCGTTGACCTATATGAAGATGGTGGCAAATTTAGCATGGCAGGGGATTGGAACTCAATGATGTCGGCATATAAGCTCTTGATTGAACTTCTCAATTCCGTTTATGGTATTCCACCGGTATCCACCTCATTGGATTACGATGACGGTATTCAGCCTACATTCTCTAATCACACTCCAGAAAATATTTACACAAACAGCTCTGTAAAACAGCCAGCAACTATATACCATGGTATGCAACAGAATACACGAACAGAACAAACACCGAAACCAAATGCAGGGAAGAGTAAGATTCCTGATCCAATTGTGTTAACATTTTCATCCAAAGATTTCATGGCTGATCAGCGAAATACTGAAACAGAGAAAGTATCTGATACAGATCCAATGTATGACGGAGAGACAGAAGACGAGGATGAAGAAGAAGAAAATGCGTCACCTCCAGAAAACGTCGTGAATAGTAGTGAGGATGACGATAAAAACAATATCAACCTTGACTTTGATGAGGAAGACACTGCAATAAATTATGTGCATAAGAAACAACAAGCAAATCGTGAAGTTGTCAATAGAAACAAAGATATCAAGCATGAGTTTAGTAAACCTGAACATACTGTAACAAGAACAAAAACTAAACAAACACTTCGTGTTGATAATATTGCTAAGAAGATTAGTAAAATATCACCACCAAAAAAGAAACACAAAAGGAAAGGTGTTCCAGTGAAACTACAAAAGACAACTCCTAAAAAAGATTACATTGAAAACATGTGTGCACCATCTGTTGAAATAAAGCAAGAGGAAGGAGATGATGGTCCAAAGGAGACCGTAGAAATATCAGAAGGGGTGGATGAAGCAGATGATGTTCAGGAGCCAGAATTTGATGATATAGATGATGATGATGAAAATTACCAGGAAAAGCAAGATGCCAATGATCAAGAATGGCTTCCTGATAAAACCTTTAATGATAAAGCTGATGGCTTGAAAATAAAATTTGAAAGGAAAGCTGGCAGGAGGCAAGCAAGGAAAACGAGAACAGGACAGATAAAGAAATCCAGAGCGAAAAGATCTCAAAATGTTGTGAAAGCATGTGATTATCCATGCCCTTCCTGTTCTTATGTAGCAAAGAAAAGAAGTCAGCTTGGTGAACATTATAGAAGAAACCACAGAATGAAAAAATGGAAGTGTGAGCATTGTGATAGAACATTTGGTATTCATAAAGACCTGAAGCGACATGTGTTGACACATGTTGAACCTCAACATTGTTGTGACACCTGTGGTAAGATGTATAAATCTCTTCGAACATTCATCAAACATAAGAAAGTTCATGAAGATGATTATGAAAAGCCTGAATACCCATGTGATCAATGTGATAAAAGATTCAGTACTAAATATGTATTAAATTATCATATCAAAGCTGAACATATGGGCATCAGAAAGAGTTTTTTGTGTCCGACATGTGGCAAAAGTTTCACTCAGAAAAACTCTTACATTCAACATGCAAATGTACATATGGGTCTAAGACCACATATCTGTAAGGTGTGCAACAAGTCATTTGCGTACGAAAAGTCTTTAAAAGAACACAAATACACCCATGATGAGGTGAAACGATTCAAATGTGAGGTATGTGACAAACTATTCCGACAATCTTCTGCCCTTGCTATTCACATGAAAGTGCACAAGGGAGGGAAGGATCATCTCTGTGGTGTTTGTGGAAAAGGTTTCACACAAAAACAGGCTCTGTACAGACACGAAAGAATTCACAATGGTGATAAACCTTTTTCTTGTGGTCTTTGTGCAAGAAAATTTAGTGACACTTCCATCATTAGGCGTCATATGATCTTGGTCCATAAGAAAGATCCCAAGAGATGGAGAGAAGGTGTTATATCAGACCTGAAGGGAAAGGAAGGCTATTTTATTGAGAGTTTTGATGGTACAGTTAGGCGAGGTGGTAGACCTATTACAACTGGTGGGTCAGATTTACAGACTGAATCAGAAAACCAGGAAAAGGGCCTGTCTAATGAACAGGAAGTTTCCAACAATACAGAAAGCCAGACACCAGAGATAATGTCCAGCCCCGAGGCAGAAAATAGAGCAGTGTTCAGTAATATAGTGGAACGGATAATTGGTGCTTCTGGTGAACATCTAACTGGACAAAGTTCAGAGAAATTAGATCACCATTTAGAGAGTGTTGATTCAACATCGGAACCAGTTGACAATTACATGTCTCATCAAGATCAACAGCAACAGCAGCCATTACCACCTGTGACAACAGTACGACCTCTGTCAAGGACACTAGATCATGTGACCGCTGCTTCAGCCCATGGCCTTTCGCCCCAGGATGAACAAATGGCAGCTGCAACTGCCGAGTATCTACGTAAACAAGCTCTTCTCCAAGCAGTGAGTACCATGCATCATCAGGAACAAGTTCAGGCTCAAAATCAAGGACAATCTCAAGGTCAAAGTCATACAACAATGCACCTACCCCACCTTCCCTATACTGTAGATCCTTCTACAGCTGCCATTGATCAGGTGACGCATTTGCCACATCAGTCTGCAGCTTATATGTCCGGTGTTGGCCCTGACAGCTACTCGGACCTTCGGAGAAAAGACAGTCGTGATGGTCAGAATTCTGACCACACTTTCACAGACATGCAGCAACAAGTTCACGACTCCAATCAAAGACAATACGACAATAAAACCCCAGGGCAATGGACTGTTCCTCCATTTCCCTATCTGTACATGCACCAGAACTATAATCCGCTTCAATACCAAAACCAAAACCAATGATGATAAATCAAGATATTGGATACTTACTAAATTTATGGTCAGTAGCTTTGAAGTCAAAATTGATAAGATATAATGATATCTAACATCCTCTCTGGTCTTCAAGTAACAAACTTTAAGTAATCATTAACTGTATCTTTAACTTTAGGAATTTTTCTAATATTTTATAATGAAAATTTGGAGAACTTTAATTCTAAATAACATTTTAATCATACTGGTACTAGAAATATATAATACAAAAATCATAATAATGAAATTGTCATGTGGAAAATTCTCTTTGCAACATTGTGCCAGTTGCCTTAATTATAAATTAATATTGCTTAAAATACATAATTCAGAATGTTTTAATTTTCATTTTGGGTATGAACTGGTGTCGTTTTCATAGATTTTTTAAGGAAAGTGTAATACACTTGAAGGAGGATGGAGGTGGGGAGAGTCAATAGTTCAGTCATATTTGCAGTTTTTCATTGGTTTTGGGATTATCATCCTTGTTAGAGATAAAAATGCATCAGTTGGGAATCAGATCATTGTCGGCAATTGCAAACATGGAGCAAAAAGCTAACAAACGATATCATTCATATGTACCAAGAATACTTGTCTTTTGCTACATTTGATGAGAAATGGTCGGACAAAATACAGAATCTGTATTGACTTCTAGAAATGTCCTTTGGTGTGCCATTTAAAGCATTGTGACATTGGAACTGTTTTGCCATTTTCATACTGTTTAAATTCTAAATATTATGCTACTTATTTATTCAATATGCAAACATTTTGAGTTTTTGAGAAATATTGTTTTGCTATTTAATTTACATTAGTGATTATGTAATTACATGGGCATGTATATGAAGAAAAAAAAAACAAAGAAAAAAAATGGTGACCGCCTCAGCAATAGAAAAATTCTGCATGTGCTTAAATCCAAATCTATACTTGCTTTACGGTAGAAAATTCTACTATATATGTACCTTCGTTTGAATAATTGAATATATTAAAACTATTCTTGATGTATCATTCACTAGTGCAATAACTATTTCTTTGTCCCACATAAAAATATGGAATAATTTTCAACTTTTGTATGTGTCATACTCATAAATAAACTTCATTATTAATGATCAAGAAGAAATTCTGCGATCCAAGATTCAAGAAATTCTGTGATCCAAGATCCAAGAAAGTTTTGTGATAACTACAATATTAATTGAAACTTTTTCGATCAGATATGCCAGTCATATGTACATTGGTTATTGACAAAACCTGCCAAAACGTCTACATGTATATGATCATAAATGATAAATTGGTGCTGTTCATTTGTGCACTTCAATAATTTCTACTATTACCCAGTGATCATTTCTTGAAGTGTGGAGGTGAAATGTACAATGTGCGTGTACTTCTGTGTGTGCATGTTTTGTTGTTTAGATGTGCAATGACATAGTGTGTATCTAGAATGTCAATCTGATACTGTGGTCAAAGATTCTAAAACTGAAAACAAGTATTATTGAATATATAAAATCCAATGTTGAATTTCTGAGGAGTATGAAGCATTACCTGGAATTTCAATAACAAAGGTTTCGATAAATAATAACTAGAAATTGAGATCAGCAGATGTCCAGTGAAACAGAAGCGTTTTTTTTTAAGTTTCACATGTATTTAAAGTAGTTTTTCATTTATCCCTGAAAACTTTAAAATCCCTTAGTATTTATGAAAGGTGATTATGTGATATGAAATGTGTATATTGTGGGGTTTCTTTTTGTTTTTTTGTTTTATTATGTGTAGTTATTCCTTGTATTTGAAGATTACTTTTTGATTTTAAAGATATGTAATCATGGATTGTGAAACTGCCATAGAAAGTATGCTTAAGCCTAAAAAAATCAGAAAAAACCCAGAAATATTTTGCTTTAATTTAATGCTATGATTTTTATGAAACCATTTTATAGTAAAGTCTGAAATCCAATTTCAACAAATGATGATTTTATATTTTACAAATTGCAAGTGTAGTTAAAGGGATGTCAAATCTAGAATAGATGAGGCTGTGAGGATGTACCAATGCTAATGTTAAATTTCTAACTTCATCATCAGTAACTGGGTCTGACTTTGATCAACAGTAATTGGGTAGGACTCCATCATCAGTAACTGGGTATGACTTTGATCAACAGTAATTGGGTAGGACTCCATCATCAGTAACTGGGTATGACTTCCATCAACAGAAATTGGGTATGACTTCCATCAACAGTAATTGGGTATGACTTCATCATTAGTAACTTGGTATGACTTCCATCAACAGAAATTGGGTATGACTTCCATCAACAGAAATTGGGTAGGACTCCATCAATAGTAATTGGGTATGACTTCCATCAACAGTAATTGGGTATGACTTCCATCAACAGTAATTGGGTATGACTTCATCATTAGTAACTTGGTATGACTTCCATCAACAGTAACTGGGTATGACTTCCATCATCAGTAACTGGGTATGACTTCCATCAACAGTAACTGGGTAGGACTCCATCATCAGTAACTGGGTATGACTTCCATCAACAGAAATTGGGTATGACTTCATCAACAGTAACTTGGTATGACTCCATCAACAGTAATTGGGTATGACTCCATCAACAGTAACTTGGTATGACTCCATCAACAGTAATTGGGTATGATTTCATCAACAGTAACTTGGTATGACTTCCATCAACAGTAACTTGGTATGACTCCATCAACAGTAATTGGGTATGAATTCATCAACAGTAATTGGGTATGACTCCATCAACAGTAATTGGGTATGACTCCATCAACAGTAACTTGGTCTGACTCCATCAACAGTAATTGGGTATGACTCCATCAACAGTAACTTGGTATGACTCCATCAACAGTAATTGGGTATGATTTCATCAACAGTAACTTGGTATGACTTCCATCATCAGTAACTTGGTATGACTCCATCAACAGTAATTGGGTATGATTTCATCAACAGTAACTTGGTATGACTCCATCAACAGTAATTGGGTATGAATTCATCAACAGTAATTGGGTATGAATTCATCAACAGTAATTGGGTATGACTCCATCAACAGTAATTGGGTATGACTCCATCAACAGTAACTTGGTATGACTCCATCAACAGTAATTGGGTATGATTTCATCAACAGTAACTTGGTATGACTTCCATCAACAGTAACTTGGTATGACTCCATCAACAGTAATTGGGTATGATTTCATCAACAGTAACTTGGTATGACTCCATCAACAGTAATTGGGTATGAATTCATCAACAGTAATTGGGTATGAATTCATCAACAGTAATTGGGTATGACTCCATCAACAGTAATTGGGTATGACTCCATCAACAGTAACTTGGTATGACTCCATCAACAGTAATTGGGTATGATTTCATCAACAGTAATTGGGTATGATTTCATCAACAGTAACTTGGTATGACTTCCATCAACAGTAACTTGGTATGACTGCCATCAACAGTAGTTGGGTATGACTTCCATCAACAGTAACTTGGTATGAATTCATCAACAGTTATTGGGTATGACTCCATCATCAGTAATTGGGTATGACTCCATCCTCAGTAATTGGGTATGACTTCATCAACAGTAATTGGGTATGACTCCATCAACAGTAATTGGGTTATGACTCCATCAACAGTAATTGGGTATGACTTCATCAACAGTAATTGGGTATGACTCCATCAACAGTAATTGGGTATGACTTCCATCAACAGTAACTGGGTAGGACTCCATCATCAGTAACTGGGTATGACTTCCATCAACAGAAATTGGGTATGACTTCCATCAACAGTAATTGGGTATGACTTCATCATTAGTAACTTGGTATGACTTCCATCAACAGTAATTGGGTATGACTTCCATCAACAGTAATTGGGTATGACTTCCATTAACAATAACTTGGTATGACTTCAATCAACAGTAATTGGGTATGACTTCCATCAACAGTAATTGGGTATGACTTCATCATTAGTAACTTGGTATGACTTCATCAACAGTAATTGGGTATGACTTCCATCAACAGTAATTGGGTATGACTTCCATTAACAGTAACTTGGTATGACTTCAATCAACAGTAATTGGGTATGACTTCCATCAACAGTAGTTGAGTATGACTTCCATCAACAGTAGTTGAGTATGACCATTGTGAAATCCTTAGATGTCAGACTTTTGTTATATCTATGGCATTTGCTATACTATATGTTGCCTTGTAAGCTAAAGGTCATAATATTTGGTAGGACTACACAATTACTGGTAGATCACACTGTGTGAACAATTTCATAGTTAGAGAACAGAAATGTCTCATTATTACTTTTCCTTTTTTCAAATTATTCAGTATAAAAAATGTTGTTTCGGTGGATTTGAAATCATGTAAGGTTCTTCTATTTTTCATTATAATTTTTCTACGTGTACATCCCGAATATTTTGCCATCATCTTTTAGAAGTTTTTAGCTTGATTTCTTGGATTTAAGTGCTGGCAGTACAATACCAAAGGGTCTGTATTTTGTTTACAGAAAGATTATAGCATGCACATTTAGAGTATCAAGACATCATTTTGTTGTAAGAGAGAAAAAATGTGGAAGGACTTTTCAAATAAACATTAAAAAATTGGCTTCTTATTTTGTAAACAATGTTCCCTAAGGGTTTGTGGCGGGGGAACTGCTCTACAGAATTTCCTCTCTTTGGATATTTATCTAATGGCTTGGTAATCATTAGAGGTCAAAGCATGAACAACCAGATTCATATATGTTATTATTCGACAAAAGTCTTGTAGAAAACCATTTAGATTGTGGAAGAATACTTGACTTTGTGTTAACCAAGTTTTGTTTTGATGAATAAATCTCTCTTCCCCTTTCGTTAGTTTGCTTGGAAAGTTCCCTATGGTGCATACAATACTAAAATTTTGAATGATTTCCTCCAAACAATACCACAGGGTTGATTTGGGAAGACATGGGCAAGGTTAAATGCCCCCCATGCTCCCTCACCCATAAAATGGCAGGGACATAAAAATGCCAAAATTCTATATAGCATGTCATGAGAATCAATTTCAATTAAAGGATTCTTTTAATTTATATATACCACTTGTTATGGTGAGATGTGTTACAAAGTAGAGAGTTTAAGCCACTATTTATCATAATGACATATCTTAGCTGTAAATGATATGATAATGTTTGTGGTGTGTGGTATCCCATCTCTCTTTTCACACTGATGACTTCGAAAGCTGATCCCACCCTCTTTATCTTAGTCTGATGTGAAGAAGCTTGTGAGCATGTAATTTTTTTTTCATAAAAGTATGGTTATATAAGAAGGCTTACAGTAATACATTATATCTTTAAATATATTATAGAAATAGAAAAAAAAGGAAATTTAGTACAGATCAATAGCTCCAACACCTGGTCAATGTGAGACTCTATGTATCCGATAATAAGCCCACTCATGTCCATTGCAGAGCAGTTGAAACACTAATAAACACCACATCGGAACCGACTTGGAAGATATTGATACCCAGCTTATTATGAATTTTTTCCATGTATTGAATATTCTCTAATACTTATTGGAAAAAGAATGTCTTATATATATATATATGATGCAGTCAAACATGAAATATAGGTTATTATTTTTTTGTGCACAGTATTAAAATTTGTGAGGTAGTATTTGACATGAGTGTACATATTCCATTCCAGGGTTGTTCTTTGTGACTCTGAGCTAATTTTTACCTGAAGCCACCAGTCCCGCCTGTTTATGGTAAATTTCACCAGTGTTGTTGACAAGCAATAAATATTAAGCCACCAGCCTAAGTTGCTCATTGCGAGTCCCACCAAATCATTTACATTCAGTGCCTTTTATATAAATATGACTCCTCATGTAATACATTGTCCTGCAGTAGCCTAATCTACATCAGGTCAAAGTTCTTGTCTTGACATCTGGGCTTGTTATAGGATACAGAGTTTAAGCACACGAAACAATAGTTTTGGAATAAAGTGAAAGTATTTTAAAATGATTTGGTATTTCTTTGAATTTAAAGTCAAATCTTGTTTTTTTTTTTATATATCTTGTATGCCTCAGAAAACACAGGTATTTTCATTGACACAATTGCTAGTGTCTAGAACAGATTTTATGTTTTTGTAGTTAATATAATGATCACCATACAATTCTGTTTTAACAGCCTATCTTACAGTCTTACGTATTTTCATAATAATGAGTGTGTCATTCTTTATTTAGAAAACCTCCCGAAATCCTTATTTTTAGACATTATACAAACAACAGACAAATTTACAATTTTCTGTAATGTATTGATATACATAACCTAAAGTTCATCTGTGTATAATGATATGTACTGTTAATGAAAAAAATGTCCTAAATGAAGTGAGATTTTTGGATTGTACCTGTATATTTCTGTTTACCTGTAAATGTCTAATGATCACACACCTGTAAATAGAATCTATTTATACTTGGCTAGCATCTTCCACCTGTAATTATGCACAGCTTGTGTATAGCCTTAAATAAAATAATCTGCATATAAATATTGTGATTACAATTTGTTCAGTCAAATCAAAATTTTATGCAAAACTTGTTTTATGTTGGCATTTACATAACTGCTTCATATAACCATGTATAATCTTAAGAAACACATTTCATGATATTCTGAATGTGTTGAGAAAAAATCAATGTAACAGATGTCAATATTTATTTCAATGCCTCTGCCAGGATTCGAACATGGGACCCCATGGTTTAATCCTTTTCTCAACTGTTCCAGCGAAAGTGAAGTTCTCTCTATATGAGCACTATATTACGGCTAGTATTATACCAGGTTTACACTAACAAATATCAGTTTCTTGGGTATTTGTAAGTGATCATATTTTTCATTCAATGAAATACATTTTACTCCTTGCTACAATGGTTTGTTTCTAACCATATATCAAGTGTAGTAACACAGAGGAAGATGTATGGTCGCATAGGGCTTTACAGTAAAGCAATAATTCATTGAGCAAATTCAGAACGGAAAGGAAGGGATGTGTAACACATCTTTGGGGAAAAACCCACTTCTTATGGAAATAAATCTCAGAAGTATATTTGCTGATATCTTATTTTGATCAACTAAGCGAAAAAGCCAAGAGTGTGCAGAAAGCTGAAATTAATCAAAGAAACAAGAGTGACTGGGGCTGAAGAGTATATGTTCAGTGTCTCTGAGAAAGCATTCTTTATAGGAAAATACAAAGTCCTGTTATGGTTTTAAAACCATCAAAATTTCAAAGAAATAGGTTTAAAATCCTGAAAAAACAAGGGTAATAACTCCTCCAAATACTGCTGTCAAGAAAAACACTTTCATATCACAGTTGTAAAGCCTACCAAATATTTGAGAGTGATGAGTTGATATGAGAAGAGAAATCGTTGCAACAAAAAGGTTTTCAAGTGCGAAAGATGACTGGTGAAAACAAGTATGAACCGTCACAATTTCTGAGTGACACTAGCATATATAAACAAATCCACAACTTTATTTTTACAAAACCTGAAAGAATTCATCTCTTCTATGGTTTAATATTTTAAAGAACTAAAGAAAGAGCACACTTGATGATCTATAAGTCAAATTCTAGATTTTCAATTTTACCAGTTTTGTGAAATAAAAACACAGATAGCATGCAGTGTACATTATGTTTATGGACTCAGCTGCCAGCATGTTTTCCATTGTGGTGGAGATTTCTTTCAGCTTACAAAAGACATACAGATAGTTTTAAAAGCCAAGATAAAACTATAACAATGTTGTGCAGGTTTTTGCACAATATAATTGATTTCTATTGAAGTTTAAGTGATGTAAATATTTCTTCAGTCATTTTGTTGCCTCTTATTTCCTTCAACAACATTAATTTATGACAGGATTCTCCTTCACCTAACAGTTGATATTTATGCTATAACTTTTGTAGTATAACGGCCCAATTTCCCTGGTCATAGTAACTCTCCCGCACCTGACAATTTTCTAGTCTCTGACACAGAGCCTCGAGTTCTCCCTGTCGGAACACGTGGTAGTATCGATGGAACACAGAGTCACCTCTGTCCTTTACACTGGCCTCTGCCTTGTTCTTTAACTGCCAGGGCACTAGCATGTCCTGCTGTTTAAAATTGGTCCGATTTTTGTGTATTTCTAACATGTTACTACTGCTCTGTATCATGCTAGAACTACATTGATTTTGTGCCTTGTCTGAAGCTTGTCCACAAACCCCACGTTTTTTAGTCACTTCATATTCTGGTGTTTCATGTCTATCAAAAGAAGGCGATGAAAGTTGAACCTCTTGTCTATCATCACACTCTGTCTCACTACTCTTTTTAACAGAAATTATGTTCTCCTTTTCTGCATCTCCTTTTGGCAAGGATTTATTATCAATTTGTTTCACTGTATCTTTTTCTAACAGGTCTGCAGTTGAATCTGTCACCTTGACTTTCTCAGTTTCTGTATCAGTGTCCTTGACATTACCATTCAGAGATCCTGTGACCTTCACCTCTTTTAAATATTTCGATTTTACTTTATGTAGTTCTTGCTCCATCGCCCATACATATATGAGAGCTTTACCTCCAGGACGTAGGATACGCAGCAGTTCTGATATTCCATGCAGTCTTCTCTCCTGGTAACAGAGGTAAAATCTCTTCATTAGAAGATATAGTCTATGTTTCTTAAGCAATTAAACACATTTGATGCATAAGAATGAATACATTAACACATATACCACAATGTATTCACAAGTGGAAACAATATGTTAGCAACATATCTAGGTTATTTCTATTTCAATAAGCAACAGTCCGAGACATCATGTTGTATTTATTTATAAACACACAAATCATGGAAATCAATTACAAGAACTGATACAGTTTTGGCTTATATAGGCAATATGAACACACAAGTAACTTTAAAAGTAAGGATGAGGGGCAGACATTTCAACTAATGTGATGCCCTGGTCAGTCGTTTAATTAAAATAAGCTATTTAGATATTGTGATTGTCTGCAATATCTCTCCAACGTAAAATACTTTTATTTTGAAAAACAAATTCTTCATATCTGCAGACGCACACCAATACTTATGTAAAGTTTCATCAAAATCAGGTGAGTAATCTCTGTGTAACAATGCAAGAAATTAGTTCTGATTTAAGCAAAAGGTCACATGACCTTTTACCTGAAGCACAGAACTATTTTAAGGAAGCTGAAATTAACAGATGGATAGCAGAGGATCATTGTGTCTCCCCACACTAATGTGGAATGTACAGAAATAAACCAACTGACCTTGACCTTCGACTGGGTTACTATGGTTTCATTCTTATTTGATTCTGCTTGATGCGTTTCACAATTTCATAAAGACAATACATCAAAATTTGAATTTGACCTTTGATCTCGACAGACCTTGACCTTTGTTTGGAATACTTCCGCACATGATTCTTACCAAGTTTGATTATACTGTCACAACAACAGTAAACAAAAAAATTACCAAGAGACTATCACATTTGACTGAAACTATTGGTAAGCTTCTTCCAACTGTCTATAACAGTATTTATTTGATAGTTCAGGGTTTACCTCTGTAGAGAGATGATGTAGCACAGCAATACAGATACAAACATCACAGACTCCAGATCTGATAGGTATAGACATGACATCGCTGACGAACACCGGGAAGTCTCGACTTCTGCAGATCTTGGCTAGATTAAAACTCCTATCAGACCCAACCTAAACACACATCAAAATTATGTCAAGACATTAAGGAAATCATCCATCACAGAACTGAATAAGGAAACAACACAAGAGGTTTCAATATGATCTCCAGCTCTTACGTACTGATGAATCACCACTTTGAACTGTACCGTAGTAACATGTTTCATATATATATCTATACATATTATCCACTAATACTAATGCATCCTCATCAATTTCTTTTAGAATAATCATGACAAAACAAACAGAAAATGTCTCAAATGCATTCAGGTGTGAATATTTCTATGTTTTAACCTTTAAAGGAAAAAATTTTTGTAGATTTTTTTTGAAAAATGATCTATCCTGGGAAATGTCAGAGCACAACCATTAAATACACTGTTAAGTTTAAATAACAAAACAAAGATTAATACCTATAAAAAAGTTAATGAAAAATGCAAGCTTCACCTCATATATATCCTTGTTGATACCAAGGTATTTGCCATTGCCACAGCCAATATCTACCAGAATGGACCCAACTGGTTGTGTCCGGATAAAATCTGCAATCCGAGGCCAGGGACTATGGCGAGTGCCACTGAAGTGGTCAGCTATTTCTTCATAAACCTTAAAAAAGTGCTTTGCGTTTGTAGATAAATAGATTATGCTTCACAATGATACTAGATCAAAGTACCTGATGGGAAAGCTTCTTTACCTTCGATTGAAAATTTGAACATTCTTAGTTCACGATATAGTTAGATGTATCTTGCTCTGCAACTGCATACATGTAAAACCAATAAAAACAACCTCTGTCTGATAGCTTCTTAATCAAAATATTTAAGCCTACAAATGGATACACTGTCCTGGTACATGAACATGTGTCTCTTCAACGTTTATTTTTATCTACCTTATGAACATGTGTCTCCTCAAGGGATGCAGCATCTGAAGCTGACTGTGGGAGTATCGTCGGGTTGTGTTGTCTGAAAAATATGATAGCCAAACTTAAAACTTCTGCAAGAAAAACGAAATAATACAATGATAATTTTGAAATGAGACTCATTTTTCAATTTACCTTGACTTCAAAGTCAACAATATAAACAAACTTGGTAGCCCTTCATGCCAACATACTATAGGCCCAATATCAGCACCCTTGGCCTTTTAGTTATTCAGAAGAAGTTGTTCAAAGATTTCAACACATGTAGCCTCTGTGACCTTGAAAGCTGGTCAAGGTCATTCATTTTTACAAACCTGGTAGCCCTTCATTCCATCATGCTACAGGCACAAAATCAGCAACCTGGGCCTTTTGGTTATTTAGAAAAATCATTTGAATGGAAAATTTACGCACAGCAGATGGTGGACAGTGCAAAACAATGGACTGATGGCTATAGGTTATCCTGACACTAGGGTCAGAAGACCTAAAAATTGATCCATTAAGAACACTTGATATAGAAAATATGGAATGGTTAGAGAATAGCTGTTATAAATAGATATTACCTGCTCTCTGTAACGAATGGTATGTGACGATTTATTCTGTCTTTTGGTGGGATGATTTTCCTGAAAGTGTATGAGGTACGGGTACCCCTATGTACAATGGTTAGTCTGCCATCAGGTGTTGGAATAATATCTGATTTGCGTGGCGTGATTCCATGCGACCAAAGGTAACGTGATTCCCCTGTCATTATCAGCAGGCTACAAGGTGGCAACAATACTGACAGGTGCTTACCATTAGGATGACGGAAATCCATTAACACCTTAGAGAGAAAAACATTAATCTGATATAAGGATACCATTGATTTAGCAGTCATAACAATTTTATAGGATCAGTGCCTGATATCAGTGGTAGCCATGTTATAATAATCAGTTGGCCCCATGAATGTATTCTATAATTTTAACACACACATCTTATACCTGTGACTTTTGAAAAGATCAAATTAAATGTTAATACTCTTTATTAAATGGTTTTTAACATTTTTGTTTTTACTCAGGAGACTTTCAAATTTTACAAAAATTTACATTTGTTTACTCAAATTACAAGTAACAGTTTCAACCTTTGTGACCTTGAATAAATATCAATATGATACTTAACCGTCTTATTACAAGTATAGGTAATACAAAGTTGTTCAGGAAAAAAGAGATGGAGGGTATAAAAAGTTGAATGTGAAAACACAAATGTAGAATATATTTCACAAAGCAAGGTGAGAACATTTTTCATACACTTATGTGAGTTTTTTTCACTGTCAAGAATTAAAATTTTATATATGCATGTACCTGTGAACCAAGACTGAGAGACATAATTCCATCCTCAAAAGCAGCAGGAGTATCTACATGAGGAGGTATACCTATAACATAAAAGAAACGATACTTTCTCACTTGGTAATAAGGACAATCAAAAGGACAGCATTATTTCTGCTTTCCATTTTCAAAACCGATTTGTTGGGAACAACGTCAAAGAAAATTTTTAACTTAGAAATGTTTTGATTCTGGTTTAACATTAACGATCTTGTTTGAATTTATCAAAACACAAAAGTTGGTGATAAAGGTCCTTCTTAAGTTATCAGATTCACAAAGTTAATAAGACATCACATGCAACGCATATCTTCTCCAGGTTGATATGCAAAATCCTGAAACAGGTGACTATTGTGAGAGGTAGAGTGAGGATGGCACTAGACAAACTCAGCATTAAATACTTATGTCCATAGAAGCTGATTCTTTTATTCCCTCAAAGACACAACAAGGAGGAATTTAATATAATCTACATCACTTGTCCAGCTAATCACAACCACTTTTTATTCACCAGGAATTCACATTTGTATTTGTTTATCTCTTTTACAAAGAAAATTGCTTACGAAGTAATAATTATCAGTTTATGTACAAGTGTAAATACCTTGTCCTGGCAAATACTTATTCACTGTGACTTGGTCAGGCAGATATTTTATATGGCCTGTTTTTAAGGCTGTATCCAAAAGCTCCCGACACATGGCTGGAACTCCCTGTGGCAGAGGATCATCAACATCTACATCATTGATTCCATATTTGAATTCATAGCCATAATGTTTGACTTCCCTGTGTTTGAGTTCTCTTTGCATACCTGAAAAGTACTGTTTAATGTATTTTTGGACTGTATAAAGTAGTGATGGGAAATTGGTTGAAATCTATTATTGACTTATCTGCTAAAATTGGATAGGGTTTTCAATGTAGTTAATTGATTACTAAATCAGCTGACTGTGCTTTCTATATTCACAGAAGGTGTAGTGATATTGCCTTTCTTTGTAACTTTAAGCTAAAATACCTCACTTACCTAGAATTTGCATTAGAATGAATACTACTGGCAATTAACATCTTTATTATGCATGAATGAATCTTTTTTGCTTAAATACAAGAAAATATTAGGGCACTGATAATTGATTATGAAAAATCACAGATGAGATTAAACCATTAGATAATTGATTACATCTGAACATTGCCCCATTAAATTTAAATAATTTTGATAATATTGATACAATCTTGACTTTCAATATGGGTTTAAGACAGTACTAGGTTAACAGCTGTCGAATAAAATACTTAAACGTGTATATCTGAAAGTACATCTTTCATTGCAATACCGGGATATTTGCTGATACTAAACAACAGAAGGAAGTTACCATGTGATGCCTCTTCATGCCAATCAATAGATTCCAACATTTTCTCCGCATATTCCTGTGTGATGAAGTTCTCTAAAAGGATGAGGCCAGGAGGGAGATCATCTGATGGCGACAGACTCGAGGGAACTTTGGAAAAAAATAGACATCAACATTTATCAGGTAAAATGTATGAAAAAAAAGAAATTATGTACAGAATTCTATCAATAAACATTCCCATCAAGTAGCTTTTCCATATATTACAGAGAGTCATGTTCATTTATATAATTTCAATTTACTTATTAATTATTAAAACTTTCAAAACATTCTGTTACCTTGACTGACATAAGAGATGTATAACTTCACAGGCCACTTTCTATCATCATTTTCTACCAATGTTTTTCCATTTAAGTTTTCATATGCTTTCTCTGCTTCTTCCTCAGTCTGATAACACACAAAAGCATAAGGTTTCTGAGGCATCATTATCACATCCTCAACTCCGCCATATACTTCAAATAACTCTTGAACTTCATCCCTAGAAACACCACTATCAAGCCCTGCATTGTTGACACAAAGAATCTGGAAATAGAAGCAAAATACATATCAATGAACTCACACAGTCAAATCCTTATATGAACTTTACAGAAAAATTTTTTTTATTGAAGATTTAAAAAGGTTATACTTTGGTTAAAAACCTGATCTTGCAACACCCACTGTGAAAGTGTTTTTTCACTTGACTAAATTTTCAATGTTTAAGTAAGATTGAAAATTTCACAGGATTGAGTTTTTGCAATATTGATGTGCATGTAACCCTGGTAAAATACTAGCCGCAATATACCACTCCGCTAGAGAGAACTTCTCTTTAGCTTGATTGGTTCAGCGTCAGACTAGTAAGCCAGGGGTCCCGGGTTTGATTCCTAACGGAGGCATTGAGATGAAAAATGACCTCTGTTACATTGGCGCCCATGTAGGGACCCGGGATTAGTACTTAGCCATGCCCCATCCGCATCACTGTAACCCCTGGAAACTCGAGGACGAGTTATTTCCTGGAGGGGGAGTATGTAACCCTGGTAAAATACTAGCCGCAATATACCACTCGGCTAGAGAGAACTTCTCTTTAGCTCAATTGGTTGAGCGTCAGACTAGTAAGCCAGGGGTCCCGGGTTCGATTCCTAGCGGAGGCATTGAGATGAAAAATGACCTCTGTTACATGTAAACACATATGAAATACTACAGATTAAGCTATACAGGTCTACATTGTCTGGTGAATTCCTGTCTCTACAGGTTAGTGAAATCATGTTTCTTTAGTTATGTTGGCAGATTCTAATTAAACATGTACACTTTTTTAAATCCTTACTTCACTTGGACAGCTCCCAGAATCAATTCATAGACAGAACAAGAAATTTGTTAATATGATATATATGTTATCTAAATTAGACTAAATTTTCACTGGAACTATATTTCACATTGAAATACCACTGCAAAAATTTCAAAAATTATAGCAATGTGAAAATAACTTTTACAGCACATGTACATTGAGACACCGTTACTGGTCTCACCTGTCAATACATTCATATACCAAGTCAAATTAGTATGAGTGTATTGACAGACGAGGCTATTACCTATTATGAAGTGGACAGATAGACCAGTACCTGACACTGAGAAATCAGATATGAAATAAAACTTAGCTGTAAGAGTTGTCATGAAATACTTTACTGTAGTTGTAGAGCATTTTCACTTATTAAATTGACTCTGGAAGTGAATATGGTGTTTCTCATTACTCCTTTGCAATATTTAGCATGTACAATTCAACTGATTTATTACAAACAGTTTATTATTGTGTAAAAGGAGCGGGTCGGTGTGGCTTTTATACAAAATGTTGAATACAGTCTCCGTCAAATCTGATCGTGACGAAGATGCTTCTTTGGCTCAGTTGCATGGTAGAGCCATTGATGAGTACTTCCCCTGTCCTGTCACATTTCTATGGCGGAGACAGGCTTTCACAAACGATCTCGGTGGCACTGTAACCGATGCCATTGAAATACTGGCGAGCTCTCCGACTTGATCTCAATGTGTTATTGATTAGAATATGTATTAATTGTTGATAATCCTGTGACAGTCAACAATTTCACTTTTTAGACGCTTACTTTCGTAGGAATGTCGGAAGCTTTTATTCCATCATGCTTCAACAACGTGTGCTGAGACTTAGCTTGCTTTTTCCGCAACTTTCTCTCCGATTTTGATAATTTCATCATGTTTTGGCCTTCCTCTGCCATGGAGGCTGCCATCTTGATAGTCTCTAAATATACTTTTCGTAACTTTGTTCAGTCTGTTTATGTATCAGAATCTGTATACTTTTTTCTAGAACATTATTAGTTATCTATTTAAGTTCAGGTAAAATTGTATCTAAAAAGGTGACACAGTATTTCTTTCAAAAGGATAATCTTGCTTATAGATTATTTGTATGTGACGTCATTGAAGCAAGTGTGTCCGAAGGAAAATGGCGGTAGCTCTACACTGCAAAACATGGGAAAAATCGGGGAGAACTGAGTTGTAAGTGTCGTAATTAACACCGGATTTTACATTTTCATTTAAAGTGGATATATAAAAAGACGTGTGGTGCAAATTATACCGAAACCCAGGAGTATTACACTATGTTTCAGCATTTTACTATCTTGTCCTTTCATACCGAGATTTCCAATGAAAATCTTAAGAAATTAAGAAAACTGAAGTTTGGTAGTTTACTACTCGTCCATGTTGCCAGAAACTAGTTGTCATCTTGAACGTCTGATGCATTTTGCAATATTTCAAAATAGGTCACGTGCATGCCCGAAACTTCCAATTATGATGCTGAGGTTCACCAGGTCATGTGCTCCAAAAACAACACAATGTCTAGAATAGTCCGAAGGGCTAAATCTATCTGCGATTTTATTTTGTCTTGGTCCCGGACGATAGTCAGATACTTGCGACCCCTGCAAGGGTCGGCATTCAGTGTTTTACAGGTAACTGAATACCGCCAAATCTAACTACAAGGTAGATTTAACTTTACATTCAAACTTGACTATATATATTAAGATAAACGTACACAGCTGAGCCAAACCAGGTTGCGATCATGGTGAGCACAATGAAAAATAGTCGACAAATCTACTGAGTTGTTTAAACCAATGATTTTTGTCAAAGCACACCATCTCTGGTTAGTTGGTTGAATTTCATTGTTGCTGTTTTTGACACTTGCATCCCTTTATCCACATGTTGCAATGGTGAGACATGAAGTTTCCTTAATTCATTCTTAAACTAAACTTGTTTCCATCGCACAATTCATATTAATTGATAGTTACTTAATAAATAGCTAGAGTATGTGGAGACTGAAAATATGTAGCAATGTTAATACTGAACATTTTCGTCAGGTTGGAAAGTAAGGATTATGTAAAGATTCTTTATACACAACCAGGAATTTTAATATGTGACGTTTCGGTGACCAGTACGATCCGTACGCTGTCACCTTCCTCAGACAAATGACCAGTAAAGCATGTACACAAAGATGTGTACGAGTTGTCGTGGAATAGCGTCGATTTCGGACATGCTGACAAGTGCCGAAATGACTGTTAGCGAATAGTAAAACCATTCGGCTACGCTTATTTTATTACTTGGTCATAGATGTGCGAGAGTCTATGAGCCAAACGATATGTCGACGACATTTTAGAAATAATCAAAAAGGGATCACAGAAAGATCTAACTAACCACATAAACACTATTGACACCACTAACAACATCAAGTTTACATGTGAGGAAGAAACCAATTGCGGAATGCCCTTCCTAGACACACTTATAGCCAGAAGAGAAGACGGAACAGTGAAATTATTGGTCTACAGGAAAAAGACCCACACAGACCAATACCTCAACTTTAAATCCCACCACCCTTTACATCAGAAGTTAGGGGTCGTACGCACGTTGCTCAATCGATGTGAGACCATAGTCACAGAACAACAGGACAAAATTCAAGAGCAGAGCCACATCATGAAAGCAATGAAAAATTGTGAATATCCGGAATGGGCCCTTAAACGGGTACAAAAACAGTGTCAAAATAAAGGAAAAAACAGAAAAAGACCTATGAAAGATCAAAACAAAACAAAAATCCAGGTGGTCATCCCATATATAAAGGGTATATCTGAAACCATCCAAAGGATATACCGCAACCATGGCATAGCAACAGCCATGAAGCCCCACAAGACGCTTCGAAATATCCTAGTCCACCCTAAGGATAAGATAACCAAAGAGAATGTCGCAGAATGCATATACAAGATCGGGTGCAAAAACTGTGACGCGTCATATATTGGAGAGACTGGAAGGCGATTCGGGGTTCGCCTTGGGGAGCACCAGAAAGACACCGAAAGACAAGAGGAAAAGAAGTTCACCCGATCAGAGAGGAAGCAGTCGGAGTCCCAGATAAACAAATCGGCAATCACTGATCATGCCATGCAGAAAAACCATGTGATTGACTGGGAAAACTCAAAGGTGCTCGATAGGGAGAACCATCTTCTGAAGCGACAGATCAAAGAAGCCATCTGGATACGCCGCAGCGGGGCAGTTCTGAACCGAGATGAGGGGGCTCATAGACTCTCGCACATCTATGACCAAGTAATAAAATAAGCGTAGCCGAATGGTTTTACTATTCGCTAACAGTCCTTTCGGCACTTGTCAGCATGTCCGAAATCGACGCTATTCCACGACAACTTGTACACATATCACACCTTTGTGTACATGCTTTACTGGTCATTTGTCTGAGGAAGGTGACAGCGTACGGATCGTACTTGTCACCGAAACGTCACATATTAAAATTCCTGGTTGTGTATAAAGAATCTTTACATAATAATGTAGCAATGTTATTATAAAAAAAATATTGCCTGAAATAGAGCAAATATGACCATAACAATCATTTCACTTTCTCTCTTTGCAACCCTGGAACATGTCATGGCAAAATTGAAGGTACAAGTGAAGTAATTTGATTGGTTCCAGAGGGAAAAAAAACTGACAAATCACAAGCTGATACATTCCTTTTGAAGATTACAAAGGAGCGACATCCAACTTCAAAGCCATTACAATATACTGTTATGCGATCTCAATATTTGTTTGTTTTATATCAAAGAATCATCTTAGTCTTTTAGTCTTGTCCGCAAGGTATTGTACACAGAACCTTCAAATTGCCATGACATCAGGAAATTGATAAAACTACCACTGGATATTTATGCAAAGAAAAGATTAAAACATACTTCAGCTTAGTAGTATCAGAAAGCACATTACCATTCTGCATTCTCAAGTAAACAAGGGTAGTAGGCACATTTAAAGTTAAAGAGCAATGTCTACCACTAGTACTAGATTATACCAGGAGTTGTTTACTGTAACAAACTAACAAATAAGGGTTTACATATTTTCATTTTAGTTTGAAGTTGTGTAAAAATTCAGCAGAAAACAATGGTTTATGGAGTCAAGGGCCCAAGTCTCTGTCTCGCACTTTGTATGACCTGTGCTGGCAAGTGATCAAGGGCCAATTAAAACCAGAACAAGCACTTTCTGCCTTAGGTGAAGCATCGGTAAGTCAGTATTTATTGTATCAATTCTTGGTAAGAAATATTAAATTTACAAATCTTTGAAAGTAAAACAAAAAGGTATGAGACACGATTGAATATTCAAAACATTGACCATTCATTTACCATATTTTCCAAGTTATAAGCTGCAGCTTTTTTCCTTTGCGGTCAGGCGTGAAGCTGAATTTGCCATGACTTACAAGAAATTATATGACTATAAGAATTTTGTCAGCATATAACTGCTTTTGCTAATATTTAACAGTACAGACACTGATGCAGATATTAATAAGAAAACCATACGTAACGTCAGGCCCTATACATGTGTGTAGACAATCTTGAAAGGCTACCAAGCGAGAGGAGTTTGATAATTGCTATTTTACATTTTGAAACAATAAAATTTGCAAATGTTTCATTGACAATCTTGATAAATTGCCTTCTGTTGTATGCTATATCAACAAACTTTGGTCAACATAACATGTCGTAAGAAAGGTGCAACTTATATTCTCATGCAGCTAATATGTTGATCAAATAGCAAAAAATTGTTTAAATTTGACTCTGCATCTTACAAACCTATGCGGTTTATAACCTGGAAATATGGTACATATATGGCAATTTTAATCCTTCCTAATTTCAAAGTCGAAGCATAGGAATAGATTTAGGAATCTCTAAGAAGTAATTCCTATTAGTTATGTCAAAAGTTTACGACAGGAATACCTCTTAATAAGAGACATATATTAAGATTTGTTACTCCATATTTACATTATTTGGTTGCCATTATAGGATGCACACAATGGAATTCCCAGTGTTTTGGCTGATGTATTTGGAATTGTTGGTAAGTTCTTGCTAGAAAAAAAATAAGATGTTAAAAAGTCATTCCAGGTGATTATTGAGGAGTGTTTTAAGTACTTAAGTATACATGTAATAACAGTGTATATAAAGGCTCCAGTTAAGTTTTTCCCATAAAAGTTGTGACAATGATAAATACTAAATTATTGGAAGATACCTAGATCCTCCTTTTGTAATGGTTGGGTTGAAGAAAAATATGATTGCACCATGTTTAGTCTTTTGCATACAGGTATTTGTGGCTCATATTTGTCTTCAATTTTGTGTTTCATGTGGGAAGGCTCTTTAATCTGTTTTAATTTTCTAGATGTTGAATCATCAGCCACAGAGGACAAAGTCCAGAGAGAAAGATTTATATCTCTAGTATCATCTTGTGATGTAAGTTTTTGCTAAGAAACATTCTCACATTATACAATTTAAAGTTGACACAGAACTTTCCATTGATTATTAACTACAAAATTGCATTTTAACAGTTTTTGTTAACATAATTAGTTTGTCAAAAATAGAAATGTATGTCCTTGGACCATAATACTACTTGTAAAAAGATTATTTATACTGGCATTGGATATTTTTTCAATTAAGCTGAATTTGCTTTGCTTCCCTAACATCAATTTGTGAATTCTTGAATCAGCAAACTCATTGTCGTCACCAGTGCAAGTTGAGCTCAATAATGTCACAAAAATGACTACATGATCAAATGCTTTTAAAGTCTTAACAATGAATATTACTTCTTTATACATTTTATTACATTGGGATGATTCAAAGCAAATGTGATGATATAAAAATCTGTTAATGAAGTATAAATTACTCTCGGAAAGTATTGATCAGCATTGATTGTATATCAAGATTTGTTATTGATCTATTGTAGATAATTGTACCGCCTGCAGTGCTGAAGGAAAGACTTGACCAAGAATTATTAGAAAGTTGTGGGCTCATTACATCGAAACTACAATTTCAACAAAAATATGTCAAGACTAAAACAAAGTTATAGTAAGTTTTTATATGGTTAAACAATTTCAGTTCTTGGTTTTAGTGATTAGCACTTTTAAAGTGGCATCCTTATGTTTCAAAGTATTGGTGTCTCATTCTAGTGCAATATTAATGACTCTCCTTGGCACAGTATTGTCATATTACCTTGCTTGTCAAGGCATGTCTACAGATTTTACTATTGTAAGTTTTTAGTCCCTTTTGAAGTGGTCTCCGATAAAAGCATCAAATCAATATGAACAATACAAATCTAAAATCTATAAATATTTTTCGTTGGCAATTGGATTGCAGCAAGAACTGTCCTTAGGTTTAACTCAGTTAAATTTGAATGTTGAATAATGTTCAAATTGAAGAATGAAATTGCATATTTTGAAAAAAAGAACAAAATGGCAGAAATATTAATTTCTTAGTTCATTTGCTTTCTGTCATCTGTTTTGAAGCTAAAAACAAAAGTCTTGTTACTAATGTTTTTCCTAGATGAATAAAAACAAAAATTCTGAAATTTAGCGTTACAAGCTATTTATCCTTTCTACAGGAATATTCTTTTTATTACCATAAAACTGTGGCATTCAACTGGCCCTTAACATTTAGCAATTTCAGAAGTCAAATTACAAATATTAAGGGTCAAAACATATGTGACATAGATTGGTTAATGTAATGTGCAGAACCAACTTGGTTCAATTACATCAGTGTGGACAACTTGCTTCACTTCTACAAACTGAACCCTCCCTATACCAGACAAATATTCATGTCCCATGCATCCTCAGTTTGGAGAAGTTTGACTATAAAGATAACTTACCTGTCTCATCTTGTTTTGTTAAAACCGACCCAAAATCAAAAATATAATGAAAAAAAATTTGCCTAATATTTTGTGTTGTTACAGAAGTTGGGAACTAATTATGGTGTAAAGACACAACATGGATCTATCTATTCAATAGGTTGAGCAATGGCTTTTTTTGATGAAACAATTTAGCAGATAATCATTTTCAGATACAAGTTTACCCTTATTCTGACGCCCTGTATTTGCTTTTTTAGCTACAAACAACAAAAGTTCAACCTACTGCGTGAAGAAAGTGAAGGATATGCAAAGCTTGTCACTGAACTTAATCAAGAGATCACAGACAAGACAACTTACACACAGGTGTTAGAGAATCTTAAATCGCTTATAGGTAAGATCAGTCTTTTCATAGCAGTATATGTATATCTTTGAATAGAAATGTTATCTTTACAGTTCAGTTCATAAAAGTGCCTATGAGATTAAACTTCTCCAACAATTTAAAAATTAAAAAAAAAAAACTTTCATACTGTGATAAAGAAAAATGACAATTCAGTCAACACTACTATCGGTTTTTGAAGAAACCTTTAACTTTTATATTTTCTTTGGTGGGATGAATAAAAATAAACTGAAGAATTATGATATTGTAATTTTAGAAGGTTTGATCAGTCCTTACCTTTCAAAAATGTCTTATATGGTTCATGGAACTATGTTCTGGCAATTTTCGTTGTAGGGTGCTTTGACTTGGATCCTAACCGTGTGTTGGACATCTTGTTAGAATCATTTGAGCGTCGTCCAGAACTTGATGATTTCTATGTGCCACTCTTCAAAGAATATGTCACAGAGCAAAAGACACTGTGTCACATCCTTGGTTTCAAATTCCATTTCTTCAAGGCATGTGAACTACTTTCTATTCCTGATATATCATCAGTTTTTAATGATGTGTTAAGATAAAGAGACAAATATTGATGACTGCAGCTGTTTTAATAGTGTAGCTTAATGTTAATATGATAACTTTTGTTTGGCGAATGATCACTTAAACTCTCTTTTCTTTACTCTGTGTGAAGTGTCTTCAGTATACATATCATAAACTTGATAATCTATAGATTTAATGGTCTAAACTACTGACACGTGTGACTTCAACTAGTGATAGGCTAGCATTGAGTTATATACTGACTTTCTGTTACAGGAGGAGGAAACCCCAGCCAGTCTGTACACACTCGCGGCCCATTTACTGCAGAACGGACTGATTGACTTGGACTCCCTCTATCCCCATGTAAGAATTTTTTGGGATGACTAATATGTTGCTGATGTGACAGTAATAACATTACATTTTTAGGAGGAGCAGTTTCTGAATTTATCATTTTGCACTTTTAAAGTGGCATCCTTATCCTTCTAAGTATTGGTGTCTCATTCAAGTGCAATATTAATGACTCTCCTTGGCATAGTATTGTTGTTTTGCTTCAATGCAAGTCAAGGCTTGTCTACAGATTTAACTTTTGTAATCGAAACTCACTTTTAAAAAAGTTCCTGATAAAAAGCTATCTGAACTAGTGGTACTAAATTGTTTCGAGATGGTCCTAAGTTTTAAGGCAGTTAAGTTTTAATGCAGCTTGTTCAAATTGAAGGCATGTTATTGTAGATTTCAAAAATTTATATTTTGTCTATCTTGACAAACCGCTTTTATAATAGTTCTTGATAAAGAGATATCTTAACTAATGGTACTAAATTGTTTGGAGATGGTCATAAGATTTAATGCCGTTAAGTTTTAATGCTGCTTGTTCCAAATTGAAGGCATGCTTTTGTATATTTCAAAAATTCATTTTTTCTTTCTAGACAAACCATCTGGGAGTAATGATGTGATTAATAAGACATTGCTCAATTCACTGGGTTAAGCTCAGGCAATTTTTTGAGAAAGTAACATCAACAAGATTAAGAAAAAAAATCGAATTTGATTTAAGTACAAAATGGAGAAATATTGTTTATGATTGTAGTTGTTATACATTTGGATATTTTTTTAATCTCAATTTTTCACAAAACCAGTTCTGAAGATGTTTTGTGCTTTAGTATTGTTCAAATGATGCCAATGAAACTTCAGAATATTTATTTATTCGTTTATTTAATGACCTTCATTGTCGGGATAATTTTGGTTGGTAGTATTCACAACTGAAACTTTTATGGTATATAATGTTGATTTTGTGGTTCTAGCTATCGCCCCCAGATGCAAAGATTCGGGAACACCATCAAAAGGATATAGATGATGCCAAGGCCTATGCCAGGAAACTAAGTGTTGTAATTCTGTCTGAACGTTCAGAGGACAAAAAGGATGATGATACAGTCAAAGTTGATGTGGTATGTAATGACGAAGATGTTTGATATTTTACTGTGACATCAAAGTGAGTGCAGTGTCCTTGAGGCATCACGTTAGTTGCCAAAATTGAAAACTCCAGTTACCTGTCAGATACCTTGTCTTTAACATCTAAAACACCCTTCTTTCTGATAATGACTTAACATAATGTTGCATTGATCTAACAACAGTTGTTTATGCAGACTCTCATGTTGTCAGTTATGAAAATCAATAAATTATTGCTTTGTAAACCTTGCCTTTTTTGCAGCATGTGACCAACCAGAAGTTGGGATTAATTGAGGCCTTATTGGGACTGGGAGCTTGGAGCAATGCCAAACAGATTCTTGATCGGCTGCCTGAATTCTTTGCCACCACACATAAGCCCATCGCAGTAGCTTTGTGTTCTCTGGTGCATTACATGATGGACCCTGTTTACAGGATGTAAGTAGTACTGGAGTGCATTGTAGTATTTTAGATTGTGACATGTAGTCACCGGTTGATGGCCGTAATGACCATTTTTGTGTTGACGGGCCGTTAAGATTGTAACAATAATAATAAGTAATACCATGAACAGTTTGAGGAAAGATGTAATTTAGTAAATTTAGTAAATTTCAGTAAAGTATCCATCCCTCCTCAAGGCTCTAGAATTTGTTTCAGGATGTCACTGAGAAAACTTATTGAAGAAGTAATAATAAAAACAAGCATAAATACATTCTCCACAATGAATTTATAGGTCAAAGCAGGATCAATTACATGTTCTTGCCTATTAACATCACTGGGATAGGGGTACGTGTCAGAAAGAAGTCTGTCAAACCGTATTCAATATTTAATACCATTGCATTTCAAACCAGCATTGATCAGATTTAATGAAACCAGGCATTTGTTGCTTAAATCAAAAGCATACATATGATTCAATGTTATTCTAGTTTTAATATATTTCTTGATGTGAGAAAACATGTTTTGTAGATGAGTAATACATGAAAAAAATGTACACATAATGAAATAATGACAGTTTCTAGTGCCTTTGAAAAATAATAGAAATTGTAATTAAGAATATGCTGAAAATACAACACTGCAGGGTTGAAAATGTGATATTTAGAATGTTTGGCATTTTTTTAACGGTACACACTGTAGAGTATCAGTTGTAACTCTATGTGGTGTTGTTTGTATAGGAACTCAGGACTGCCAAGTAAGATCCTGAAGAGCAAGGTGCCTGATGGTGGAAGATTCGGCAGCAAGGTGGCACAGGCACATACATTCCGAGACCTACATCAGATGGTGCTGCCAATCATGAGATATATTGGACCATATACTTCCTGTGACCCGATTCTCATGGTCAAAATAATCAGAATGGGCAAGAATTTCATGGGAAAGGTGAACAAAAAAGTAGCTTATAAGAATGTTTTTAACCAATATTGAATAATAGTATCAGTTTTTTAATATCTCTGACATATATCAGCCATTTATCATGGCATGCATGTCCTGCCAATTTTTTGCCATGGAAAAAATTTACACAGGCATTGTGCTGTTGTAATAATTCTGTTCATGTTTGCTTTGATAAATTTCTTCTAATAAGTGCATTAATTAAGCCTTCTTTGGTTCTAATGTTACATTGAAGGTTGTGCTATTGTTACAGAGACATAGTGGTGGTATCAGTCCTGATGACGAAGTTGCTTACTACGGCTTCCTCAACATGTTGGACGAAGCATTGTTACCTGGCATGGTGCTTTTACCCTGTAACTGTTGCATCTCGGAGGAGCTGTGGGGCTTTATCAAACTCTTCCCATACATGCTAAGGTAGGTCATATTGTTATATCAGTACTTCCAGTAAGAGACTTCTAGAAATGTATTGGCTTGATAGGTGTGTCATTTGATATCTAGGGATTACTTTGTGTTTGCTATGGTTGCTTTGTCTGCTTTGGCTGATCAAGCATACAGTCATTTTTAAAATCTGTGTTTCTTTATGATTTTTGTGACATTTATCTTAGGGATATTTAATCCTAAGTTTTCTGAAGATGATTTGTTATTATATGTTGTTGTCTTGCATAAACTATATCTGACTTGGAAAATTGATGTTGATTCACACTTTGATATAAATCTGTTTGCTAAATGTCTCTGTTTTTTTTTTTTATTGTCTCTTGTTAATATCTCGTTGTGCAGATATCGTTTGTATGGAAACTGGAAGAATGATACTTATAGTCATCATGCGAAGCTGATTCGAGCTCGAGCTGATTGTATGGAGAGGGCCAAGTACATAATGAAGTAAGTGGTTAGATCTTCTTGTAAATTTCTTTCAAGAAACTTATATTTGTTGGGTGTAAGTAGGACGGGTCGACTCTTTTTATCTAAACCTGAAGGAAGGGAGAATAAATAAATTGATTCTAATTAATGAGAATCTAAGATACAAAGCACCTTAAAGTGTCATTCCTACCATTTGGTGGTATTAATGTCTCATTCAAGTGCGAAATTAATTATTTATCCTAGCAGTGTGCTGTGGTCAAGCTGCAATACATGTCTAGGTTGACTGACAGTTTTCACAATGTATAATATGCATGTTAATTACTGACATGCATTTTCATTTTTGGATAAATTGGTGCTGAGCATACAGACTGAAAAAAAAGCTGTGTATTACATGTATTTGTACAAGTTTTATGGCAGTTATAAACAGACACTTTAGTTAAGGTATTGGTACTGTGTCACCTGTATAGCAGTATTAGTGAAAGGGAATGCTTTACTTATGGAATCAGTAACCTACAGAATAATTACTGAATGTTTAAATATACCTTTGTAATGTATATGCTGTAAGAGATGAAGTGAAATACACAGCAAGTACATTTTTAATTAGTTGGTGTTCTGTGATACTTTGACAATGTTTTTGTGTGTAGCTAGTATATCATGACCAACAGAATAAGCGTTGGCAAAAATGATGTGTCTGCATTACTCATATTTTCTTTTCAGACGTCTAGCAAAGGAGAATGTGAAGCCATCTGGACGTCAGCTTGGAAAACTTAGTCACAGTAACCCAGGGGTTGTGTTTGAATATGTAAGTATGAAGGAAAAAACAATCTGGTTGTATTTTGATGGTTTACAGTATAAGGAGGCTATGAAATGGACAACACCTTTTAACTTAATTAATGATAAAAGAAAATGAAAAAGCTGTCTTTGAAGTATTTGACTTGTAATTTTTTATTTGTATTGTCAATTAGCTGGATAAAAATGGTTTTCTTGTATCATTACAGGTACTGTCTCAGATCCAGAGATATGACAACTTCATTGGACCTGTAGTGGATTCTCTCAAATATCTCACTTCACTATCTTATGATGTGTTGGCTTGTATCCTTTGTTATACTTTAGTCAATTGGAAGTAATGAAACACAACCACAACACACCTCGGCAGTTTCTTTGTTTTATTTGCCACATTTTTACGGTTGACCAGTTTCGCATCATAGGTGATGCTTCATCGGAACCCTGAACAATTTCCACTTGTCGCCTATACAACTGCCCTGCATACCTAGAGGTATCCACACCGACAGCTAGGGACCTTAGCTGGACTTCATTGCACCTCGGCATTAGTTCCAAACTTTGACCCCATTTTGGTCGATTGTTTTACATAGGATTGCAGTTTAAAGGAAATGGAGAAAGGACCATTTATTAATAACCACTTGATACATTCTTGTTCTGGTGGTCGCAAAGAATGGAACAGTAAAAGGATTTTATGAAATATCTTGTACTCTTTCTGATACAGTTAAGTGTACATTTCAGGAAGTCCAACAATAATTGTTAGAAATATGTTGAAGAAAAACACAGATGAAAATTAATCTCTCTAGGAATGATACTATTTGTATTAGAGGTCTGACGAAAAAGGTTCCTTTAAGTAATCAAATGTATATTTGAATAGGTATTTTAGTTAAGGTCAGGCTCTATCAAATATGTTATGAGAAGAAAACAAGCTTCAGAACCATGTAGAAAAGTAAAGGCCATTTATTAGTAACTGCTTGACACATTCTTAATCAGATAGAAAAGAAACTACAGGGATGTTGTAAAATGTCTTGTGCTCTATGTGATAAAGGAAAATTTTCTACAGCAAGTTGTGTTCTACTTAAGCAATTTTGTTGGGTGAGGAATGTCTTTTAGATTTGCTTTTTGTTGGAGTTCATGTGCCAGTATCGAAAACTCTATATCTTGAAATATTTTTTCTAAAGATGAACAGAATATGTTGAGTGAAATAGCTTATAAAATACAATATTAGACTTCTAATTATGAATGAAAAGATTTCCTGCTAGTTGTATTCTATATTCCTTAATGGTATTAAGTTTGCATAATTGAAGCAGTGGCAAATCCAGAGAAGGACCGAATGAAGTATGATGACACAAATATCTCCTTGTGGCTGCAGAGTAAGTCATATGCCTTTTCATAGAAGTCTTTGATTTTAGACAAAACAAAGTCTTTATACTCTAGTACTAGAATAATGTGACATGGATTGAGTATTTGACAATGCACAAAGTCTGGTAATCAGCCCACCAACATATATTTCTTTTTTAGATGCTAACAAAAAACCATTTTCATATATCATTGTCATGTAATAATCCCGACTCTTTTTTTGAGTTCACCTTAATTTGTTAGTCCCCATTGCTAATTTCAGGGTTGATAAAGTACATTACTAAAACATATTCATTTTTTTTGTTGATGTGACATTGATTGATGTACATAAAATTGAGTTCATTTTCATTTATTTAACAATATTTTTCTCCTAAATCATGACTGCAGCAATGAAAACTTCCATCAGAGCATATTCTTTATTTCTCTGACCAAACTAAAGATATTAAGTTTTTGCTGTCTTCTTGTATCTATCCAGGTTTGGCAAATTTCACTGGGTCTATCTGTCGGAAGTACAACATAGAGTTGGCTGGGGTGATGCAGTATGTGGCCAATCAGCTCAAGGCTGGCAAAAGGTAAGTAAAGCAATGTTCTGTCCAGTGAAAGCAATGGTCAGTACTGGTATGAAGTAAGGTTAAGTCTACTACAAAGGAAGGTCAAAGCTGGTATAGATTAATGCCTAGGCCAGTGGAAAGCATAATGAAAGCTTGTTTGAGATTAATTTGAGACAGGTAGGAGGCAAGGTCTAGGTTTGTTTGAGGTAACATTTCGGCTTCTCAAAAGTCATCAGAGATATTGCATTCACAACCCAAAACATTCAAACATTCATTTGAGCACTCACAATTATCACAATTTTTATACAGTCCTTGAATCAGTTGTTTCTATATGATATTTTAAAAACCTGAAAACTTAAGTTTGGAGTAAGTTATTATGGAGTAGGTATCAGATCAGAAAAGGTAAAGATTGGTGAAATATGATAAAAATAAAAATACAGGAATAGTGTCTGCAAAAGGGGAGTACAAGTGTTGAAAATATGAATCCATTTTTAGCTTTGATTTGCTGCTCCTGCGTGAAGTTGTCCAAAAGATGGCAGGCATAGAAGTTTCTGAAGAAATTACTGGGGACCAGCTGGATGCCATGTCGGGAGGAGAGCTGCTTCGTCAAGAGGTGGGTACTTTTTTGTAAGCAGTTTGAAGCAGATCTGAGTATTTCTTTTGAAGGGAAAGGGAGGAAAATGTGTATAATATATCTACTGAACCCTTACACAGATTTAGCTCCTATTCACAGTATATAACATCAAGTTTTACACTCAATTAGATTTTGATATTCATATGTCAAAGTTAACAGGTCAAAGGTCACGTTGAGCCAGTTATAACATTTTAAAGGTGTTTCATATATATAAAGATACCATTTCCTGCTGGGGAGGTAGGGGATAGCCTTCTGCTTACTTTTACATTGTTGGTTAAAATCAAATAGTTTCCAAAGAACAGTAAAAAAGAAAAGTAATCATTTTTCAGGGTGGCTACTTTTCCCAAGTGAGAAATACCAAAAAATCATCAACTCGTCTGAAGGATACTCTACTGGAACATGACTTGGCTCTTTCCCTATGTCTGCTGATAGCACAACATAGAGATGGGGTTGTATTTCAAGAAGGTGCTGATACACATCTCAAACTTATTGGAAAGCTTTATGATCAGGTAAGGCATGATGTAATGACAGATAAACCCGCATGTCTGACTCTTGTCTCACTGACAACCTAGTGATTCTCTTTAAAGATAGTTAATGTGATAAAAGTATATTACTCTTGCAGATTATGTATATTCAACAGAAATACATTTTAAAATGGACAGAAGTTGAAAATTATTCATATCTATCACAATGGCACCCTGATCTTTTATCTTTTAAAATCTGACCAATGCTTTGCCATGTCTACAATGCATGTTAAAGTTGACGACAGCAGTGTTGAGGGAAGTTTACTCTGTTAATGCTTAAAAATGGTGTTTTATTGGGTGAATGAAGTCCTATGTATCTTTGATATATAAATCAGTATACAGCATTTAAAGTATTGCATGGTTTCCCTTTTTTGTTATCTTCTCTTGCTGTATTTTTTATTTAATCAATTTTCAATTAATTTGTGAAATTTTGAATACATCACCATTAAAATCTTAATATCTTCAGGTTTTGCAAGGTTTATAGACTTAATATTTGTTAATTGTGTGTATTTCAGTGCCAGGACACGCTGGTTCAGTTCGGGAGTTTTCTGTCCATGCAGCTGAGCTCTGAGGAGTTTGTTAAACGTTTACCAGATGTAGACACTCTCATTACAACATATCATATACCCCCAGATGCAGCCTTCTTTCTTTGTAGGCCTGCATTTACATATGCAATTAATGTAAGTTCCATCTTTATACTGAATCATGTATTGTGGTAATGATTATCCCAAAATAAAGAACATCTGTTGAGATTTCTTAGTTAAGGTATTGTTTACAACTGCAAGAAAGCAACAATATGATAATCAGTGCTTTTCTAATTTTCATGCAGTGGAAAATAATTAACTAAATCAATTAACTCTGGGTCTTTTAATTTTAATTTAATTGAATTTTGATTTACAGTCAAAGTTTGATGAACTCAGGAAAATCGACAAAAGCAGTAAACACAACTCCAGTCAACAGAAAGTATGTAGAGCATATCTTTATGATTTTCAATATTATGAAATCATTCTTTTTCATTGATTTCTTGGCTAATCTACAAATTATGTCCACCAACTGTTAGAATTAAGTATAAGAAGACTTATTGAGCTATATTTATAAAAAAAATAAGCATCCATGAAATACTTATCTTTTGAAAATCTTGGAAATTAGAGCCCCCCCCCCCCCCCCCCCCCCCCCCCCTGTGAAAGAAATGATTTTAGAGTAGGACTTTGAGAATACATTTTAAGTGTATTGCCATTCTTTAATAACCACTTGATACATTCTTGGTCAGCTGGTCGCTAAGAATGGGACATTAAAGTTATCTAGTGAAATATCTGGTACACAATTTGGTAGAGTGTACATTTCACGAGATCCAACAGCTCTGATTGGAATATTGCTAATAGTGGTATTAGAATTATTTCATTGTTCATTCTTCTTTAGTTGTCTTAAGTTTTATATTTCTTATTCAGTTTGAAGGTAAATACTCAATATATTTTGAAAACAAATGTCATACTAAAAAGAAAAAATTATAAAAGATGTCTGTTATCATTTAATGTTTGACAGAAAGTTGTATTTAACACCATCAACGGTTCCTTATGTAAGAAAATGAAATGGTAAGAGAAAATGTCATCGGTAACTTGTACAGTAAATGTAATAAAAATTAATTCTGTTTTAAACATGGTTTTTTCTTTAGATGCTGAGATATATAGAGGCATCAGAGTTTGTCAATGGTCCTGTGATAGAGTTGGTGCGGCCACTGTACACTCCCAAAGTGTGGGAAGATCTCAGGTATGTATCTTACTCATTTATTGCAACAAATCTTTTTATGAACAGACTAAGTCATCTACATAGTTTGATAATGTTTGAGTCGACTGGACAGGCTAAATAATTGAGAGAAAGAATAAAGTGCAATAACAAAACTAAGACCTTAAAAAGGAGATAGTCTTGTTACTATGTGGTCGGCAACTTATTCTAGTTGAATAATGTTGAGCTTCAATTTTTCTGTATAATTAGAGTCTTTAAAGGACTTCATATTCAACACTGAAGTAAAGTAAATTCATATTCAGAATCTGAAATCTAAACTTTTTACACACCCACCCACATATTGTTTATTCACCAGAAGTTTCTTCTCTACCCTTACTTGAATTTCTAATTTTTTTTCATTTCTTTCACAGTGCCCCTTTCTTCGTGACTTTTTGGTCCCTGCAAATGTATGACCTTGCAGTACCCTCCAATGTGTATGACAAACAGAACCAGCAGCTGAATGCACAAATCAATGCTATTGAGGAAAATAAAGACATGGTAAGAACAGACAAATGTCAAACTACATGTTACTTTTAATCTGGTTACCTAGTCACCACTAATCAGGTTACCTAGCCACCTCTAATCAGGTTACCTAGTGATCTCTAATCTGGTTACTTAGCCAACTCTAATCAGGTTACCTAGTCACCTCTAATCTTGTTACCTAGTGATCTCTAATCTGGTTACCTAGTGATCTCTAATCAGGTTACCTAGTCACCTCTAATCTGATTACCTAGTGATCTCTAATCTGGTTACCTAGCCACCTCTAATCAGGTTGCCTAGCAATCAAGTTTTTTAATCCAAACATTTCAACATCTGGGTTAAAGATGGCTAGTTCAAGTAGTGTTTAGTTATTATTTAAGAAGATGAAATGAGATAATGATTTCCATTACGTAATGCTTTATCTCTTTACATACATTTAACAGTTGTGAGTGATTATCACTTAAATTATAGATGACCTATCATTACACTTTTAATGTATGTTAAAATTATTATAAAGTTTCAGTTGGTATAATCATTTACGTGCAGATTTCAATGTGATGTCTTCACTGTAGCTATCTTTAAATTTAATATTTATGAAATTACCTGGATCTGTAAATGCATTGTAGTATGCTATCTTGATGATTATGATCACAACTTTACATGTAAGTTTCTACTGTTGTTACTTCCCCCCCCTAGAATTCCTGAAGCATTTATGATTGATTTGAAGGTAGGGATTTATATGTAGTTATTAGGTGCATTGTGTGTTAATGAATGTTAATATCATTTATATCCTAGCCTCAGAGTAAGAAGAAGAAAGAAAAAGAAAGATGTAACACACTGATAGACAAACTGAAAGATGAAGAGAAGAAACAGGGCGAACATGTGGCACGTGTCCTCAATAGACTCAAGAATCAAAAGGAACAGTGGTTCATCTCCAGTATGTGTCATTATCATAAATCATACAGGGCTGTCTTTTGTCAAGAAGCAAAATTTGACTAAGAGACTTGCAAAATGGTAGCGAAAATTATAACATTGTCTGACATCTAGGTTCATTATAGAAATATGTTTGGTTTCCTGTATCTATGAGAGTATACATTTGAGAAGAGAATATGCATTTACTACTTATCAGTCCTTTTTATATGGTACTTCATGGTTTCAACCAGGTAGCAACTATTACCACAAGCAGTACATACCTTGACAAATTTTATGAGGAGAATTAAGGGAAGAAGAGCAAATTTGTTTTCATGACTGATAATTAGTAATTTTACGGTTTAATTGAGAGATGCACATTCTCCTATCACATAAGTTACCAGGTTTTCCCCGTTTAGATATGTTAAGGTATCCAGTCACCTGTGTGACCTCATTGGCTTCCCCATCTTCTCCCACAGGAAGACCTCTTGACTTATTCAATCCAGTTTTTGTCAAATTATGTTAATAGTCATAGAATGTTCTAGTTAAGGTTCAGAATTTGATTAAGAGATTTATATTCACAAAACTAAGGATACATTCTGTTTTGATACATAGGATCAACAAAGAATGAGACGATCACGCAGTTTCTTCAGCTGTGTATATTCCCCAGGTGCTGTTTTACAGCCATTGATGCCTTGTACTGTTCAAAGTTTATACACATACTTCACGACTTGAAGACTCCCAACTTTTCTACTCTCATCTGTTACGACAGGGTAAGGAAAACAATTGTTCTGATGATATCTTTTCAAGTATCTCGCCCAAGTATCACAGTAGACAGTTTAATAGTAATTTATGTTTTTTATTAAATCTTAAATTCCAGCATCATGGGAACTTAACAGAGGTCTTAAACGTTAGATAGTTGCTTCTAATTTTAGTAAGAGCACAAACACATATTGGCCCAAGAAAGACATGCGCAATGAATCATGCACCTATGTAGTTTTTAAAGTGAATTGTTATGTATGTAATATCTGTTGTAGATATTCTGTGATATTACCTACACTGTGACATGTTGTACTGAGAACGAAGCTCATCGTTATGGTCGATTTCTGTGTGCAGCACTTGATACCATTATGAGATGGCATAGCAACAAGGGTATCTATGAAAAGGTATGGATATCAAGTTTGCAATATAATGTGATTTATATATTTGTAAAAATTTGGTAAGCTTATAGTATTAGTGGCTGTTCACATTTCATTGTTGTGAGATGACTTGAAAATTTGATCAAACATTCTAGAAAAGTGAAAATAGTGATTTTGTAACAGTTAGTGGTTGGCTGTCATTGCAGTAACAATTTTCTTGAAATTTGCTGATTCATTGTTATATTAAAAGAAAGATTATGGTCTTTCTTGATCATTAAAAAATATATGGAAACAACATCGTTTATTACAGGAGTGTGCCAGTTACCCAGGGTTTGTAACAGTGTTCCGTAAAGGTACAGATAGTAACAACAAAGCTGATCAGCTAGACTACGAGAATTATCGTCATGTATGTCACAAGTGGCAGTTCAGGATTACAAAGGTGAATATTGAAATGAGTTGTTTTTGTCTTTTTGAAAAATTCTTGAATTCTGTTGAAACAAAAAGAAAAGCAATTAAGAGCAGGTTGATTCTTGTCACAGTAGAAAATGAAATACTTGTAGGGGAGGGATATTGGAACTTTTCTGTAGCCCAATTAACCACAATTTAATTTGGTTTAGACTCAATCACTTCCATATTTTACTCTTCTGAGTGATGGAACAGATTGGAGAGTAAAATGGTGTTGACACTTCAGTATTTAAATTTACATTCAACTCAAATATATTTTACTTTCTAAACCATATTTGCTATATAGCTAGATCAAAGAAAAGTCACATGCCATTCAGGATGTACATAGAGATTAAGTATTTCTCGATTTAATTGGTATGAGCATTCCATGAGATAAATTAACAGATTGATTTAGTTTGAATGGAATACCATCAGCTTACATATATTCGGAGGACCTAGAAAAACTAGTAAGTCATGCATGTTTAAATAGTGTATTGCATTTGGATATTTGTGTGACGATTCTGATGACAGTAGTGGCTTAAAACCTCTTGTTCATCAGAAAATATCACAGAGTGAAGGGGGAAAAAAATTGTTTAACTTGATATTTTGATGTTTTCAGGCAATGGTGTCTTGTCTCGAGTCTGGAAAGTTCATACAGATTCGCAATGCTCTCATTGTGCTCACAAAGGTTGGTTATATGAAAATGATTAAATGTATAATCAAAAATTTAATAACAAAATTCTATTGTAAAATTTTCATTTATGAAATAAGGTATTTCCTCTCATTAGGGAAAAAATAAAAACAAACAAAGAAAAATTAAGTGAGGAGAGGAATCCTTTTTCCATATTTTGATGATGATAATTCAATGTTTGGACGATATTTAACTTTTCAAGACACTACTTTAAAAAAAAAAATTTGTCTTAGTTCCTTCTTTCATTGAAAACAGAATGTATGTTATGAAGATCACACACTCTTCTCAAATTGCAAGATGAATTCTACAGTAATGATTTATTTTGAATCATAATATTATATTGATATTGTGTTTTTAGATCCTGCAGCACTATCCACGCATCACACAGTTTGGCCAGGCACTGGAACGACGTGTGGACAGACTGAGACAAGAAGAGAAAGAAAAACGACCAGACATATATGCCCTTGCTATGGGGTATGTACTGATTTTACATCTGAAAGCCAATCTATTATTTTACCATAGGTAGTGGTATGATCAGCAGTGAAAGAAATTTGATTGCCAAATTAATTTTGATATTTTCTGAAAGAGAATATGTTTGTGAATGAAAATAGATAATTTTGTGGAGGAAAACAATTAGTGAACATTTTTTTATTGAAGAAAGATGACAAGGAGTAGGCCTTAAATTATTTTTATTGTTTGTATTTTATATCCCCACCTGGTCAAAGGTCAACCTGGACCACTTTGCAAAGAAAGGATTTGTGCTCACTCTGTTTTATGAACTAAAACTTTTACAGATCTTATTTTTATTGTCTCCCGTGTGACGAGAAGTCTAGGTTTGACTTTTCTTCCAGTGGCAATATCAACATTTCACCGTAAAGTCAAAGTCTAGATCCATAGCTGAAAATGTAAAAGTCTAACTTGAATCAAACTTGGTATACAGATAGATCATATAGTGGACACTTTAACACATCCATCATTTACAAAATAATTTCACTGTCCAGCAGCTCAGAAAATTAGGGATGCAAAGATAGTGGACTTCAAAATTTTTGCTTTCATCTCAGTTTCTAAAAAAGTGCAAGTTCTATTCCGATAAAACATTGAATATTGTTTTGTAGTATCAATATATAATAGATTAAAAGATATTCTTCAATCAGTTTTTTTGTGACAAAGTCTTAAGATTTTGAGAAGTGACTACAAAGTCTTTATGACTTGTTCTATTCACATCAGATTAAGTTGATAGTCATATTGACACGAATACATGTACTGTTAAATATCAGATGGATTTTTCTCTCTTTTCTCGGAAAGAGTGATGTCTCTTTGGTAAAAAGGCCTTTTGTAATGAATTTTAAGAGTTGAATTTACCAACCTTTATTTCATACCATTACTCAATACTTAAACATGACCAAAACATAGCTATAATGTTTACATATTATCAATTAAAATGGAGATTTAATATCTAGGAGGGGAAGACAAACTTTAGTGTATTTTGCTTTAAAATGACCTTACTAACAAAGTGGGCAGGTGAGACTGGTAATTGTGCATAGTTCTTGTATGATATTATGTTTTATTTTTACACAGATATTCAGGACAGCTTAAAAGCAAAAAATCTTCCTGGGTTCAAGAAGCAGAATTCCACTTGAAAGACAAAGAGGTAAAAACAGATGGCTTCAAGTAAAGGTTGATTTTATATTCCTGTGGGAAAGTTGTCAGATATCTTTAATATATCAGTAGATGAATGCATATTCAAATATCCTCCAAGTTTGGGGCAGGTATGTGGAGAATTGTGTTAAATTATGGTCTACATTTGAGTTAAGCTAATTGGTTTAACTGTTTAGAAATGATAATTTTGGCGCATTACTAGTGTATGTATATGTATGCTTATGTTTTTTACAGGTGAAAAGCACTGTAAAGACCCCTAGTGCTACATCCCAGCCAGCCAGTGCTCAGCCCACCAATGGTGTCGCAGAGAATGGGTCCAAAAAGACCAATGGGGAGGTGAAATCTCAATCAAAGAGGACAGAAAATGGTGAAGGTAAATGCTGATTGTTACATTATTTAATTGTTATATATATCAAGAAACGTATGTCACTTATTTTTTTTTCCAGATTTTATTTTTAATATACTGTAATAGAAAAAGCTAAATCTGTTAAGATGAACATCTATACTAATCTGAAAAAAGGACTTGTGATTATCTGTATATTTGTCACTGATTTGGAAACATCAGATTTAATCAAACTTGAAGAAATGGTTGCTGTTTGTTTTATTCTGTTATCAAAATGACAGCAGTTTTGGTACTGAGGAATTTGAGAACTAAGACTCTCATCTGGTGCATTAGTGTGATAAACCAGATGGTATCGACTTTAACTTCGGCTAATTTTAAATGTTACTCTATGCTTGTAGTTTTAAGTTCAAAGTCAAAGGAACCAAAGGAAAGTAAGGAAGTCAAAGAGAAGAAATCACGTGAACCTGTGGAGAAGAAAGAAAAATCAGATTCTAAATCCAAAATATCTTCTGAGAAGTACCCTGGAAATGTTGAAGAGAGGAGAGAAGTAACATCAAGGTAACTGTTATATAAAAAATCCCAGAATTCATACAGTGATTGTTCAGTTCTTTTATAGTTACAACACTCACTAGCACACATTCACAAACATTTCTGCATTTTAGTGATTTTTCTGATGACGCACATATTTTTCAAACACCTATAACAACAACCATCAAAAGTTTGTTTTTGTATGTTCATCTCTGTAGATGAAATTTTCACATTTACATTACATTGTAGCCTTAATTTGTTGTAGCTCTAAAAAAGAGAAAGAAAACAGCTATAAAGACAAAGAGGAGAAGTCATCTAAAGATAAAGATAAGTCTCATGTGGAGGAAAGGTCAACGAAAGAGAGAGGTCATAGTAGCAAAGAAGTTAAACATGTCAAGGATGAGGACACAGAGTGGGTAGCCAAAGAAGATCGAGGCCACTCCTCAAAAGAGTCAAATAGGATTAAAGAGGAGAAAGTCCGTATTAAAGAGGAACCCAGAGAAAGGAAAATCGAAATAAAAGCAGAAAAAACAGTGAAACGTGAAGACAAACATGAGAAGGTGAAACTGAAAAGAATGTATGACACTGAAACGAGGGACAGCAGAGAGGTGAGAGATACAGGCAGGGACATGGTGAGGGAGTATCGGGAGTCACCCAAGGAGCGGGAAGGCCATCGAGAGAGACGAGGAGAGGAACATCCTGAGAGAGCTTCCAGTGTAGGTTCCAGTGGTAGCCATGGATCCGCCAACATTCGTCGTAGCCCAGACAAGTCGCCTCAATATGCAGATGAACGAGGTTAGTTAAGTTTATTCTGTTTTCTGTAGCAATTCATTGACCTTAAGATTTTGTAAACTTTGGAATGATTAGACTCTGTAACAAAAATCACTAGCAGTATCTCACAAAGTTTACAGACTAGACTACAGAACTATAGTTCCATTTGTTTGCAGACACTCCTGGTTTCCTAAGGTTGCAACTTCTAAATTTAGGTAATATAAGAAAACAAGGAACAAAGTCAAAAACCATTCCAAATGCCACTCAAAGTGTGCATTTTTAAAGTAAAGACATTGGAATTTACAGGATAAAAACCCCATGTCATCAGTTTAAGATCAACTTTTATTTAAAGATTTAATATATCCAGTCATAATACAAATTGCATGAAAACACTTCTTTGCAAAAACGTGTTTATTTTATATCCAATATCATAATTAATTGTCTTTTTTAGTGTAGTCGAAACTCATAACTAGACATATGTTTTTGATTTCAATGGTAAGTTGTTTCCGTAGTAAGTTGCACTGCAGCAATTTTGATTGTGACTGTGACCAGTTCATTGTTTTAAATTGAATTCTTGCAATTGATGTTGAAATGAAACAATTCTCTTGTTCATAACATATTCAGTCTACCATCATCAGATGGTTGGCTGTAAAATCATCCTGCATCCATGGTCCATTTTGAGAAGTACTGGATGTATCTTTCTCAGATTTCACATGAAGGGGATAGAAGTACTAATTATATCTTGTTTTTCACTTCATTTATTTAACATTTTGTCATTATATTCTGGTCATGTTAAATCCAGGCAAAGACGAAACATGCTTATGGCTAGTCCACTACAATATATTGATGTGATTTTTATTACGAACATGCCGCAAGTCATCAACTTGACTAAAACCAACAAAAATGCAAACAAATGAATGGCTCCATTAAGGATTCGAGGCCATTTTGGCTAAGTCATGTGGCCACCTCGTGTATACTGCAGTTATAATCTATCCATCACCATTTTTTCAAAGTTGCGTTAGTTTTCACATCCCATGAGAGATTTGAAACCAAGATGAGTTATCACCCTTGAACTTTTGGAATCAAAATAAACATGCATTTGGAAGCATAAATTGATGTTTTGATTTTGTGATTTGTGTAAAAGTAAAAATAACTGAATTATTTTGTCCTACAAAATCTGATATTCTGTTTACATTTTTTGGGGCTCCTGTTTAACCCATCACCTATACGATTCAATTTGTAGTGGCACCAATCACACATAAAATACATTTTAATTTTGTTCCAACCACCCACAAAAAAGAGCCCTAACTGGAAGTTTTTGTGTCCACAGATGGAAAACGACGTCGCCTGGACACCTCTGCCACACCTTCAAGTTCCAAGGTTAGTATGATGGAGGTCTGCTCCTGATGTCGGTCGACACTGTGTCAATGTGAGGTCAAATACAGAGGTCGCAGGCACCTTGCTGGCATCACCTAGGCAACCTGTACCTACTCTGGGCCCAGAGATGGAAGGAATGATTTAATGTCTAATCCATGTTGGTTTTCAGAGAATCTTGGTTTTCAAGTTGTCTATGCAAAGATCCATTTTCAGAAAGAGGCAAGGGATTCGAAGAATGTTCGGATGTAAAGAGATATGGTTTAGAAGTCATATAAGTTTAAGGGTTTTAGTTTTATCCAGCTTGGAATTCATAAAGTTTGCAATGTTGAGATGAAGTGGGGAAGTTGTGTACCCTGAGTCAGCATGATTCCTTCCATTAGTGTGATACTTCATCATGATAATATTTAAAAGCAAAATGTCATCCCTAAATGGAAAGGCAGAATGGATGCAAGGAACCATGATGATAGTTTTGTCACAAACTTTGTCTAAGAAATATGTTTCAATTTGGTTTGAAAGTTGTTTGGTTATAGGCAGTTGTGTGCAGTAATATTTGGATGAAGAAATTCTAATCTTCAGTGGTTGGATTTCCTACTTCAACCAGTTTCTCCGAGATGTTTACCAAGAGATGCGCTGCTTTACTAAATTCAATCTTGAGTAAATGCCAATTTATAATTCCTGCCAATAACCACGATGTTACTGCCACTAAGATTCTGCATCAACTGCAATTGATATCCTAGGATTTAACCTATTCAATATCTTCAAACAACAAGTATCCAGGAATATTCTGCCAAATTACTACTTCAGCAGCTTCAGTTAACCAGTCTACAGCTATGTCATTGCTACCAACATCTAATATCAAATGTCCAGAGTTGAGTTGTCTACCAAATTCAGAAGTTGCAGATGATCCAGTTGCAATATCTTGATGCTGATTGATATTCAATAATCATCTGTCCAGTGGAGATTCAGCTTCCGAAGTTACTGCTTCGACAATGTAAATACAATATATCAAGAGAGGGTCCAACTTCACAACTTCCTGCTAAAACGGTAGGAGCAAATATCCAGAAAATGTTCAATTGCTAAGTCACTGCTTCAACAATTGAAACACATACCCAGAAATCTAGCTACCAGGTCACTGCTTCGACATTTGAAACACATATCCAGAAGTCTAGTTACAGCAATTCCAGGCATCTAACTACCAAAGTTGCTACTTCCACTATTCAAACACGACATACCCAGAGGAGTTTCAACTTCCAAAGTCACTGCTTCAACAATTTAAACAAATATCCAGAAAAGACCCAACTTCTGAGGTTGATAATTGAAACAAATATCCAAGTCGCTGCTTCAACACATCACATCCACAAGAGGTCCAATTTTCAAAGCCACTGCTCCAACCGTAAATATCCAGGGAAGGTCTCGGCTTTCAAAGTCCCTGCTTCAACAAAGTAAATGAAATTTATCCAGAGAAGGTCTTACCAAAAATGTATACAAAATATGTCCAGAGAGGGCCCAACTTCTAGAATCGCTGCTTCTGCATTTAAAACAAAGTGTCAAAAGAGGGCCCAGCTTCCAGAATTGCTGCTTCTGCATTTAAAACAAAGTGTCCAGAGAGGGCCCAGCTTCCGGAATAGCTACTTCAGCATTTAAAACAAAGTGTCCAGAGAGGGCCCAGCTTCCATAATCGCTACTTCAGCATTTAAAACAAAGTGTCCAGAGAGGGCCCAGCTTCCATAATCGCTACTTCAGCATTTAAAACAAAGTGTCCAGAGAGGGCCCAGCTTCCAGAATCGCTACTTCAGCATTTAAGACAAAGTGTCCAGAGAGGGCCCAGCTTCCAGAATCGCTGCTTCAGCATTTAAAACAAAGTGTCCAGAGAGGGCCCAGCTTCCGGAATTGCTACTTCAGCATTTAAAACAAAGTGTCCAGAGAGGGCCCAGCTTCCAGAATCGCTGCTTCAGCATTTAAAACAAAGTGTCCAGAGAGGGCCCAGCTTCCGGAATTGCTACTTCAGCATTTAAAACAAAGTGTCCAGAGAGGGCCCAGCTTCCAGAATCGCTGCTTCAGCATTTAAAACAAAGTGTCCAGAGAGGGCCCAGCTTCCGGAATTGCTACTTCAGCATTTAAAACAAAGTGTCCAGAGAGGGCCCAGCTTCCAGAATCGCTACTTCAGCATTTAAAACAAAGTGTCCAGAGAGGGCCCAGCTTCCAGAATCGCTGCTTCAGCATTTAAAACAAAGTGTCCATAGAGGGCCCAGCTTCCAGAATCACTGCCTCAACATTTAAAACAAAGTGTCCAGAGAGGGCCCAGCTTCAGAAGCTTCTACTTCAGTGATGTAAACAAAAAGTATCCAGGAATGGTCCAACAAGTCACTGCATCTACAACCTTGTGAAAAAAGCACACCAGAGAAGGTCCAACTCAGGAAAAGGCAGTTTCAAAATTCAGACAAATAGTCAGATTTAGTCCATCTACCAAAGTTGCTGCTTCAACAATGGTCCAGCCACCACTTATACAGTTTAAACAGCCAATTTCGAAATGTATCCTTCTTTGCCATTTGTTGATGTTCCATTGCTGAAATAATGGGAAAAGAAAGAAATCTAATTTTGAAAAAAAACTGTTTAATTGTCTAAATCCATTGTCTAGGAATGGTTTTGCCTCAACACACCAAGTCAAAAGTTATGGAATTGAAAATATATTGTTGTTGTATCTTCACCTAAGAAGAAAATTATCACACAAGATGTACTGGAGCGAGACAAGTATTATTTTCTATACCTTAATGGAGGATAGTACATCACTCAGTGAAGGCCAATGTCAATGTTGAACTCATCATGGCTTTTGGAAGAACAACATCATGTTCATTCAATCATAAGGAGAGCTTTGGATTAAAAGAGGAAATTCCGTGCTTGTAAATATCACAACTGAAGAAATGAAAAAAGAGAGTTGCTAAATAGTTAAATGTTTGATCATGTAATTTTCAAAAGTAAACCATAGTTGTTTATAATTCATGGATTTGGAAGTTGTTTCAGTAAAGTATCTCATAGTCCTGGAGGAGGTTAGAAAAATTAATGTAAGATGATGGTACCTGTCCAGAAAAAAATCATTTAATAAAGTTATGTAATTGATAGTGAAAACATATTTATCAAGTTTTACCTACACCATAAACCAGTTTTGGAGCTGGTTCGATGAAGTGCCTGGCCAAATTTCCTGGAAGGGATCGGTTTTGATGGTGTTCTTTGACCGTGAATATTCCGTGGATTGTGCAATAACATTTTTGATATACCAGGAGTATATGTAGCATCAGAATAATCCTGCAGTAAGATTGGCGTGTTATGATTGTGCCATTTGAAAGTAATCTTATTATTCGTACGCGTATGGATGTACATGAAATTCTACACTTTGACAATTTACAAGTATATAAGGATAGATCCGTGCCAAATTAGTTCTTTCTGAGTAGTGGGAATGTGCATATATTCAGTGCTTTCACAAGTATGACAGTTGAAAATCTCAATTATCAGTTGAAAACATTGTGTGGTATTGGAAGTCACACCATTGGATATTGTATGCACTGCCATGGAAGCGTCAAATGGGACGGGAATTGTCCTTTTTATTCAGTGGTTCAAAGATCTTGATGGATAATGTGTTAGTATAGAAGTGGTGATACATTTTAAAAGTATTCAGTGATGTGAATATTTCCCAAATGGAGGATGTTAAGTTGAGATGGACAGGATTATGTGTGTATAAATTTCTTGTCAAGTGAATTCAGTTTCTGCCTTTGTTTTGATAGTCCTATGGGGTTGCGTATTTTTTTAAAACTGTCTTATCTTAATACTAATCTTCAGACTTCCTACTGTGTTTTGTGTTGAAAAGACAGGTGTGTTAGTTCATACACAGTACAAGTTGCTCTGAAGATGTTCAAGATAAAAGTTGTTAGGAGTTGATGATATATAGGGGCCAAATAATGAATGCATTTAACACATTTAATATTAACCATACTTTAAAATTTGTTTTCTATAAATCATGATGGCTAGTCAGTTTAATGTTCATATTAAGTACTTGCACCATTTTATAGCTTCACGTGAAATGTAAATAGTTTTGAATTGAAAATCCTGATTTTAAGAAAGTCAAAGTAGTTTTGTTCCTATGTGCCTTCTGTTGTTCAATATTTGTTATTGTTTTACTAGGAGTAATAAAACTGATTTAAGATTTCAAGATAGTGTCATGTGTGTTATGCTAATTAGTTTAGTTAAGTATCTCTAGTGTGCTAGATAAGAAATTGGTTGTAATTATGTAAGAAGTTACATTTGTATATTGTCTTTCATATTTTCTCACTGACTGTTTCAGTAGTTATATAGGAGGGATAACATATTTCTTTGACTCTCTACTAACTCTAATTGTTTTTGTTGTATATGCTATACGAAAGTTAACTTCTTCACCTGTATATTTTTAGTGGCGCCTTGACCTCAAAGTCCCCCAACCCCAAAAAAATCATAGAAAAAAGTGTAAAGTTATATGCAAGTCTCCATTCTGTAATTGTGTTAATATAAATAATTATTTTTCCTTCATTTCTGGACCATGATACTTTCTATACATTGCCCATTTACCAGAAATAGTCCAGGGCCACTTTGATTCATCTTTTGATATATTGTACTTTTAAAATAGTCCAGAGCTGCTTTCATGTGTTGGTTTTATCAATTGGATCAGGGTTGTTTGTTTATGAAATGAGGATGGACCAGCTGATCTGATTGCTATGAAGACCTGTAGTAATATGTGCAGTTTCACCTCAATTTACCTAAAATGTACATGTACAAATGTTGATTTATCAGATTTTCCACACGAATGAAAGCAGCTCAGACATTCTTTTACACAAGCAGTATTCTTCAGAAGTATTGATGTGAATATTTTTACAATTTTAATTGGTAGTTTAAAGCGTCTTTGTTAAGTCTCAATACCATAGGCTTACCTGACATATAAGCAAATGTATCTAGAATGATGATTATCAAATACAATGGATAACTTTCTGACTCTATTTAACAAGTGTTGATCTTTTAATTCATGTTAATTTTTCAAAATCTGATAAAGGTCAGTATATAACCAAACAGACATTAGAACCAATAGTTGATAGATAAATCTAAATTTAAATTGGAAAAACAATAGGAATTAGATAATAGTTCAAATAGCTGGTTGATTTCTTTTATGATGTGCAGATTTGTCTTATGAACATTAAATAAGCCTGATGTTATCTTTATTATCAGTGGTAATTACATGAGATAAGTATCCTACGAAAATTCAAATGTAAATTGTGAGGACATGTCTTTGAAATTCAGGGCATGAAACTCCATTCTAAAATATACTGATTATTTTGCAACTCTTTGCAAGCATTGTTTATTGTACATGAACGTTTTGGTAACACAGTCACATAATATGTTATCTTAAATGTTTAAGTACTTTTTAATCCCTGGCAGCTTACATATAGTATTGAATTTGGATGTATGTGTCCAGATTCTTGTTTTGTTGTTTATTGAGTGTGATACATAAACTGTTCATGTTATAATGTGTAATGACTGTAATCAAAACGAGGAAACAAGTTGACGACGACAGAACAAGTGTATGAAGAAAAAGATGTGATAATGATAAGGACCCAGCTGAAACCATACTGAACAAGGAACAATCTGTGATGATGTTGTTTGACTTTCAAAATGTGGAGACCTGTTTCATTCTACACATCAAATACAGCATTACATCGGGACAGAAGCAAATTATTCCTTATTCATTTCGTTAGGTTTACACATCCTGTCCATAATCCATGTCGTCAGTCAAACTTTTGATCTTTGTGTATAAAAATGATCATCTCAATTTTTTTAAGATGGGGATGATGGCAAGTGAATTATATTGTAGTTCAATCTTGTTTTGTGAAAGATGCTAAAAAAAACTGGGATTAACATATTTTATCAGAATCCACCCATTTTACCATGTAGTGAGGCCATTCATGTCTCAGATATATCCTGGTTCAAATTTCTTTTAGCTGAATTCCAAATTCTATATTGAAGATACAGAGACCTTGTTTATCAATGCATACTCATACTAGAATGGTTGCCATAGTAATATAGACAATATTGTGGAGAGAGTGCCTTTGAGAATTGGAGTAACTTATGTATGGTGCTACGTAAAAGACATCAGAACAGCCTTGTACAAGTATCACATAAATGGTGTGTATGTTGTTGTACGATAATTGTTTAATCTTGGCCCTTTTGAAATAAGCAGGATATTGTGTTTGATAAATGAAAGGCGTCAAATGATTATGGAAGTGATTAGAGTGATTTTTTAAAGTGATTTAAATTATATTCATAAAAACTTGGCCTTTAATTTTTGCTGAGTTGGACATGTGAATTATTGTTTATTTAATACTTTTTTTGTTGCACATATTTCAAAGACTTGTGATACTGAACAATATATTTTTTTTAAGTCACTCAAGGTGCTTTTGTTGACGTTTATAAGTGTTTGATTTGTCATGTTATAAGCGCTGTCCTATAAATATCTTATTTTATCGTGATATGGCAGCAAGACTTTATATCAGCATTAGTATTTTACTCTTTATTTACCATCATAAAACTCAGGTGATAAAAGAACAAATGAATTCCATATTTTTTTCATTATTATACTGTTCTGTTAAAGTATTTTAATCATTAGCAAAATTTAAATAATAGTGTTGTTTACTTTTTTTAATTTGTTGATTTTATCTTACCCCGTAATAATATTTTTCAAAATGTACAACATGGCTCAACAAGACCAGGTATCTGATGAATTGTTTTTATATCATGCACACTGTTTTATAAGTACTTGTTTATGATAAATATAAGATATGGAGATCATTCCTGGATTTTTACAAGTTTTACAGTGAGATTATTCTCAGAACAAAGTGCCATTGAATATCTAACTACAAGCAAGAATTATTATAAACAATTTGCTTGAATGCTAATATACAGTTCTCCTGGAGTGAACTCTAACTTAATGTTATTTATGTGTTTACTGTTGATGGAGTTGTTACTTTGTTATAGTTTGTGTTAATGTATAAGACAGTCATGCCGTGTGTGGTGTGTGATTGTATTGTATACAAAGGTTCAACCTCAGCCTACTGTGGTGGAGACTATGTAGCAAGGCGTTTTATGTTTAATGTCCATGTGAACTTTTATCGTTGCTACAGGAAAGTGTTCGGAGCGAATCACGAGAAAGACACAAGCGGGTAGGTATCTTTACGCAGCACTAACCACACTGTCCACAGGGCCAGGATTTACACAGCAGCTGTGCATGTGTACACTTGCTCGGGGGGCACATTTTGCAACTTCAAGGGTTTATGACATATACCATTACTATATTCACACAAACAAATGCAATATAATATTATCACCCCTTCAAAAGGAAATACTACAGAAAATTTATATTAGACCTGGTTCTTCAGTTGTTTTCCGGTTTGTTAGATATATATATTATAAATGGGGCACTAACCTTCATGTCAATTAAGTGCAAATTTACATGTCCAAACTTGACATTCTTTGGTAGTCTTGGCCTTTTTATGTTAGAAGTCTTCTGGTGTTATCAAACCTTGTCTGCGTTCCACTTACGAAGTATCCATAAGTTTTGAAGTTTCTATCTGTTGCTTAGTATTGGAAATAATGTACTGATACTATGAATTGTTCCTTTCATATAAGACTACAATGTCGCAGAATTACAAAAAAATTTAAATCTTAGGCCCTTCGTCAAGATGACGATCATAGGAAACAGATTGCCTCTCTGTCAAAACTTTCATACACAGAGATTTCTCTGAATAGAGAATGCTAACTTTTCTGATACATTACAGTGTTTTGTCTAATAAAAAGTAGGTTTTTTTGGTGTCAATCCAATATTTTCTCACAATATTATGGAATAACCTATGAATATCAGGTCAAAAGTCAGTGTCAAATTCTTTATCCTCTTAAAACCAAAAGCTTGGATCATATGAACTTGGCTCAGTGGTCAAATCTCTTTCCATACCGACAATTATGTTATGACATTAAGAATCAATATTAGGAAGTCAACAAGAGGCCAGCAGCTATCTTTTACTTAAATCTTCTACTGTTAATGTCAAGTTTTTTTGTTTTGGATCTGGTAAAGCATTTTATGACATGGAGAAAATTCATCAAAGGAAATAACGCTGATTACTTAAATCTTGAGGGGAAATCTGTCCCATCCTGCCCATATTTCAATACCTTGATCATGGTCACTAACTTCATACATATGGGGCTGTATTTGGTACTTAATTACTTCAGGTTTTCCTGTAAGCTTCAAAATATATAACATATGCTAAGCAGATGGTCTTGCTGAACTACGTTTGTCCTCATACATTCAGTGTAATTTTTGGGATCCTGTTTGAATCCTACATATCTAATGGAAATACCAGCACTAATTCTAGATTATCTGAAACTTTTTCTCAATTTTTTGTATGCTTCCATCTCGGGGATTGATACTACATAATTTTATGTATGCAGTAGTTTATATACAAGTTTTCCTTGCTCAAGAAACATTATAACCAATTTGCCTCAAGTAAGCACATTATCTATCAGGTTAACTTGATTTTCCTTGAAAATGATAGTGCACAAACTGGGTGATAATCATGCACACACCAAACATTATATTTTTTTAACAAGAATTTGCTCTCTGAGATAAAGCTTATCTGTACCTTTTGAATATGTCTTAACAAAATCATAGGTTCATAGTAATTGCCTCTTGACTGGTTATAAATTCATATTTATTGCCTTTTGATGGCCGTCAATCCATAGTTTTAGTCTGTTTGATTGGTAATGGGTTGACATTATAGTCTCTGAATTGGTCATTGGTTCATAGTTACGGCCATTTGATCAGTCATCAGTTTGTGATATGGTCATTTGAATGGTCATCTTTCCATAGTTATGTAGTCGTTTGATTGGTTTCAAACATGAAAACTAACCAATCCCCAGGTTTTTTTTCTTCAAAGATTAAGTTGCATTGAAGTTACATTGAGTAAACTAACAGTTTTATTTTTTATTTTATGTGTTTAGTATTCCATAACAGTTTCTAGTTAATCAAACGCAAACAAATTGATTTTGTCGGGACATATTCTAAAGAGTGTAGATATGATAATAAAGAGTGCGGAAAGTGGTTTTCAAAGATGATGCTGCGAGGAATATGTCTTGTATTTTTAACCTTTGTAGGCGAAATATGTTGTTTCACCACCAGTTCATTTGATGTGTTTTGATGAATCAGACAAACTTTAAAATAAACAATGAACATTCATATATATCCACTGATCTGCAGTTTTAAGGTGTAACTCTGGACATATGAAAATTTTAAAAACAGATTTCAAGTTTTCAAAGTCAAGGTCATTATCTGTGTTGATTGAAAATCAACCAATTCATTTGAAAGGAATTGTACAGACTTTTATACTTCCAAGGTTAATAGGTCAAAGTGACATACCAGTAATGTTTATAGGAAGCTGTCAATTATGCTTGGGAGCAGAGGTGTTCATGGTTTTTATACAGACATGACATAACTTATGTATGAAAGGAGAGAACTTTAATAAAAAAACATTTGATGTCAAATGTAAATACTGTTGATGCAGTCAACTTCAGTGAGATGCTCACAAATTTAATTCACATACAATTATGAGAAAGTCTGTAACTATATTTTTGAGACAACATTTGAACATCTATAAGTGATAACAGTTATCGAAGTCAAATTTTAAATCTGTATGGTATTTGAAAGTCCCTTCCAATTTTATTTCAATATCATATATCAGGAAGTGGAACTCTGTTCCACTTTAGATATATTTTCGTTGTTTAATACCATTTCATCATTTCATGTCTGATAGTTCTTGATGTTAAACCCTGATTTTCATTTTCATTAAGAATGTGTTATGTGACCAACATTCGAGTAATTTGTATATATATTTCAACAACCGTATTATTTCATGCTCAAGTTTGTTCCCAAAAATACTGTATAAGGAACACACAAAAAACGTCTTTGAAGACACTTGCATGGAGGACTGGATTTAATAGAGAATAAATGTTTGTCTAAAGCTAGTTTGCATTGACAGAGTCCATCATATGAGAGGGAGAAGGAGCGAGACAGAGATAGGAGGGAACGAAAAAGGGTAAGTGAACCTCACTGTTACATGAATGACACATATCACAAAAAAAAAATAAATAAACAATAAAAAAAACGAAAAGATGAATATTTTAGTAAGAATGGCCAAGTACCAGATGAGCCTACCAATAATTAAAGTAAGGTTGGTTGAATGGATATCTTTTCTGTTGCCTGAAATGATCACAGGTATTACTTTGTCATATTGTTGTTCAGTCTTCAGATTCTGCTTCAACAGAAGTTTAATAAAAAAGAAAAAAAATAAGCTCCCCTTGACCCATCAACCTCAAACCTTGTACAGTATGTGCTTCATAATGGGTACGAGAGAAGATTGTCTCCAAATGTAGATGACATTATCAACAATTTTTAGTCACTGTAGATTTATAACCTATCTCAAAAATCCGATATTCACTGAATGGTTTTGGTTAGTAAGACTTTGTTAGGAAGATACCTTTTATCTAGACTTGTATGACTTGTCTTTATTATGGTAAAAGAAAGTTTAATGATATTATCCCTTTTAAAAACGCAAATTTCACCCATTCTAGTTGATATAAAGAGATACTGATTACCAAATACTTTCCAGGTGTTATATATTCCCTGAAAAATTCCAAAGAAGTTGCCTTAGAGCTTTTTTTTGACCTTGATGATATAATGACTGATTGATGAATAATTCTGGTCTCTTTGGGTTCATTTCTGCATAAAAAAGTCGAGAATTTGGTCTGAAAGATTTCACTTCTTTTAACATGTTTAACAATTTTTTTCCAAAGGGGAAAGAAGTATGTTATAAAGTCAAGGTAAATAAATTTATATTTCCCACACTTAACACTGCGCACCTATTTAAGGATGCTTCTCATGCCTGGTGTCTGGTTTAAAGTCCACCATCATCTTGATGATGAGCTAAATTAATTGCCTTTGTCCGATGTCCATTTGTCCTCGAACCATTCTTGTTATCTGGAGAAGCACGAAATGGACCATTCTTAGATTTCATACATAGGTTTGCCTTAGTTTCAAGTTGTGTATAGTCCATTTTTGGGACCTATCTTAAAAAACAAGATGGCAGACAGGTGGCCATCTTGATTTTTGACAGTCATAATTTGTTATCGCTATTACTGGAAAGGAATTGAATGGTTCACCTTAGTCCCTGGTTATTCATATCCCATATTGTAAGTGATTGCAAAAAATTTAAAGATAAAGAAGGCCAATAGACAGGCATTTTGGTTTCTGACAGTCATACTGGGCAGTTTTGTTAATACTGGTGCTTGAGAAATGTTGGATGGATCATTCTTAAAACTTAGCTGTAGGTTCGCCTTAGTCTCTAGTTATGTATGTTCCATTTTGGGACTATTCAGAAAAATAGGATGCCAAACAGGCTGCCATCTTGGATTTTGACCGTCATAACTTATCACTTTTGAAGAAGCATTGGACGGATAATTCTCAAACTTTATAACTACATATGAGGGTTTCCCTTGTTCCCTAACTTTGCATTTTTGGACTGATAAAAAAAACAAGATGGTCGTCGGTCAACCTGAGATTATGATCACTATTTCTGGAGAAATGTGGATGGAACTTTCTCAGATTTCACAACTAGGTTTCTCTGAGTTCGTTGTTAGGCATGTTTCATTTTGGCACCGATTGGATAAACAAGAAGAAAGGTTGTTGCTATTTCTTGAGAAGTGTTGGATAGATATTTCTCAAATTTCATATTTAGGTGAGTTGTCCTTAGTGGTATCTTTTTGATTTTGGGACTCAACCAGATCACAAAAACAAAATGGCTGCTGATAAATGGCCATTTTGGATTTTGACAAGGAAGGTTATTAAAGCCATTTCTTGAAGTACAAGATGTAATCATTTTTAACTAAGAAAGTGTAGTTCCACTTCTCGAGAAAACTGGATGGAGCTTTCACAAATAGCATATGTAGGTTCTCGTATGTCCCTAGTTGTACCTTTTTGATTTTGGGACTGATCATGGAGCAAAAAATAGCAGACGTGACCATCTTGGATTTGGCAGTTGAAATTCATGAGCACATTTTCAAATAATCAAGAGCAAAATCAAAGGAATGATGAGAAAAGATCCAAATAAAGATTTAAGGATGGTGGGCACCAAGATCCCTCTAGGATCTCTTGTTATAAAAGTAATGACAATGTGAAGCTCTATAGCCAAATAGTACACTGTTAAACATCACTTGCACCATTACATATATATTTAACTGCTCTGGCCCCACTTGTATAAAACATCTCAACTTTTGATTTCCTCAAGTCGAGATTTTCCTCAGCTGATATCTCCTTGAAAATATCTTGTATGAAAATTCCTCAAGGAATTTCAGGACATCCTAGCCAATGACTTCCTCCTGTTCCTTGAGAAAATTTTATACAAGCCGTTTTTGAGGAGATATCAGCTGAGGAAAATCTCGACTTGAGGAAATCTCAAGTTGAGATGTTTTATACAAGTGGGGCCTGATCTATAGTAAGGCATAGGTGAATATGTTAATCAGTTTTAAACATAAAATTAGAGGAAAACAAAGTACTCCAAATATATATTCTGTTATCTGAAATAACATGTTTTCATGTTTACGGTGCTTTTACCTATAAAATTGAATACAACACATCAATGGCATTGTTCAGACTGTAAATGCCATGGATTTTGTAACAAAATCCAGTTTAATGGCATCAGTTCACCTTTCAAAATAGCTCCTTAATTGACCTGTGTCATTCATTTAGTCTATAAATGCCATATTAAGAATGTTCAGTTGAAACAATGTTATCAACATGGATGTTGTATCGTCCCCATCAACATCCAGGGGGATTTGAAGTGTGGACACCTTGTAGAAGCTTGTGCCTGAGTATCTAGATAGGTGTTCAGTTAAAGAGCTAATCAGTTATAACTTTGAGCCATCAAAGCTCTAATTGTTTTTTAGCAAGAATTTGAAGGGCAATACAGCAAGTACATTTCAGCTCCTCTGACAGGATAGTGTCTGAAAAATGAGCAGTTTGACACTTGTACATTGAAACTATAACATGGCCACCTTTATTCTTGGAAAAAAGAGACAACATTTGGCATCATACGATGGCAGGATTCATGGGATAATTTTGTAATATAAATTTGTAACTGTATTCTTTAATTACTTCCTGCAAATGCAATAACAATGGTATTGACATTATTACCTTAGGAAATGTCAAAATTATTGTAATTGCTCAGATAAATTCCTCACGGGAAACTGATAGGCACACATATATTGTTTAGGTATGAATAAAGCACTGTCAACAGAGTAAGTCTGGTTGTGTTGTGGTTGCACCTCCTTGTTCATATGCTCAAGTCACATGCAATCACTCTGCATACTGAAAGGTATTAAACCAAGACAACAGACTTGATACACCACCACAAAGAAGCAAGGTGTTGGCTCCTCGCCCCCTTTTCTGAACTAAATTATTTATGTAGTGATGCAATGGAACGATGGATGCTAGCTTTGTGTTAGATGATGCAGGTCAACATCTCTTTTATTATCTGATTCTGATCAACTTTTCCTCAAGTTTTAACACTTGAACTGGTAAAATTTCAAGGACCTTTTACAATCACACTTTTCTTTCATGAGCTGGATTGGGATATAAAATCAACATTAGACACCTAGTTGCATTGTTTTCACTTGGCGAATAATTAACTTATGTTGGTTGTCAGCTTAGGTCAATTAATATCTGAAAAAACTGACATCTAAATATCAAAAAATAAAACAGTGATTTTAACTAGTCAGGACTGAGATATCTAGTTTTGATAGATTTAAAATGAAGATGTATTACATGGAACTACAGACTCAAATACAGAAATTCCATTATGGAATGGGTTATGTCAAGGTCAAAAGTTGCACAACTTGATCAAGTTGTCTATACGATACTTGCATATAGTGTCATTACTTGACAGTTACACAGGAATCCTGTCAAGGTTACAGGTCAAGGTCAGCCAGGTTTATTCCATGGAGCATAGTTTGTAACTATACTAAATACTAAGGTGAGAGTTCAGGGTAAAAGGTTAACTCACATATCAGGTCAATGTATTCCATGTATATTACTTTGCTTAAGCATTCACTTACAGTTAAAGGAATGGAAGGGGAACAACATTACCACTATGATAACGCCTCTAGTTTATGTTGTTTATCACATTTATGTGAAAAATAGAAACGATTGGTAAGATGTATTACGAAATCGTTGAAGAGTTTAACAAGCCATATGTTTACACTTGATAACCATAAATTTCATAAAAAAAATAATAGAAAATATATCTTTATCATTGCTTAAGATTTAATTTTAAAAGATAAACACCCATTGACTAAGTGTACAATGAAATATGTGTACACAAAATCAATGTACTGTAACTTTATCTTGTTTTGAAATAACCAACCAAATAAGATGTACAAAGAGTAACATACACTATATTCAGACAGAGACCAGCTAACACATTTCTCCTTCAAGAATGTAATAAAAAAAATACATGTGTATTTACTGAATATGCACTGACATGACATGTGTAAAAGTTGTTCTGGTATTGATAATGTAATCTCATTTTGGAGATATTAATTATTTGTTATATTTACCAATAATTTATTTATAAGTATTAGCTTTTGAAGCAAGTATGCTAGTATACATTTGGGGATCATGATAAAGCATTGGGTTGGTATCCCCAAGAACTGCATTTACACACCAATGTGAATCTTTTTGAGAATTACTGTCAGGAAAACAGTACATGTGATGTGTATATATGTAACTGATGTAAAACTTATGATAATAATATGATTTCTCTGATTACTTACAGGAAAGTCTAGATGATCGAGGTGAGGTGGAGACAAAGAGGAAGAAAAGTCTTGAGCCGTCCAGTAGTAAGTACTGTGTTGTGAATATTGTAAAATAGACAATAACTATATCCCAAACACTGATGAATAAAGATAAAAACATTTTCCCAGCAATAGAGGCACCTCGTGAATATAGCCTCACAAGGAAAGTCGTAGGGCTATATCTGTGCATACATACATAAGTACATGTCTGAAATGGTGTCACCACTCTACAGGCTGAATTTCTTATCCAATTGTCACAGTACTTCACACGCATATTAACAATTATCACCTCTTGTACAAGTTGACATTTCAAGCTTCTTCAGTAAAAAAAATAGGTCACTGTTACTATATACAGAAACAGTATTTTTAACATCATTACTCTACAGGCAACTTTTCTTTTCTGATTATCATGATCAACACTTGTACAAGTTCTCATTTCAACCTTGTATGGAGAAGAAATAGGTCACCATTACTATAAATAGCGAATACTGAAAGTAGAAGATATCAACATAATTTTGTAAGTCAGTGTTACTGAAAGTTTCAATATTGTCTTTGATGATATGAGGTAATAATTTAAACCTTCCAGACAAAGACTGGCACGTGAAAGAGGTTTAATCACTCTACATGTCCCTTTACACCTAGCATTTTGTTAAAACTTTTGGGCCCGAGGGTATTCATATCATCCATGATATATTGTTTATGTAGATACATCTTTTGACCATATATGATAAATACTCTTATCAACCAGTTCAATGAAAAAATAGCAAAAGGTTGAATTATAAATATCATATAGAAAATGAAAAAAAAAATTTGTCCGTGCTTTTATACCATTGTAATCTAATGATGAACACAGGTGATTCATTATATGTATCTTCATCATCTACACATGTAATCAAAACAAAAAAATTCAACCAAGTTCTGCAGTCAGATGGTCAAAAGATTCTCATTCTTAGCTAATAATGAACACATTATTTCAGAAGTAAATGTTTTCAGTTCTGCATGAAAAATATGAGCTGTTTCTGTATGAAAATGCATGATAAAAATTCAACTTTATATTGCTGATGAAGAATAAATGCTTAAAATGAGGGTATGGAATATTACTGTAAATTAGGAAGTTATAGGCTTACAAAAGTGGGAAATGTGCTGTACATTTTGTGTGTCACCCAGCCAATGTTGAAAAACATCAGTAATATTCAAAGTGATGTAGCATTTTATCTTATACTCCAGGCAGACATTTAATTATTGATATTAATTGACATTATAAATGAAATCATTAGTGCTCCTTATATGTAAATAAGAGATCAGCAGTTAATATGCATCATTGTAGCACTGTCAAAAGGAAAAAAATATTCACTGTTCAAATTCTGTGTTTATCTTGAATGAATTAAAATTGACTATTTTGGTACACCAATATCTTTATTTTTCAGAGGCTGTGTATACATATTCATACTTCCTTTTTGATGACCTACAAACATGCAATACTTGCAATATGATAATGTATGCAGTGATTGTGGATTCAGAACTAGCTGTGTGTTGTCCAAGTTTCAAGTCTGACATTATGTCTTGACACCAGAATGTACAGCAAAATTTTGTCACACCAGAGATATTGTTACAAGTTATCTTACCAGATATACAGATATTAGGAAGAAGTGATGTGTTTTAAATACCTAACAGATTTGATTTGACTGATGATTTGTTTATCTAGCGATTGTGAAGATTCAGTCCTGTTATCACTGAAAGATTTCAGTTGGTCATCGGTTGTATTGTTGGTTGTTTCAGGTAAATCAAGTTCAAAAGTGAATGGAGATGCAGAAAGACATGTCAGCAAATCTACAGAAAAATCTCAGAAACATGACAAATTGATGAGTTCGGCAGTATTTCAGGTCAGTACTTCTCAGGAAAATAACAATTGGTTTGAATCAGTTGCAGGTAGGTCCTCCTTGGAAACATTAAAATTGATTGGTTCAACAGTGTAACAGGTAGGTCCTCCTTGGAAACATTAAAATTGATTGGTTCAACAGTGTAACAGGTAGGTCCTCCTTGGAAACATTAAAATTGATTGGTTTAACAGTGTAACAGGTAGGTCCTCCTTGGAAACATTAAAATTGATTGGTTCAACAGTGTAACAGGTAGGTCCTCCTTGGAAACATTAAAATTGATTGTTCCAGCAGTGTAACAGTTATAGGTCCTTTTTAAGACCATTATAATTGGATTTGGCAATGTAACAAGTAGGTCCTTCTTAATAACACTAAAATTGACCGTTTAGTCAAACTTGGAATGTAGTGATATTGACCTACCAAATTCATTGTTCAAAGATTTTCTTTATGTGTCTTTTTAGGTCAAAAAGTAAAATATTTAGAAGTCTGTTCACATCAGATTCAGTTTATAGTCATATTGAAACTTGTATTTTGAATTATCAGTGAGTTTTCTTCTCATTCCTCAGGAAGAGGGATCTTTTTAGGGAGAGAAAATGTCATATTTTAGTGAAATTTGAAAATGAAATAATTTATAAATTGTTTGCAGAAACATGATTACATACATCTTTTAAGTGAAAATTTCATTTACTTAGATGAAGGACAGATTTTTGAATATTTTTCAGTTTGTTTAAAAAATACCATAGGAAAAACTTACTACACCTAATCCTTGTTTAGTTGTAGAAGGTAGGTTCTTCTCAGAAATATTAAAATGTATTTGTTCAGTTGTAGAACAGTTTAATCCTCAGAAAAGCTGATCCTTCATAACAAAACAAATTGATGGGTGTAGCATATTCAAATTAAATTCATTTGATACACAAATATGAAAAATAGAAATTGATTTATTATTGGAGCATTGATACAGTTAGTTTACAGTTCAAGAGATAACATTATTAATGTGTGACAACGTATACAGCCAATAAGGTAATGTTAATGGTTTGTGTTTACAGGAGGAGGAGGCATCGCCACAGAGAACAAAAAAAGACAAGGAAAAGTCCAAGAAAAGTGACCGTAGTGACAAGGAAAAGAGTAAAGACAAATCGTATCCTTATGCTCACAAAAATGCATTTAACAGTCAGTATAGTCTCTGAACTATTTTTACTAGAATTATAATTCCATCTACAAAACACCTGTTTTGTATTGTATTTGGTCGTTGCATAAGTCTTAGTTCTAATGTTACCAAGGTCATTTGGTAGTTTGCTGTACACTTTAAACATTGAAAGATTGGTATAATTTCTTGTGCTGTATGACATGAAATTTTCAATCTTGTTTAGTGAATACAAGAAAATTAAATGATACATGTTCTACTGTTTAAGACACTATACCCTCTAAATACTACAATCATGAGAAAAGGAAGATGTCTACAGACACATTACATCAGAATTAGGATTAAATGGTTTGTTATTAATCTTAGTTAGGATCTTAACATTCAACCAGTAAATAATTGTGAAGTTTCTTTATGAACTACATTTTCTTTAACTGAAATTTCAGGTCCAGTTCAAAGAAGAGCAAAAAATGATGACAAGTGTTCTTAAAATCAACATTCATTGATACTTTGTAGAAAATTGCCAAGATATACTGATAAATTATTATTTTTGACTGTTTAATGGTCATTGTATATATAGAAATCATGAAGATTGCTCGATTTCTGACAGTGCTAAACACATGAATGGGGGGTGAAAGCGTTTTGGTCCGAAAGAAAACAAGAATATTTTCCTGGATGGGAAACATGCTGCATCTGCTGTATGAGGGGTGTGAAAGGACAGTGATATCAGTTCGTCATTTGTTAAGTCTTTCATTCAAGTTGGAAACTTGTTGATTTTGTTAGTGATAGTATAAGTGGTGTGAGTGAAGTACACAGGATGGACTAACAGTTCCTTAAATGTTTTACTGTGAGCGACTGTCAAACTGTATGTCTGATGACAAGATCAGTGCAAGTGGAATCATGGAACAAAACCAAACGTCTAAATATTTTATTATCATGAAACTGAAACAAAGTAAATATGTTAAACATGAAAAAAGGTTTTAGTTTTCTGTATTTAAATATTCATTCAATATTTGTTGATAAAGGAAGAAATCCTTTGAAAAAGCCAGAACAGGTTTGATACATTGACGTCATTCAAGGGGCTGGGCCCAATTAGGGAAACAGAGCAAATTCTTTAAAATCCAACTCCTCCAGTAGGAGGAGTCAATTTTGTTCAAATGGTGGGTACTTACCTGGTATGTATGGTTGGTTTTTGACCATGTTTGGTCTGAAGCATCCTTGGGGAAAGAGTGTTTGTTTTGTATAAGCTGCATCTTGACCTCCTTGGGGCAGAGAGTAGGGGCCTTATAGGGTAAATAGATACAAGCCTTTCAAATACTTTTCCTTTAGTTTTTATGAAGCAGTTTCAGCAAACTAAACTGGATGACTGATACAAGCCCTATGGCCTCTTGTTGCTATGGATAATGGCACCTCCCCAGAACCAGAACTATGGTCACCTCTATGAATCTATTCAGCACATGTAGTTAGAATTACTGCTATGTTAAGTGAAAGATCAGCTTCTATTACACAAAAATATCAGATAATTCAGTATCGAGAATTTCAAGTTTACATTGATGGACAACATTCATGTATGCTAAATCATATTTGTAAGAAAATATTACAATAATACCTATATTAGTACTAGCTTGGTATAAACACATTGGAATAAAATCTTAAGCAACTGCTAAATTCTTTACTGTGCAAATTATTCTCTGCATATATATCTTGTAATGCAAATAATGGATGAATATAACCACAAAAATCCATAATAATTGTAAAATGATAACCCTTTTACTGTGGTAACCACAACAATCAACATAATTCTAAAATGAAAACCCTTTTACAATGGTAACCCAAAAAAATCCAAAATAATTGTAAAATGATAACCCTTTATATATATATATATATATATATATAATGGCTATTGAAAACAAAAGAATAACATAAACGCTTTCTTATCAAATCTTCACACCACACACACACACACACACACACACACACTTGCATGAATGCAGCTATTTTAGTCGTAGGCTTAGTTTATTTCACACGAACACATACGATTAAAAACTATTTGCATATTGAAGTTGAGATACAACTTTGTGATGTCCCTTTTCGAAAGAAGGCACCAACTGTCCTTGTTAGCCTTGCAATGCTCAGTTGTATTGTAGGCTGTGCATTTTGGTCACTTATCCCAAGAAGTTGAAGAATGCTCGATGTTTCTTGCCGGTATCAATATCTACCGCATTCACCTCTATTTCTGTACCACCAAATGTCATGCTGACGTTGTTTCCTCTTTTAATTCCGTTAGTTGTGTCAGGCATGTCAATGACGATGTCTCCAAGTTTTTGGCACCCCGGATCGGTGACGTAAAGCGGCTCGCTTTTATTCGAGGCATAGATTCCTATTTGCATACGTTTTTGATTTTCACTAACGACTACATGTTTAGATGGCTTGCATGCTTGCCCTATATGAATGGAATCTCCCATTCTGGCATGCACTTCAAATACGTTATTGCATCTTACTCCTCTAATGCTAGTGGTCTTGTACTCCTCTTTGTGAAACCCCTCTATGAACTTTCTTCTGCATCTAGCCCCATAAGTAAACTTGCAAACACGTTCTGATATGGTAGATGGAGTATGACCGTTGATCACAGCACCATTAAGGACAACTAGACCAGCATCTCTTGGAACAATCAATCGCAAATTTGGACATGTAATTTTGATGGCATTTTGTAGTAGGGGACACTCCGAATACCCTCCTAACATTAAGATGGCTGTCACGCCGGACAGCTCGGGAAGCCCAAGGAGCATCTGTACCTGACCACAAATACTGTCGAGAGAGGATTTAAAGAGACGTCGTGCTAGGTTGGCAGATATACGGAGTTTGTCTCCTGACCATGTCACGTCGCCCGAATATTTGGAATTATTAGCAATCACGTTGCTTATTACAACTCCTGGATTGAATCGTTTAAATGTCTCCAGCAGGTTTACAGGAACAGAGAAAGTAACTTTGTCGTCACCTGTGGCCTTAATGGATCTCTTTTTTACTTCAAAACTTCGATGCATTTCTAGCAGATCTGGTACACATTCCTTTTGGAAGGCATCGAACGTTTTTTGTCCTAAAATATCACTAAGCAGACGTTCAAATTCCTCGTCCACTTTCGTTCCTCCCCAGTCTCCACCATTGGCTTTGTATAATTCCCGAAGTGTTCCTCCTGGCTTCACTTCATGGACAGTAATGTCGATAGTGCCTCCTGTAATAGAGATTGTTTATGAAAGCAATCCACATAATAAATGATTATTCCGGCCTGTTAACAGATGAATGCGCCGATGTAATATTTTTGAGTGTATTTCACTGGTTTAATACACCCTAGATTGTTTTTCATTGGCTGTGTCAGTCAGAAATCGATTGTTAGGTCATAATTTGCACAATGACGTAAAGTCAGGATTTCAAAGTTGCACAACACATGCTTCCATTTGAATTTATCCCCCACATTTTGGCTTTAAAATTTGTCAAATGTAACTTTTTCAGACAATATCATCAATATTATATACGTGTGAGATATTTATCCCACGTGAAAATTAGGAAAATGTTACTGACAGCCTCCTCATAGTTAGTGTATAATGACGCAAATTGAAGATTAGTTTTAAGCGTTTTGTTATACGTAATGAACAGAAAGTAACATTGTTTTTAAAATAAAACACGGTTCATTAACAACACTGTTGATCTTTTGTGATTTACAACGTTGAAAATAATTAATTTAATGTTTACATGACAAACAACGACGCCATGTGCTACGCTATTAGATAACATTTTGTTAAATAATTCGATAAATATGGGATAGAGGCAATGAAGGGAGGAAACATCTGTTATAACTTTGAGTTGCTATGTAAATAACAACCATTTTTTATCGCAACATAGGCAAGCTAAATACCAGTCAAGAAAAATGACTGTAAATACACTACCTCCAGCATCCAAAACCATATATTTGGATCCATTCCTGAACACTGTCAAATTGTCACCCGACAATAGCACTTGGAGATGTTTACAGTATAAAGAGGCTGCTTCAGGCTCCAGGGATAACTGTAACTGGTTGTTTGGTATGCCTGCCTTTGAATGAAAATTAATATACAGTTTCCGAAGCCCGACGATTGATTTACACGATAGACGAGTTCACGAATAAACTTATATTTGAATTAAAAATGAAGTTTTGTTGGAATAATTTCAAAACGGCCAATATGACCCGAGATGAAACATAATATTTGACAGTGCCATCGTAAAATCATTTATATCACTCATCGCCATTCTTAATATACAAGTTTGTACGAATCCTATGATAAGCATTGTCACATGAGAGTTCGATTTTTTAATATCGAGTGACTACAAATAATTTGTAGAATGTTTTACAATGGTAATTTTTAAGTACTTAGATATAATTAAGCACAGCATGGATATCTAGTTTCTTCAATGTTTACAACCTTTCAGTTGACTCATTTTCCAGTTATCTGACACCAAAAAACCGATAACAGTATGCATCTCCAATTCCTTGACAAAACACTTACCTCCACTGCTGCCTCTCTCATAAACTGCTTTGCGGGATCGCTCCATATCGCCGGTACAGTCAACACCCATGCAATGTCGGACATCTGCACGTCTGCCCCACGCATCTGACTTGTGTTTAAGAGATGTTTTTTTAGGTAGCAAATAGCCGATGAAAATACCTTCATTGCAGGCATCGTCTTGCCATCAAGGGACTTTATATGGAACTTTCTGTTTAGTTCCTGAAAGAGAATTATTCAGATACTTCGTTATGCTCGCAGAAGATTCAATAAAAGTACGTTTGTAGAGAAATCTAAAACAGTCAATCACGTTTTTCTTGTAAACGTCTCAAAATCACCAACCATCAATAATTTTATAATTTGTTTGAACCCATGAACGACCGAGGAGCGGACATTGACAAAATTAACTCAGAAGCATCCTTTGGGAAATAAGACTCAATTTTGTGTGAATGGTGGGTCTGAAAAATCACCAACCTGAGGCCTGAGCGGTAGGGGTTAAAGAAGAAATAGAGCAAACTTTTTAAAAATTAAAATCTTTCTCCATATTTGGTCTGATGCATTCTTAGATGAATAGGAATAATTTTTGTATAAATGTTATATCTTAGCCCCCAGGGGCAGGAGAAGTGGACCCCTATGGAAAAATAGAGCAAAAACTTTTTAATACCCATATTCTGTAGGAATGTCTGGCTTATGTCCCAATTTGTTCTGAGGAATCCTTGGATGATAAAAGCACTATATATAAGCTGCTTATCCGGCGGGTATTTTTGTAAAAGGTAGATTTTGAAAAAAAACACAACATCAAAATGAGAACTGACCTGAAGATTTTATGAAACTTACCTTTTGGTGGTACAGAACCATCTTGAACCTCCTGAAATAATACCAGTCTTTGTGGAGATTGTCATATGCTAAATCGCAGTATTTGTCCTCCGCTTCGAAACCAAAGGAATGGAAATTGCCTTTAGGGTCAAATAGTACACACGTTGATGTCTTTAGGGATTGGAGGCATCCAGAACCAGCCGACCACGTGAATGATGACACGTTTTGGGGATTGGACAAGAAGTCGTTCTTGGTGGAGAATGCATATCCAGAGAATGTTGTTCCAAAGTCGATGGCAGCAGACAGCAGATGACTGGTACCAGCGGCCATTCTCTCTTTAACAAACAATACATAATTATCACAGTACCTTATGATTCTAACCGATACTTAACGAACGAAATATCAAATTTCTTTAAATGATACGCATATCATGTTTTGTGTTCCTGTTTTACATGAATTATTTGGAAAGTTAATTAGGGATTAATATCAAAACGATCATCATTTACAGTGACGCAGTCATGACGGAGTGGTCACCGGCTAAGTAATAACTCGATACTTAAAAAAAAACTCTTTTAGAGTTTTTAAGGGAATCTTTAAAAATCAGGAAGGAAGGTGCTGTTTTGTTATTAAGGTCAAGTGCAATTCATAACTTTATAGTGGAAGGGATAAATAAGTTCAGTGAAGACTTTAAATGAAAAAAATTGGAATTGAATAGTTCTCAGAGTTTCTTAAATTATATGCAGTTGAACTAGATACAAGAGGTGGGAGAATATCCTTTAGGTAAGAAGAGGCCATGTTGTTATGAATTTTACAGAAAAGTTGAAGTTTGTTTCCCAACCACATACGAAATAAAAAGATTCCTTATTACTGAATGAAGGCAGGCCAAATACTTACGTCAAGATTTTATATTCTTCTGATTGGATAAGAGATCTGGCGTATGTCGATATATAAACTATATACCTTTCTAAATTTAGAAACAAATGGACTCCATGTTTCCAAATTTAGATCAGCCGAATGATATGAACTCCAAGTTTAAAACAGAAGAACATAATATTAGATTATAATATGTAATGGTGTAATTTCGTTTGTTGAAGGTTTTAGAATTTGACCGTATAGTCTGTATTCAATATTAGAAATATATCAACATATGAAGTTGTCAGTCGTTGCCTGTATGAATGTAAAATGTTGGGAAGTAGACCGAGGTTAGTATAAACATCAGGGTGATTTATAGAGTTTATCAAATCCTTTTTTTTCAGCAAGTTTAAGCCTATCATAATTCATAATATTAATGTAAACGATGACAACTCTAACACTATCTGATCATGGTCGGGAGGTCATAAATATATGTTAGCAGGTTAGTTTATGCTGATATGATGGGAGGATATAGAGATTTAAAAAAAAATTCATATCCCGTATATATATTTCAAGACAAAATATCAAAAACGATTTAAACTCATTTCTGTTTTAGTACAATGGTTTTTATGTTTGATTCTCAATTTGTACAACCAGGAAGTCAATCTAACGGCGCAATTATAAAGTAATGTAAAACGAAAGTAGGAACAATCCTTCAGTAAAACATTACATACTGTCAGATATTACAGGAGAGACATAATACCAGTTTTTAAGTTACAACATGCTCTATTAGTTCTTTCAAATGAATTTCTTTTACAATTTAATAAAATGCCAACATGTTTAATTTCTTCAACTACCGGTAAAACACATTTGTAAAGGTAAATGTTTTGTATATTGTGTAAAGTACGTTTATCAGAAAATAATACAATTTTACTTTTGGTAGAGGAAAATGTAAAACGCCATTTCTTACTGTAGTTTTCACATCTGTTGACCATTTCTTGTAAACTATGAAAAATCGTACTTACAAGGCACATGTCATCCGCCTGAGTAGGTATATTTACTTTTAAGTCAAGAATTACAGCTCCTTTACCACATACTTCAATTTCATTTAATAATTCATTAATGAAAATTAAATACATTTTTGCGGACAAAGACCCCCCTTGTAAGATTGATTGTTTGTATGTTTGATTCTCAATTTGTACAACCAGGAAGTCAATCTAATGGCGCAATTATAAAGTAATGTAAAACGATAGTAGGAACAATCCTTCAAGAAAGCATTACATACTGTCAGCTATTTCTCTAAATTGAGGCATTTTACAAATAAACATCATACGATTTCAATAAGACATATGTATTGCATGTTATTTTTTTTAACTTCCAGTCTTGTCGAGCATTACTGGGTATTCCCTGGTATAAAACTGTACATGCTACACACATTATGGCTAACGTTTCTTCACTTGTATCAAAACGAAAGTGAGTATCATTATGACCAGTGCGTAATGTAATTGTTTTTATCTAGACATGTGAAAAGTGCTTGATAAATAACTCGTTTCTTATTCTAAGTAAATGAAGTCATACCTACCTAGTTCTGTACTCCGGGATACCTGATTCCGCGAATTCGATCACGTGGTCACGTCCTGCGTCAAGTGAATTTGAATTGAGGGCGATATTTTTAGAAACAATTTGTATTTTGTGAGCCAGATATTACTAAATAGTGACATGTTGGAAGTATGTGTTCATAAATATGGTTTATCGTTCGTCAATAGTTCCATTTCTTGTCTCACCGGATACAGCCGTAGGTGTTTAGCAAGTTTTTGATAAAAAATCTATTATAGCAGAAAGTAAATATGCTAGAATTTATAGTTGAATTAAAGTGTGCTACGAACCTATGATACAAGTTCGGTCGCCGTCATGTATGTAACAAATTGATCGGGTACATATCATCGATAAAATACACGTTTCTTAATTTTTGTACTCATTCTACCCAAGTGGTTTTGAGTGTCATTTCGTAGTTTAGGGTTTATGTAAACTCTCCACTTCATAAAGTTTCACCACACTGCTGATTTGCAGCTCTCTAATATATCTGTATTACGGGCTCCAAAACAATAGCAACTGACCAACAATGATACAACCACTTCGTATGAAAGTTGGAGAGATGTCCCCTTGTAAATTTCCTCTGTTCCTCTATTTTTAAATTTGGTTGGCATATCATTATAATCCAACGAGAGGCCTGAAGATTTGTTGAAGCATGAGATTTCATGAACATTTGGTGCTCTTTTGGATGAGCTTTGGTGTATTGTGGATACCAAAGCAATGCGTATTAGTTATAATTTCTAGAAGGCTATCAGTGGTACTACATCATGTATATTTGAGCCAGTTGTTCTCATACTTCACTTGAGCTTGACTGGAAAACTCATCAGGTTAAGATGCAAGGTGCCTCCTTTATATGAGTTTATATAGCTCCAATGAATTTTTGCATAGTATTCTAGGAGGAAGGATAATATGTCTGAAACTGGTCATGCCTGGTCTTGATAAAAAGCAAATATGGTGGTGTAATCTTTTGAATAGGATCTTTATGAAATATATAATCTCTCTCTCTCTCTCTCTCTCTCTCTCTCTCTCTCTCTCTCTCTCTCTCTCTCTCTCTCTCTCTCTCTCTATATATATATATATATATATATATATATATATATATCTTGGAGAGTAGAAAGAAAACTACGACAGGCAAACCAGTCTTGTTGTTATTTTAATGAGGGAATAAAAACCTAAACGCACAATCTGTAATTGCGCTCGAAAAAGTTTTCTGATGTTTTATTTATGATTGATTTCACGTATTCTTATAGAAACGACTTGCGGTAGGCTAAATATGTCCCGATTTCCACCCACTTTGGCGATTCGTTTGTATTTTCCAAGTTGGGTGGAAAACAATTGGGGAAGACTTGAAACTTGAATATCTGTTCTTTAAAAGTTCAAACTAACATATCCCTATTAAAATTACTAACAACAGAGATTTTTGTGTGAACCTATAGTAAGGTATAAACTTAATAAAAAGGAAGGCCGAAGTAACTCCACTCGCTATCTTCATGACGAAGAAAATTAGAAGCTTAATATATCGTACATGTTACCGGTAAAAACCTTCGATCTATTATTATTAATGTCAATAACAACGCCTAATCATTTTACATTTTTTTGATACATGGTAGAGATATTTATTTTTAAGTAAGTGCTCTTGATCAAGTTTTCCCTTCGTTCAGATATTGATATTTGGTTCCACTTTATTTATGTTGAGTTAATGTGCGAGATGTTTAGCATCTAGTGCGGATGTCAGGTTGTATAAGTTTTGTAGCTGAATGTTATGGGATATTATCGTAAGCATGATCATAAAGTTTGAAGTGCTGTATCGCCAAATATAAATGTTAGTGATAAAGATTGAAATGTGATGTACAATTAATTTAGCATTAAAGAACTCTTTTAGATATTGCTGCAGCTGCGGAATAAATCCTGTATCTTTGTATTATTTTGGTTTCTTTCTAATTTTAACCGAAATTTTCGAAACACCATTGGCTGATAATTTGCCAGGAATTTCATCTGCCAGACGACTAAAAGTTTTTGTTAAATAATTAATATCAAGTAATATCGGAAGTCATCTCTACCTCACACTAGTTTGAAAATACTAAATTCCTGTATATATTCTCAGCTAGACATTCGCATATTTTATCATGTAACCGATATTTTGATATGATTGCAAGCTGTGCATACCTAAATATAGCTGTCAACGTTTATTTAAATAAGCACTCCAAAGATCGTAAGTAGACTGGATGGGATGATAAGGCCGGTCTTAAATTGTTGTATTCAGTGACAATATAGGATAAACAGATGAAAATATAAGGCACCAGCCGTTATCTCTGTGTACTCTGGGTGTCAGGGGTTGACTGTTGACCACTTTAGCGTTATCTGAGTTCTTCCTTTATTTGAGTGTAGCCACTGTCGCTTATCTTCATTTACCATATTTTATCAGTTGGTCCTCTCGTTTTGTGAGCTTTGGAGGTTTGAAATATATTTTCATCATAACTACAACCTCACCGAGATGTTGAAACGTTTATTACGAAGGTAAGATTATTAGTGAATTATTATTTAGTGCATAGATTATTTTAAGGTTTGTTTCAATTTGCAATATGGAGATGGATGAAAGATTTGAGATCATGATGTTGGATGTTTCACAGTGTCTTTAACTTATTTCAACTAATTTTTTCACTATTTAATATTTTATAACAAATTAAATGTTAATCAGAAACGTATTTAAATCACTTTAAAATCTGTGAATTTTAATTATTTTCTTACTACATGAACACAGTTAAATATTTCACATGCATAACCATGGATTATGTAAGCACGCCATGATAAAACATTTTGTGCTGTGTCATGCTACTTAAGATATTTTAGAAGTACATGCTTCCTAAGATATGTTCGAAGTACCTGATTCTTTACATATTATAAAAATACATGATTATGATCCCGGATTCAATATCAAAAGATTGTACACAACTTAATAGGATCTTTCAATACAAATTTACAATTGAAATTAAAATGGAGACAAGTGAAACTACATCACACAGCTTGTTTAGTTATTTTAAGACTCATCATGGAAATCTTGTTTAAATAGATATTTATAATACTTCTGCTTTTTTCGTGATATATATATTCTTTTATTCAATTTTCAATATTCAATTTGATAATGTTTTAGATATTCATTGCATTATATCATTTATATTTTATATCTATAAAACACAATAAAATATTTTTAGCCTCTAGTTTTGGCAGATACCTTTATCGAACCAGTACCATCTGGTGTATGACTTTGCGTCTTTAGTGTTATGGACATTTTAGAGCTGCAGGGTTATAATCTGGGGTGGTAGTGGTGACATGAGGACTTAGTCAGTCTTATAATATAATCAACTTATATTAACAATATCTTCTATTGGTCTGCTGTAAAGTAATCCAAGTGTTGTTATTATATAGTTGTTAAATGTTGATATTGAAAAAATCATACTGATTATAAATGTGTATCTATTTACCTGAATAAACATATATTAGTGTGCATTTTTAGCACCCGTCTTTCCTATCTATGAATATTTACTGGAAAAAGTACCGCTTAATATTCCACGTGCTAATATCTTAATGACTGAATTAAAATTTTATTATTGTTTGAAATGTATGTATCCCTAAGGGAAGGCCTTGCATAGATAGAGCCTCTTGCCCATTTTCTGCTATATCATCTAATCAAAATATTTTGAAGTGAATAAAAAATGTTCCGAATGAGTGACCAAAGTGAAACGACAAGACACCAAACCTTGGAAAAAAGGCCTGAAAGCGTGAAGATAAAACGACGTCTTTGTTACTTTGCTGTGGCGTCTTTTCGTCTTTTTTGTTTTTGCGAGTTTTCGTCTTTTCGCTTTGTTATCTTTTAGTAATAAGGGCTCAGCTCCTTCTATGTAGGTAAACACATATGCATTGTAGATGCCCCTATTGGAATAATGTTCACTATGAAAAATTATTGCAATGGTGAAAAAAAATTACTTCAATTGTGGTCGCAGATTCAATTCAATCATGGCTACTATTGTAATAATGTCAGCTGTATTGAAATATTATTTCAATTGTGAACGCTGCATGCGATATCGTTGTATTGGTGCAACTATTGTTGTAGTCGTATTTCAATTGAATCTGCGACCACTATTGCAATAATGTTTTTCACTATTGAAATAATATTTCAATTTTGAACATTATTTCAATAGAGGTTTCTTCAATGCATATTCTTCATAAGGTACCTGATATATTTTGGTTTCATATTTGATTAGCATTGCTCTATAAATAGATACTAATTTGACTTAAAAAAAACATTAGACTTTTTTCAGTGTTATTTCATACTTCATTACATGTATGCATTGTAATTTTAATTACAAGTGTTTACGTGACAAGTAGTTAGAAAGACATTTAAAAATACCAAATGGAACTTCCTTTATGTTTCATAAGTATATGAATCTTAATCGAATTCAGTATCAATATCTTTTTCATGGTTTTATTTTTTTGGTTTGCGATAATGTGGTTTATACAGAATATATCCATTCGCATTCTTCTAAAATTATCAGATGTACATTTACTGAGTTGATGGGCTAATGGGCACCTCCCCATCTAGTTTTAGAAATTTATTTCGATCACTTTGGATTTTCTCAGTCGCCTCCTTGGCTTAAGATTCGGGCCCTTAGCATCCCTGACCAGTCCTTGTAGAACGAAACAGCTGTATGATACAGTTTAATTGTTTGGCTCTACTGTATCTAACTCTTTGTATCAAAAGGTGCTCTTCACTCATGCATCCTTTGTATGATTTTCATAGACGCTTCTTATGGTTGCTTATTTAGCTAGTATAGTAATCGACGACGATGGTGAGTTTCTTATTCTGTTGCTTTTTAAGGCGTATTTTGGGGGGGAAATGCGTTCGTCATTCACATCTCATTTATAATATGGTCCTGGTGGTTACCATATTGTTTACCTTGTTCTCATTTGGGAAGCGTACAATATTTACTAAGACAGACAAAATTTCCTGGCGGGTTTCGCCGATAAAGCGTTAGACGCGTTCCTTCTGGAACACCCGGAATGATTCTCCTTGAATTTTCCTGGGAGTTTCCATGTAAAACATTCTTCTGGTCATATTCTGTGATAGTGTTTTTATAAAATGAATAATTTCCCACCACAATTAAGAAAGTACTATTAAATGTGCTATGAAGATTAAGCCTATAAAACTTACTTGTTGAAGACGTATGGTGAATACATGCGTAGTTGGCAACTGGCAACGGAGTAATATGACCAGTGCTGACCCCACTGATGCCAACATTGCCAGAAGTTTCCAAGACATCCCTGGACCATCCGGAATCTATCAGTGGCCATTCATTGGTCTCCGGCTGCAGCTGAAACCATTCAGTAAGTGTTTCAGTGTATCTGGCTCTTAGAATAAGTGATGGGTCAAGATATTCAGGGTACGGAAAGAATGCAAGAGAGTATGAAAACAGAGCCAACATGTTTTATCGGAAGACATATTTTCCCTATCCTCCGGATCAGCATATACCTAATTTGGAAATTTCCCTCTTCTCGTATTCTTTAACAGTTCCCAATATTGGAGAAGTTCAATTTAACTGGATACTTCATCGTGATACACCTTTCTGTGTGAAATCACTTTAGGATCGCTGTAATACCAAGTTTGTTCTAACCTAGCATGCGCACACTGTGTTATATAAAGGTTCGAGGAGTTACACAAGTGCAAGGCGAGCATGGAAGTTCTAACGGTTTTCAATACTGACGTCATTTAAATTGGGGTATAAGGTTTAGCGATCATTTGAAGCATACGGGATGAAAATTTACCAATGTAGAAAATATTCAATAATGTAATTTATCTAGATATATTTTTGATAATTCTTGAACAAGTTGGTGTCCTCTATATACACATTTTGGTAATAAAATATCATTCAAGGCAAATCATTTGATTGTATTATTTGTTTGTGATCGGTAACATAGGAAGATAATATGACATGCTTTATCTGAAGCCGAGTTTAAAATCACTCGCCTCGATCAACTGATGATGGACTACAAACGGCGTTATGGTCCTATCTGTAAAGCACGCATGGGCAAACGGTGGATGGTGTTCCTGTTTGAGCCTTCAGTTATTGAGAAAGCCTTCCGTACGGAAGGACGCTATCCACAGCGACCGTCTATAATGATTCTGGAACATTTCTACAAGGGTCAAGCATGTCCGTCAATATCTATTTTGTAAGTAAAACCTCGCACAATCTAAGTCATTATTCCTATGATAATATTTATATTTATTTGTATCATTGTTCTTTGTTGGAAATAAAAAAAGACTAGGAACATGTTTTTACAAACATTATGTTACCTTAACTAATGTTCTTGACCAATAAAGGTGCACTTAGTTCAATACAAGCAGTGGTGCGAAAGGCATATATTTTCGTATCAAAAAGATATTATGAGCGTATAAATGATCCTTTACAGACAAGGGAAAGAATGGTTTGAAATGAGACGACCACCTCAAATGACATTAAAAAAGCCGAAGAACCTCTCAAAGTTTATACCCCAATTGAGTGAGGTTGCTGATGACTTTGTGGAGAAATTCAGAAACAACCATATAATGGAGGATCTACCGTTGCCTTGCCTAGACTTTACCACAGAAGGTATTGTGATTAAAATTATAAACATTGTATAGAGAAACACCCTTCCGAGTTCTTGATACCAACATTCTTCGTTCCATCTGCACCATTCTTCTTGTGAAATCACTGGTGTCATTATTAACAGGGGCAGGTACATTATGTTTTGGTCTGCGACTCGGCTGCCTGAATAAGACAAGTGGAAACGACGCGACCACCATATTGAAACATGTGCGAGGTGTTTTTGGCGCCATTGGAGAATCGATGTACTCACTGCCTTGGTTCTTGTTGTATGAAACATCCTCCTACAGACAATTTGTGGAACACATCGCTTTCTTGAGAAGGTGGGTCAGCACTGTTGATGAATTCAACAAGGCAGAGGAACGGTGATCAAGTGCAAATAAAAACTCTTGCTAGATATAGGAGATTTATTTTCGTTTGGCATTTGTCCTCTTTGGCTTCCATACATGTGATGCGAATTCATCAGCATTTACTTAAGTATAATCTCTCTCGGGGGTTCAGAGCTTTATCAAAGCTCAAAGATTACAAAGAATTATTTGCGTTATAGCAGGACTTATGACTTGCTCATTTACAAAATCAAGAAAATGAATGCATTTGAGATGTTTCGTAGATTTGTTGTTCGATTTCATATCTGAATATCTAATACGAAAATGTCCAGCATGTTTTATATTTATGTTTTAAGATGAAAAAAATCAGCACGTTTTTCTCTTTATAATTAAAAATAAAAATATTCAGCATACTTATATATCTAAAGACGAAAACATTCAGCATGTTTTGTATCCCTATACCCAAAGACGAAACATTCAGCATGTTTTGTATCCCTATACCCATAGACGAAAACATTCAGCATGTTTTGTATCCCTATACCCATAGACGAAACATTCAGCATGTTTTGTATCCCTATACCCATAGACGAAAACATTCAGCATGTTTTGTATCCCTATACCCATAGACGAAAACATTCAGCATGTTTTGTATCCCTATACCCATAGACGAAACATTCAGCATGTTTTGTATCCCTATACCCAAAGACGAAAACATTCAGCATGTTTTGTATCCCTATACCCATAGACGAAAATATTAAGCATGTTTTATATCCCTATACCCATAGACGAAAATATTAAGCATGTTTTATATCCCTATACCCATAGACGAAAATATTTAGCATGTTTTGTATCCCTATACCCAAAGACGAAAATATTTAGCATGTTTTGTATCCCTATACCCATAGACGAAAATATTAAGCATGTGTTATATCCCTATACCCATAGACGAAAATATTTAGCATGTTTTATATCCCTATACCCATAGACGAAAATATTTAGCATGTTTTGTATCCCTATACCCATAGACGAAAATATTTAGCATGTTTTATATCCCTATACCCAAAGACGAAAATATTTAGCATGTTTTGTATCCCTATACCCAATGACGAAAACATTCAGCATGTTTTGTATCCCTATACCCTAAGACGAAAATATTTACATGTTTTATATCTAAAAATGAAAATATTCAGAATGGCCGATGGACATTTGCAAAGGGCGAAACATGAACTGAACAACAGAACGACTGGTGATGAAAAGGCTAACCTAATGTTGGATATGATAAACACTCCAGGTATGACTTCAGAAATGATCTCCAACAACCTGGTGGACCTTTTTATAGCTGGATTGGATTCGGTAGGTAGAAATATATCCTGATTAACAGCTTAAACAGCTTGAACGAGTTTATAGCATAATTTGTGTAATTACTGAATGATCTGTTTACGTTTCAATTTTGGTTTCATGTGCAGTGCTTAAAATTTTAGTAAAACCGAAAGAATGCAAATGATGCTGAAAAAATCTTATCCTAAATCCTATTTAAATCATTGCGAATTTCCAATCATAACTTCTTTACAATATCACTTGAAGTACATGTGCATGACCAGATCGTTCAGGGACAGTTCAATATTTCCTAATTGTGATTAAATTATTTGTGTCCCTTGGCCAAATATATTCAAACAAATCAACGTCCTACCTGAATGTTACCTTTGGATAACTTGATTTCAACATTATAATAAATGCAATTATTGTATTACTGCTCAATATAAATGCAATAGATTTTTTTTGGATTTTACAGGCTATATATGGAACAAAATTTCACAAATAATTTCAGACTGTGATATGACACTACGTATGAAATTCATTTCTACTTGTAGACGGCCATGGCGATTACTTTTCTCTTTTATCAACTGGCACGGAATCCAGACAAACAAGAAAAGCTGTTCGAGGAGATCCGAGATCACATCCCTCCGTCTGGCCCTATCAGTGAGGATGCATTGTTACACCTTCCATACCTTAAGGCCTGTCTTAAGGAGTCATTCAGGTAAGTAAATGGTCGCCCCTGAACATGCATTGTTGTCATCTGAACATCTGAACTGAAGTTAACTGCTAATCGTTGGTATTTTAGTAATCAATAAATATAAAAACACTTTTTCTATTTACTGGGACCCAAACAGTAATATATTTTTCCTTACTGTTGACTTTGTTATCTCTGGACGACAGAATACAGTTTATATCGTCTATAATTTGTTCAGTCGGTTCACTTATCTGTCTTGTTTATTTGAAATATGATACCAATCAGCTGTCTTCATAACGGATTTAGAGAGTTCACATAGTCTCTGAAATTACTTGCATTGGTAATGATGTGTGAAAGATTTGTATACATATCATTGTTCTAATTTATCATAATTTTTATGGTATCATGACTTTTATCAATATCAACTCTTTCAACCACTCTAAAATCATTAGTTTATTTGGAGTGATTAAACACGCCGCGATAAAGCAAATTTTGATTCTTTTATATATCATGACGTTTCTTATTACATGTAGGCGCCTCACCTAACTATATATAACCTTTGAAGAGTCTATCTTTCTTCATGTTACAGGCTAGTGTTTCCTGTATCAATCGGAAGTTCAAGGGTACTACAAAAAGATATCCAATTACTAGGATACCATATTCCCAAGGGAGTAAGCATGCCACGTTTTAATTCTTTTAATTATTGGTACTGTGTCCGACTTATAAGAATAAGGAAATCTATGGCATAATGGGGCCAGTACATATTCCCATCTGTCTTTTGATGATTTTTTTTGTCACTTTGAAAATTTCTCAGTAACCTTCTAGGCTGTTAGCATCACTGACTAGTCCTACAAGGACGAAACATTCGTATGATGCATTATTTGGCTGTACTATATTAAAGTACTATTAATTTTGTAGTTTGTACAATCTTGTTAATCATGCACTAGAATTTATTTCTTTTATTTATTAACAAATCATTACTTACTGTCGTCGATGGAGCAGAAAACGCTTACTCTTCCGGAAACCTGGTCCTATTCTCCTTGTACTTTTTCAGGAGTCTTTGTGTAAATCTTTCGTTTGCTCATATATTGTCCTAGTTTTATTTGATTTGAGTTTGAACTATGATAATGTTGACTGTTGTTTTTTTTAACGGGTAAGGTTTAGATAATGAATAGACATATGTCATCTGTTTGGGTTACGCGGATGATACATCATATATGCTCCGACTTGATAGATATTCGCATTTTACTCTGTTAATGTTTCCTTTTTTATAATTGGTGTTATATACGGGTCAATTATCAACAAAAACATACTCATCAACACGGTGATTGAAATTGATTTATATTTTATGTAACTAGGGACTTAACCATCCGGTTATATGTATATGTGAATTCTAACAAGATTCGAGTAAAACAGCAAAATGATTTGCTGAAATTATGTTTTCGTATACATAGATCATACATTACGGAACAAAAACATTTTTTCAATCATCAATGGCGAAGCTTGCCTGTATTTTTCCACATTGTATAGAGTGTGTAAGAGTGCTAATGTAACACGTACCTTTATTTTAGTGCGTTATCGCCGGAGGTAACAGTGTAATAGGGAGGGACAAGGAATACTTTAACGACCCGGAAATGTTTTTACCTGAGCGCTGGCTGCGTTCGGGACCAACGCATATACACGCTTTTGCACAACTGCCGTTCGGATTTGGTCCTCGGGACTGTATTGGTAAACGCTTCGCAGAAATTGAAGTTTACATATGCGTATCAAAGGTATCATCTTTTTTTCCAATCACAATACAATATATACAATGTCATGATTATAACAAGCGAGACGAAAAATTTAAGACTCGCACTCCAGGTCCAACAACGCATGAGCAACAAACGTTACAGATGAACATTTTACCCGTGTTTGATGTTGTATCATTTCAGGTTATAAAACTTTTCAACTCGATATAATTTATTTCTATATAATTCTGCAAAAACGAACATTTACCAAATTCATCTCCTTACAAAATATAGGAATTTCTTTGTGACTTTTCTTTAGTAAACAAGAAATCAGCAAATTAAGAGGATTATGTTTTTCTTAACAGAAAATTCCATCTTTTAAAGACGTCATAAATCTTAATAGATGATAAAGATCTGGAACCGGTTTCAAGGTTTCTTCCTTAAAAAAAGTGAAATCCTAAATTTCATAGAAAATCAGCGTACGTAAAGCTTTTTCTATGAAAGTTGAGATTACCTTAATCTAAGGGAATTTCGTGAAGCTGGGGCCAGGACACTTATATCTGTTTTCTAATATCATTTGGCGTCTGTAACTTGTGAAGATGTGCTTTTTCATGACATCATTGATAGTACACAAGTAAAAGAGCTAAGAAGTAATACATTTACTTTTGACACTATTTATATATAACAAATTATTCTACAATCTATTCTATTTTGAACTATTCGTGAAAAGAATTACAGTCAAAACAACTCTTTCATACGTTGTTCTTCTTTTGACAAATTGCAGCTTCGTTATCCTGTATTTATTGTGTCGTTACTTGTCAATCCGAGTTGACTAATCTATATAAATTCACCCCGAAAAATGACCGGATACAGAATTTCTGTTTGAAAATCTAAAGTCTCTATATACCACCACATAATCCGACAAATTTAAGCAGAAAAGAAATGAAATTACTGATTCTGTTTTGTAGATTGTGAGAAACTACAAAATCATCCTACCGAAGGACGTCACTGAGGTACCATATATATATCAGATGTTTGCGATCCCAGAGAAACCTTTCTCACTGCATCTCCTGCCCCGATCGACAGGATGAGGAGACACAATGTGTGGTGAAGTAAAGAATAAACACACATCGAATATATTGCTTCGTTAATCTCAACAGTGGCAAATGTATGTAGTGTATCGATATGTTATCACTACCTAGACGGAATCACACTTACCAAGAAAGAGTTTCGGCTTGACCCGTTTAAAGGGAATTTGTATATTTCATCAATCATATGTATGTACCCATATCCAGAATTTTCTTGTCTTCTATCGTTTGCTTTTAATCGTCAGATAATTAACAATATGCTCTGATTGTGTCACTAGCAGTATGGGCTTCTGTTCAAAGTCATGTCATTGTTAAATAAAAAGGTCACAAAGTGTATATAATCATGATTTTATCCAGCTGACTAAGCATATCTGTAGATTATACATACAAAATACAAAATACTAAGAAACAAAAAGCAAATAGAGTTGTTTCTTCCCTCTACGAGGAAGATTATATGTTATAATAATGTGGAAGATACACGGAGAATGTTTCAAGATCAAATATTGTCAGAGTTGTCTCCCCTGAAATGTTATTCACAATATTGACAACTTGATTAATCTATAGCGGATGGAGTGGTTCCCTTACCATCGGTACACTATACCTATAACTACGATGCTAAAGAATAACGTATCACAATTACATGATATAACGTTTTGCTCCGATGCCACTCCATCACAACATACGATACCACCATTGCTTTCTCATTCCAACCGAGTAAACAATGATGATGTCATCAATACAAGCTCTCTATCCATCCAACAACCTCGTGAATCGAGATAAAAACGCTCAAACATGTGGGTCCAGGGATGTGGGTCATAATTGCCAACAAATACATTAAAATAATGGATTTAATTACACCTGATTGTATCATTATTTTTACAAAACAGACCCTGCTTTATTTTAATATGTATTATTATATCGAGCGCTCTCAATACTAATGATATCAGTTCAAATAAGGCATATGAAGCTTAAAAGTGTAATTCAATTCTGTCTTGTTTCATGAGTAGCTTATTCTTCAGAAAGGTTCACAAAGGATGCAATAGCACGTTCAAGCATGCATAAAATGATACGTCAGATATTTACAAGTCTGATTTATACAGTATTGGTTCATGGCTGTGATATAAAACATAACTTTGGATTAAATTTGGTACATTGCTACTTCATTGTCATAAAGCAACACGATTCCACAATCAGAAACCGCTAAAGCACCACAAAAGAGAAATCTGAAATCGTTTAAATCGCAGCTATTAACATACCGATCAATATGAAAGACATGTTAGATGATAGTTCTTCTTTTCTATTTTGTTTCTTGTTTTTTCTTGCCTTAAAAAACAAGATCATTTTAAAAACAAAAACAAAAACAAACAAAAAAACAAAAACAAAAACAAAATTAAATACTTTCTAAAACTCGAAAAAATCGAAACAAAACATATTTTTATAAACATCTACATGTAAATTGCAATAGTTTTGTATCAATATGTTAAAACAAAACGAGATGTAATGATATTGGTGTCAACCAATTTCCACTAATGATGTGGTCATTTTACAATGCAGTCTAGCCAAAGAAATCCTAACACGATACTTTACTGTTTTACGTATAAAAAGGAAATCGCATACGTTTAGCATGATCGGATACTAGGATGACATTACTTCAACAGCAATACAAGCTTATATTTCATTCGCATATTGTTGTGATTTGAAGTGTTATGTAAGCAATAGTTTTTCTTTTGAACCGCTTAGATCCACACTTTTAGAGTAGAACACTTCCGGTTCCGGTTTACCATTGGTCTCCGTTGGTCGTTTGTGACATGGTACATCAAGAAGAAAGTTAATGTTCCTTCGTCTTTGTTTCACTATAAACGTGACAGCAAGTGTGACGACGTTGGAGATCACTAGGAAGCATAACGGGAGTACATAACCGGTATTTTGGACTACCCAACTGGCTTGGTTAGGCTCGTTCAAGGTAACACAAGTACTTCCCTCATTGTCTGTCTCTGATACCGCGGGTACACCACCTGATCAAAATAGCGATAGTCAGTGAAATGGAAACGAAATCGTCCCTTCTATTTGAAGACGCTTCTGTGATAGCCTGATCTGTACCAATTCGAATGGCACATATCAGTCACCATAAACACATATCACTATGTTGGGAATACTTGGTATTTTCTTGACATATTGACACACAGTTAGTTTATAATACACCAAACCAGTAACTTCTTACTATTACTCGACACCTCTCAGGGCTTCGTCAGTATATACCTAACTTAAATTCGGTTTAGAACAAACAAATGACGTCTGTTTCATTTTTTAAAAAATACGTGTTGTCAATCTGTGATTAGGTTAAACGCATTAAAACATAGGGAGATGTCAATTTTGATACAAAAACTTGGCCACCAGAAATACTGAGGTATACCTAAAAGCGCCCACAGACTACCATTACTGAATGTCTTGGTCTCCCTGTCCAGTCCAAAATTTCCACAGGTGGGAAATCCTTTGGGCAGTGCTGGCATGTCGCTAACTTCACCCTCTTGTACCATCAGACTCATTCCAGCTATCTGATGAACCTCAATATGACAATGCAAGAACCAGTATCCTGTAGGAAAACACAAAAAACCTGAAACAACGTTTTCTTGACAGAAACGTTTCATTACTTGAACTTGTGGAGTTTAATTGTTGTTTTACGTCCTATCAACAGTCATTTAAGGACGTGCAAGGATTGAGTGATTGATAGACAGTCGAAGTTTCCAGAGAAAAACCCCGATCAAAACCTGTCAAACCTGTGACCTAGAGATGGAGGGCTAGTGGTACAGACGGTCAGACGCTTTTAACCACTTTGCCACCACGGTCCATCATATCTTACATATGTTTGTGATCCTTAACATACCTTTGAATCATACGTAAAATTATGTTTAAGTCTCCTACCGTTATAGCAGTCGTCTTATGATTTCATAAACCTACCTGGATTGTCAGCAGTCATACGCAGGACAACGTATCCCTGTCTAGGTACGATGATTGTGTCCTTCCGGGGAGGATTGTTCAGGTTCACACCTGGGATTTTTCCAAGCCGCCAGGAAGAGTCACTCCAGGTAGCGTTGTCACAGATGGGCGTGTCACACCGAATGTCTTTGTTGGGCCCTGATATCCTGCCGTTACGTCTATCGTATTCCGGATATGCCATCTTTATAACGTGTGGATGATGACCATGAACATGGACGGGATGTGCTAGGCCGACAGAATTGTCGTCTGTGAAAAAAATAGATAAAGTTCTATTTATATGAACACGTCAGTTAATAATTATTTATAAGAATTTCTTTTTGTCTTTTATCATGTTCTTTCAAAACAATTTACATTGAATATGACATCCATAACACACTTAAAGCAAAGATCAACATGCTTGTGAACAATTAAAGATTACCAAAATCATCCAAGCTTAAATTCAATAAAACTAGGTCAAAATATGAACAACATAAAGTTTAACACGGAGACGTCATCGACGAAACCCACTCTGTAAACCTTGGTCATTCCAAGTAAGTAATGTCACGTCCTCAAATGAAAACAGCGATGGAACCTACAGCCAACCTTACGAACTTCAAACACGTCTAGCTTGATATCGCAGAAAGAAAAAGAATATTTCTCAATGAGATCACTTATTTTCCTTTCGCCTAAGTCAATGTATAACATATTTTGATGTCAAAGCTACAACAGTCATATCACTGCTTGAAGGTGTTAGCAACGTAAAAGTGATTAATTAGCATGGTAACACAGAAAATTGTCTTCGGTCGGAGAGGACATGCATTATAACGTTACCGTACCTCGGCTTTTGTTAACAAATGCCGCAACGTTTTAGCAAGATAATCACATACAACAGGATCATACTTCCTGAAATAGAGTGTCTGGTTAGACACTTATACATCAAGGTCTCAATCACACCTCTGGGAGAAGTAGAAAAATAATTGAGGAATCGACACCAGCCGCATCGAACGTTAGACTAGTTGATATGGATCTTGTAATAAGATTATACAGATGACTTCTTCGACTGATCACTTCAATGTGCGTCGTTATCAAGATGTGGTCAACTCAAGTTTACCATAACATTAATTATTAACATATTCTTTATATTGGCTGCATAAAAGTCGTTCTACGTATACATTAGATAAAAATAGTTTCAGCAAAGTCAATTTATTGTTATAACAAATCATGACATTAATTTCGACAGTGGTAGGTACAGTATGCTCTATACGTTAAAGATTCGTTATCGATACGATAAGAAAAGGGTAAAATGTCCTCCTGCAATGTTTCTACCTATACTTGAAGATATTGAAAACCCGAAATGAGTGAGGTTTTTTTTATCATGAACAATTTTTGATGCTTCAAGACCAACAGGGAAGACAACTACATTTACTGAGAATAAGTTCAACTTAACAGTGTGCTTTTCTAAGACCGTCAACTCATAATTTAAATCAGAAATTAAAAGATTTGAAATCTCATCTGAGTATGACTTTGGCAACATTGACGTCACACTTACTTATGTTGAGGAGTACTAGTTGTACGGTGTTATCCACATTCAGTTTAATCACGTGAGTGCACGTGCAATACTCGTCACAACGCTCCACACATTTTGTGAACATCTCATCATCATTGGGATAAGTCTGTTAAGATAAAGTAAAAGACTGTCAGAGTAAAATGTTTTTCCTGTTTGTCCTGAAGTCATTTAATAAAGTATTTCTTTAAGAAAATGAGTCTTAATGTTTGCAGATAAACAAGTCTTTGTTGGTTGACGCTTTGAAATCTTCATGCAAACTAAACATTCATGAAACGAGGACAAAATATGAACAAATAATAAATTTTCACAAGAGAACCATTGAAAAGTTAATGGAAAATAATCTTAGGAGTAAAACTTTCACAAAGAATAGACACACCTGTGGTGGCACGGAAGGTCTCATAAAACCCTTGTTGTTAACAGCTGCAGATATAGGTGACCTACTCCCTACAATCAAGGCATTTATTTTTAATGAAACTCATACTTATCACGTGTATAACTAATATATATAAAGACAGATATAAAAGTTCTTCTGTGTCAGTTCTATTTATATAATGCTATAAAATCTGCGGTTTTACTTTAACTTGCAAAAAAGAAGCTTTCAACGTAGTCATCAAACTCTGATGAGAGTGACAGAGTATGAAGAAAGAATCGTCAAATATGAATATTAAGGTGTTAATGTGATATTTGGTTTGACATATAATCCATGGCTTCATGGCTTCATTACTTACTTGCATATACGAAGTTAAGAAAAAATTCCTGAAACGTTTCAGCGGAATTAACAGCAGGTACTGGATGGAGTGTTTGTTCTTCTGTGGTGGCCTTGAGATCCGCAACCGACGTGCATTCGGTATTATACTCCGAATTATACCTACAATAGTTACACAATAGGGCTTTGGAGGGTTGCTTTTTACAAATATCTGAGGTAAAAGGAAACAAAACATTTGTACTAAGAAAATTCATGACTGAGAATACCTTTTGAGTTTTTAAGAAAGTATTTCAGCACGGGCTTACTGTTAAAAAGACGAGACAAAACAATAACTTTGCATTCATATATTAACTCACGCGCAATTCACGATCAAAATGAATACTGGTGTTTCGGTGAGTAAACATCAGTTCTGTAGTTTGATTTTTATTTATACAATTGGTACTTCAAACATCTAAACAAACATACTTTTACATATGTAATATTGCATGTAATCTCGAGTCAGGATGTGATAGGATACTCACAGGAAGGGACAATTGACGACACGACATGGTTTGCTTCTCTCACAGACAGTTTTCTGTGAGGCTGGTAACACAACTTCGGTATCATGATATCGCAATACAGCCAGACCAAAGCTGGGGGACGATGACTGTGACGTTTGGGATAAAAGGATCACGAGCATAATAAGTGAATCATTCTTTATTAATATAAAAAAACTGCAACATTGTTTGAAGTAATAATATCTGTAATATAGGTTGTTTCAGAACTAATTTGCACGTGCGAGTATGATAAAGTATATTATAATCTGATTCCAGATAGAAAATAATAAATGTGTAATTATTTCATTTCTGACCATTCTTTTCTATTTGTCACCCACATAGCCAGTTGCTGTTCAGAGATTATTATAGAAATGACCTCGCCACCTACCTCTCCTGTTTCAGGAGTGTCCATGGTTTCGACGCGTATCCAGTACGAACCAGGTGGTTGGTCTGCATGGAGTATTATGTCAAATCGTTCACCACTATGTACCACAACGGAGTCAACTTCGAACTCTATTACCTCATTGCCATCAGCTGATATAACTGTCATCGGATGCTTTAGTGATCAGAAGGGTTGATATGCTTTTACCATAAACCATAATAAATTGTACATAGTTTAATAAATTTCGTTTTTTTCATATATCATATAAGTAAATAGGTATATTCTGAACCAGTGTCATATTATATCTGTAATCCTTATTTTAAAAGTACCTAGATACTTTACCCCTCCATTTGCTGTTTATACTTTGGTTGTAAGTCAGTCAGTTTGCCATATACACCAGAGTTACCTGTACAGAGGTACAATTAACTGATTACACCTGGTCAGGTGTTACATAATACCTGTAGGCAGTACCCAGGCGGGGCAGGGCTTATATAAACAATTTAATTGTCTGTCTATAACCAATAATGCAGCCAATGACAGTTTGTTTACCTGTAGGTAATTTCTAATTCTACAGCAATATGATATTAGTTTGAAACTTAAAGCTTGCAATAACATACATGTATGTTTCAGGGACAGGGGATTGGAGTTGGAATAGTTATAAGATCTAGAATATCAATAAATCTTGCTGTTTGACAGTTCTTCATGGAATCGATATACAGAACCAGAAAAATATTATCCTGTGATTCTAGGAGAAAGTTGATTATATATAGGATTATAGATACATTACTTGATAGCAGTGATGAAAGAAGGTATAAAGTATAGTATAGTAGATATTGTAAATAGGGAACAACTATCTGATATATTGGGGAGGGTGATTCATTTATAATGGCTATCAGAATATTATCTAGGGAAAATAGTCAGGGAAAACATTTTATGATGACCATCACAATATCTTGAGGGTAATTCTCTGAAATATTGGGAGGTTGGGAGAAGGGGTGGGAGTGAACATATAATAATCCTATACTGTGCTTTCTTTTTCTTGGAAATGTTCTCCATTTTTCTAGGAAGTCGAACTCAGTAATACCCATACTTTGCCATGCAAGTGCATTCCTTTAAACTTTACGTAAAAGGCCAAAGACCAGTTAGTTCCTCTCTGATAGATAACTATTCAGAAATGGAACTGGTCAGGATCCATCATCCTGGAAAACTTGAATCCTTTCAGTCTTATAGGGTATAACTACAGGCAGTTTACTGAAAACAAATATAAACGTCTTGGTTCGACATAATTCATCAGTATTTGGCTCGAGATACAAAACAGAAAGAAAATAAAAAGTCACTCTGTTTTATAATATTCATTTATTTTGTAGCAGAAATCATAAGGTTTATATACTGTGTACAAAAACAAGAGGTCCGTTTGGCTTGTATTGCTCACCTGGATCTTATAGCCTAACAATGTTATTCATGCCTTTGGTTGGATGTGTTAAATATTTCCAAATTAAAGCTCAGTCACTTAACCTCTTTGATGGGGCAAGACCAATGGGTAAATTCTTATTTCATTACTGTCTCTTTTGATTCCGAGAAAGAGTGTATGTGATTATCGGGTTGTTATCTCAACTATATCAATTATATGACCCAGAAATAATGTCATTAAGTTGTGCCGAAACTAATGGTAATTCTTATAACAAATGTGTTTATCTCTTGATGCCTAGCAATTCCATATATATGGTTATGAGGTGAGATTTCAACTGTTTTAAAGAAATTACCCAGAAATTAAGTGAATAGGGTTGGGCCACCCAAAGAGCCAGTTCTTACATCATAATTGTGTTTATCTCTTGATGCCCCTCATTGCTTTATATGGTTAAAGAGTGGGTATCTAAACTTTTTCAAAAATATAACAAGGAAACTAAATCCCTGGGGGTGAGGTCAGGCCCCAGAGCCAGTTGCAATTATCTCTTTATTCCAAGCAATGTTATACATGGTTATGGAGTGAAGATCTAAACTATTTTTAAACACATTTCACCTGTTGAGTCTCTCCATTTCTGCAAAATCGATTTCCATTCACCCAAAGATGCTTCTGACTAAATTTGGGCAGAATCCAATCATTCTTACAGGTAGAGTGGGATTTGTTAAAGACTTTGCTCTGTTTCCCGTATTGAGCCCTGCCCCTCCCACTCCAAGGGCTTTATCCCATTGTTTATACGACATTGATTCATCACCACCTTAACATGATTCAGACCAAATTTGGACAAAATCCAATCATTCCTACTGGAAGAGTAAGGTCAGGTGAGCTAAAAGTATACCCTCTCTCTATATTTAAATGATAAAACCTCTCTCCCTGCATGGGTACCTATAACTGTTTTTGTGATGTCTTCCAAATTAACTATGTACAATGAATGTGAATGACAAAAGATTTTGAGTGGTGGTTAGATAGAGTAGCATTGAACAATGATTTAAACTGCATCATACCGCTGTTAAGTCCTTCAAGTGATGCTATAGGCTTAAATTCTGAAGCATAAGAGGAAAACCCAAATGATTGAAAGAACGATTTAAAAAGGTAAGAAGGTGCCGCAACCCCAGAATTAAATAATAACATTATTTGATTATGCTAATGAAGATAATGATCACTAAAAGAAAACCAACTGCAAACAAATTGGCATAACAGATTGAAATGTGTGATTAAAATTTATCATTTTTCCTATATGTAATTTCTACTTTCACAGAAGAGTCCATATACAAGGCCAGATCAGTTGTATGATACATAAACTACATTCCTGAGGTTCATCTCTAAAGTCATTAATCACTTGTTTGTATTTTTTGCAATTCCAGGAGCGATCCTGTCACGAAGCGGCACATGTAAAATAAATATCAGATAAAATTATTGAATAAAATAGTTTCTTGTACATACAACGTGTGCATGACGTATTTACGCTGTGCTTTTGATATATCTTCCAAATGTTATCTGTACAAACATCTTGTGGATACATTTGGTATTTATTTTGTCCTAAGTAAGTCCATTGATGTTAGATTAAAACAATTACTGAGTCAATTTCGCATGCAAGGACACAATCTGAACATTGAAACAGGTCGTTATAATAACATTCCCAGAAGTACAGTTTGTGATCAAAATGATATCGAGGATGAACTACATTTTGTACTACTTTGTCCTACATATTCTGATTTAAGAAGTAGATACATTAAAAAGTAATAATATAATTATTTTCCTGTAAAAGTGTTAAGGTTTTAAACAAACTTGCTAAATATCTTTTGCATACTACAACTAAAAGAAAAACTCTCCTCGGTCAATAATTGTTATCATGTTGGAATAATTTCTGAAAAATTACTGTCGTGGGATTAAATGTAATAGACTTTTAATGTTCGTTAATTGCATACTGAAAAATACTTTAAATCAACCCTTCGTGTATTTTTGGATAATTTAGTTTCTGTAGTGGTGTTGCATTTGTGTTACCAAATTTCATAACGTCATGTTTATTGCTATGTTGTTTGTTTTCGAATGTTTGCTACAGTATTTCTGTTATGCTGTAATGAATGAAACGTCTGCACATAATTATATCTTCGAATAGAATTGTCCTCCGCCATACTTAAGAATTTGACACAATTTATTATGTATATTTGTATCCTATATGCTGTATTGCATTTGGAATAGATCAACTTGTTTCTTGAACTTGTAACTTGTTATGACATTATCTCCTCACCTGGTCAATTGATACCTGAAATGCATACACCATGGCGGCGTTAATGATGCGAAACCGGTACACCTCACTGGTCGTCACGGTGAAGACTTCGTAAAGTAGACCATCATTAGGTTGGGTGTGGTTGTATCTTCCTACATACAATGTATATTTTTAATTGTTAAAGTGTTATTGTTCCCAATTCTTGGTATACATAAAGAGTTCGGGTTGATGCATTGTCCATATCGAAAGGCGTGACCTGTTCACCTTTCATTGTCATATTTATCACAGGTGAGTCGATATTCAAATGGAAAATATGATAAAATTATATGACTTTGTGACATTTACTTTACTCTGTACACCTCATAAATAACACTTTGTTACACCAAAAAATGAATTGCCCGGGTTGAATATTCTAAATAAACGTCCTTAGGATATTTCGCTAGATACTAAAAAAACGACGGCGGTGACAGTAATACCGTGTACATGTACCCGGATATAAATGAATGGTTTGATAAGAAACGATAACATCACATTAACTATTGTACTTTCATATAAAATTGTCTCAACACAATGCCACTTACCCTTTCCGTTTATAAGAGCAGATTCGAAAGGAATGTCTGCTGTTATTTCCCCATCTTGGGAAGTTCGAGGCGTAGTACATCCTTCCTTGTCAGGTCCATGAAAGAACCTCAAAATGCGAAACAAAAAAAAATATAAATCAGGAAGTATTTACTACATGCAAACATCCTCATATTAAGTCGATGTTCATCTGAATAAAGATAGACCTATACCAAATTATTTTTTTTCAGTTGAGTAGGAAGTATCTTCACTCCGATTTGGGGGACACACAGAAATATAATGTGGATCTGGATGTCTAAAAAAACGCTTAATGTCAACTAGAAATAATCAAATGCTATCTAGCATAGATATCACAGCTCGCTGAAATATCAAGACTATTTTTAATGCGTGAAAATTATTATGTTAGTATGAACGCATTTATGAATTATCTACCAATCTTTTTATGAAAACATTGGCCGTTGTTTACGTCCCGTTGTGAAAATCAAGACAATTTGGACGTTATTTTCTTACATTTACAAACAGTTTCTCTCAATAATTTAGCAACGTGCATCAATTAAAAAAAAAGATAGAAAAAAATCTGAATATATTTTGTTTGTTCTTACATTTTCTCTGACATTGTCACAACATGATGCACATTTGTATTTTTGTTCATGTAACTGTACCCATTAACATTGATCAGATTGTGCAGAATCTACGACGTATATATTATAACACAAAATTATTGAATTAATTCAGGAACATTGAACTGGTACTTGATATAAAAAAAATCTGTTTACGCACGGGTTCAGATAAGTGTCGAGGTAATTCCAGATTTCCGGTCCCGACCGTAAGAACCAGTCTTGAAGGAACATCACGTAATCTTTGTCTACAGTTCCAGCGGCCTGTAATGAAAATTGATTATAAGCTCGTAGTTCCTTATCTGTTCTGTTGATGATTTAATTAAACATGTTTGTTTCCACTGAACAGTAAACATTTATTTTTTGCTCAATGCCCTGGTTATACCCTCTATTGGTCAAACGATCCAATTTAATGTTCCAGTCTGTTACCCTCTATTTCTCTAAAGTTACCATGCACTGTTCCTCCCATGTACAGTCTGACACTTTATCTCTAACCTTGCCGATACCATGCACTTTCCCTCCCATGTCCAGTCTGTCACCCTCTTTATCTCTAATGGTACCTCCCACGTCCAGTCTATCATCCTCTTTATCTCTAACGATACGATGTACTGTCAACTATACCATACGCTGTCCCTACCATGTCCAGTATGTCACCCTGTTTTCCTCTAACTATAATATGCACTGTCCCTCCCATGTCCAGTTGATAGGTCTCTTACTGTGGATCCTTCCTTTCAATGTCCAATCATTGGTACATGCCATTAAGGATTTATAGGTACAAAGCCCATTGTACTTACGTTATCCGTGTTACCGCTTGCCCGAGGGAGGACTATAAAAGGACCAGCTATTCCATCTGTCCTCAGCGTACCTTGGTGAGCGTGGTAAAATCTCGTTCCAACTTCATTCGCAACAAATCTGACAATATCCAAAAGTTGCAAATAGCGTACATATTGATGGTATCGACCAATCCTCTGAATACCTTGAAATATTTGAATAAAGTTTAAAATATAATCAAAAACCAAAATATGGAAAGTTCTATTGTTTTTTAGGGGATTTGTTCAGGATCATCATAATATGGTAACATATACACTATATGTCGATTAATGAACCAAGCTGCAAACTACATGTCGATCGTCAATCTTGGACTTGTTACTGATGCTGGAGGACTTCAGTGTTACAGTAGTAGGAGAGGCATGTCAATCAGATCGACCGGAATAACTGTCAAAACATGAGGAGGTTCATTTGTTCAATAATTTAATAGATTTGATAAATGTTTAATGTATTATTGGATGATATTGAAAAAATCGTCAAGCATAGAAACAAAATACCGACACAAGTAAAATTGTTAATTCAAACTGAAAATCGATGAAACTAGAACAAAATGTAAACAAATAAACAAAGGAAAGATTTACACCATTGAAAAGGATCAGAAGAATTCGACCAGGTGTTCTGAAATGGTCAGTTTCTTCATCGACGGCTTCCGTCATGTAAATACTTGTCAATCCAGGTAAGTAATGAAACCTTGTGTGTGATACCGGAATAAACAGGGTTCTGAACGATCGTCGAACACATTTAAAGTCATGTCCCACAGGAGAATGCATTCTTGATGGCGACCATAAAATGTCCCCATAGTCTTCATCAACCTGAATTTTTGTCAACTCGTTCACGGAAATTGTTATGTATGGAACATGCCGCTGAATATTGAATCAAGTGCGAAATATAAACACATTAAGTTAAGAAAGCAAAAATAATTATTATCTACAAATGGACATTACAGAATAGTGAAATCCCGTGCCTGTTAATCGTAGTTAAAGTTCTAAATAATCTACTGATGTAGAAGAGCCGTCGTGTCAATGCTTTCTATTTCTGGTGGTTATATACGTGGGCATGGTCTATTAATCACTACCAATAAATAGTAGAAATGAAAGTGAAGAATTTGGCAAAGTTTTCTTTTCATGTTGTGATAAGATCGTTGATAAAAAAGTGGAAGAGTGAAAGCATACAACATGAAAAATTTCCTCCCTCTCAACATGCTACACGAATTTTTAACACACTTGGATTTTTGTTGATTGAGAAGAAGTCGTTGACCTTTAAAGTGTGTCATTGTCAATCATTTGATCCAACTTTCACCCCAACATATTAATGAATCAATAACAGTGATCTCGGCCTCTTTGAGTATTGAGAACAAGTCGTTTTTGTTTTGTTTTTGTTTTAAACTATTCCCTATTCCTCGAGCAAACTACTACACAAGTTACCAAGACCAATGATCAATTGATTGTTGTAAAGAAAAAAATAGTTAATAACAAGTTTGAAACCTGTGACTTTGGAATAGATCATTCACTTGGAGAACTTGGTCGCCCTTCATCTGAGCATGTTGCAAGCGCAACATCAGATTCCAAAGCCATTTGATTATTGAGAAGAAGCATACTTCATATTTGTTGGGAATTTCCCGTGTTAAAACAATTGTTCTTAAACCTACCTGTACACGAACGTGGCCTCTGGATCTATAGGACACTGCGAGATAGAACCTACCCCGTCCATCCATGGAGTACCGAGCTGGTTGAAACCATGCCAGTGAATGGTCACCCCATCTGACATAAGTTTATTCTTCACGTGTATTACGACCTATGGTAAGCAATTAGATCACAAAGAAACTTTAAGTTACAACTCGGCGAAAAGAAATAGGACGGATACAAATTCTGAAAAAAGATCTATTCTTTGTCTTTATCAAGCCTGTTACTTATTTTACACATATTTAGACCAATCAATGTATGAGAAAAAGAGATAAGAAATACACTATCAATATTTCATATGAATTTGTAAAAACTGAACAACGTAATGATACTGATACTGATAAGAAAATATCACGACAATGAAGAACGTTCAATATTAACTATACAGTATCCCTATAACGAAAACACGATAACCTAACTTTATCATCAAATAGATATATCACGATTTACACTAAATACAGTATCCTGATGGATTTATTACTTATTTCACTTACTACAATATTCCCACCAAAAATACGTATTACACTAACTACAGTGTCCCCATAATGATTGTACGTTACGTTTTAATACTTAATACAGATTTACGATAGATATTTACATTCACTGCAGTATCTCATAAATTTATCACGCATATATTAACTACAGTGTCCCCATAGATATACTCTCTGTACATTAACTATCCCCACAATGCATCTATGTACCTCTTGACCTTGGTATACCACCACGGAAGGTCCGGGCACCTGTTGGTTGATGGTGTACACTAATTTGTACCGTCCGTCTGCTGTGGTGACATTTTGTAGTTCTGTAATATATATATATAATTTACATAATTTACATGGTGAGTATCGTCGATGAGGTCTATCCAGAATCATTGATGTTGTTTTTTCTTTGTTTTTCTAGGTTATCCAAATTGATATCTTTCACATTCATACGTTTTTCCCCATCAGTGATTATAATGTTATTCTCAAAGGGTCACTATGAATGACTGATCTCTTGAAATATGTATATTAGATTACATGACCTTGCAGTGACATAGAAAACAATTTGGTGTTTACTAGTTCACATTCAATATTGACTGTTCAGATTCATATATTGTTCATTGCATTAAGACCAAAGCCCTTAATTAGCGATTTTAACATTAATAATTAATTCTCAAAAAGAGAAAACAAAACAATAAAGTGACACGAGAAACCATGAGCCGTAAAATGAAAAAAATTAATTACCCGTCTATGCTTTTCATGTATTTAGTCACACGATTCATGCTTTAAAACCTGTTTGTTGTTATTCTCATCATGTTCTCTACCTTCAGTGATTTTTTTTAGATAAAGTGTGTTAGGGAATTTATGTGGAAGACGATACACATATACCTGAAGTATGTAATCACATGAGCATGGTATTAACAATGACAGTCCCTGTACGTGTTGTTCAATGTCTCGTGATATGTGCCCTGTATGTAAATGACTCATCCCAAACTGAACGAGCATCAAACTAATTACCATCCCCGCAACCTTCAATGTGTGTTTATTCAGAGTTGAAAGCATTACAATCGGAGTCTGATCTTGTTAATATGCCTATTAAGGATAATGGAACCAAATAACCATACTTTTTTTTAGTAAAAACACTTTATCTGAACAAAGTATTTGATACCTTCATCTGTTAGCAGTTCAAAGGTGTTGCATGTTTCCCGTCTGTAAAGTGTTTCGTTCATTATGACCACTGGTTTACCCCTGTGACTCTCATTTACATAGTAAACCATGGTTTCTTTAAAATCGATTGTCCAGAAGAATTCGCACACCTTCACGTCTGGTCCACAACTAGGGGTTACTTCCTTTTCAAAAAACGAGCCGGTGACTGCTGTCACAAGACAGATGGTAAAGAATGGAGTCATCATATTGTCCTGTGATAAAAAACAAAGGTTCTTCATTATAATCGTTATTATAACCTGCATGATCTCCAATCCATATAGTACTCACATATCGATACATGTGCACGTTCTGATAACATTTATAGTTCCGCCTTTCAAAACTGATGAAGATTATACAGCATAAGATACAGTTGAGACAAGTGATTAATTTAACTACATTACATAGACATAGATTACTTATCATTGAGTGACTCTATGGTCATTCAAGTGAAAGAAGAACAAAAAAGAATATCAAAATCAAGTTTTGGAAGTGCGCTAGCGACCCGCCCCCTTTCCCATCCTCCATTATTTAACTACACTTTTTGACCAGGAAACAAAACAATTTACTGTTTGCTGTCCCTATCTCCAATTTCGTAGTTAATTCAGACGAAATTATGCAGATGTATCATGTCTATTTTTCCCCACCTTTTTTTGTATGACGCCGCATCCTCCTAAAGAAAGAATTGCTTATATGACTTATTTTTGCGAAAAACATTTGTATAAAAAAATTGTATTCAATCAAGACAGAGCAGCAAGAAGTATGATCATCGCAGATCAGTAGTAATGAGATAAAATCTAGCTAAAACCAGGAAAATGAAACATGTCTCACACAAAACATTATTATTAGACATGAGATCAAAACATCTATAAAGTCAAAAACATTGATAGTTACACAATGTAAAATAAATGTTGACATGTTATACTTAATTATTGAAAGATTCTTTATAAAGTCAATATGATAGAAATGAGAAATCAAGACATATCAGACTATTAGTACGAAAGAAAAGCAAGAAAATACCAACATGTCAACATAATTGTCATTCAAATTCAAATTAAATAAAACTAGATTGGAGATTGGCCAACGCCTTAATACCAAATAAATTTGAATAAGAATATAGCTTCAGAGAGCAGGAATTTTAGTGACACCACCCTACCAAGTTATTCTGAATTAAAACAGAGATTAGTTCGTAATTCCTATCCAAAACGTCTCTGGATAATTAAAACAAAAAGGTTTTCATTTGAATCGAAAATAACATAGCAAAAACCTTAATGAAAAGCGATTCAAGCAGGCGTTTCCGGAAAATAGCCATGCATGTGACATGCAAGAAGTGATAAATATTTTCCTGAACTCCCGACAGAGTTCTCAACTTTTCTGAAAGAGCAATTTTTCACCCACACGTCATCGAAAGAAAACAAATTTTGACAACGATATTTAACCCTGTTAACTGTGGAAACCAAAGCTAGATATTCCGGTTTAATTTCAATTAGATTTTTTGATAATGATAAGGTTGTTCATATAATTAAGTGATACCATTTTTTAACATTTTAGAATATCGGGAAAATATTGTATTTCTATTTTGAAGATAATACAATAAAAGTATACATTGACATACTTTGTGTTACCTTACATCTATATAAATCAAGAATACACTTCTCTGAAATGAATCTCATGTGGCTGGGCGTGTTCGGTGCCTGTTGTTTGCCTCCTGGTTCCATTGTTTTGTGCCTTGTTCTTATTTGAGAACGTGATATTTACCTGCTTGGATGGACCAAGATTTGCAAAGCGGGTATTGTCGATGAAGCAAAGGACGATTACACTTCGGAAACACCTGGTTTATTTCTCCTTGTACTTTTTGAGGGACCTCCGTGTAAATCTTACTTTCGTTGCCCTAGCTTTATTGAACTTGAGTTTGGATTATTATTATATTGTTAGATTAGTATGTTTTTCATAAATGTTTTTGACTATCACATACTTTTTATTGCCTTCAGGGAATGGGCTTATTTAATTTACGATCTATCTATCACTTGATACCTCTGATTTACTTTATACCCTGTCGTCTGTTCAGATATTCGCATTAAGTATCAATAAATACACTTGATATTTTCTTTCAAACTTCTCTTAAAAAATTCTTTAGAAATAAACATAAAATACTTATAAACGACAATAATAATTTCAATGAAAATTAATTAATTAATAAACAAATAAAAAAATTCCAGTGAACTTTGATCTCAACAACTTTACATACGCGGAATATTTCATATTGGTATAGGTTAGATTAAACAACGACTGGTCACACATTTTATTAAAATTCCAGCTTAATAAAACACTGTATTCAATATTTTTTGAAATAGTATTCTGTTAAAAGGCATGCAAATTTTATATCATATCCTGCCCAAAATAAATATCAATACACACTCTTTTCCTTTGTGATTAGACTGGTTATTTTGCTAACTCCAAGACAAAGAAATGCGTTAAAAACTAACTACTTTGCAGTCCTAAATAAATATTATCACACTGAATTCAACTGGTCAAATTTTAGTTCAAAATAAATAAAAAATAACTCAATCTTTATCAAATAATAATTGTATTAATATGCGCTCTATTGCAATGTATTGTTTTACCATTACACACCAACATTGAAGATATCTTTAATTTATGAACTTACATTGGGACGGAGATTGCAAACATCGCCGAGCTTCAAAGTGTAGCAGCCATGGATTTAAATCACGCAGTTTAATATGGTAGTATATGTGAACATGTGATCAGTCCGACAGAAAGTCACGAGATTTCTTTTTCTGAAATTTTATCTCCCGGTCACAATGGAGAGCCGGTCATTTACATATAAAAATATCATGTGAGCACTTGTCAATGAACTTTTAATTATGCATAAACCTGCGAGACATGTTGTAAAATATGTAAATAATAGACTTACGTAAACAGAAGATAAATCTGGAGTTTAAGTCTTATTCTCCATGTACTTTTTCATGAGTCTCCGTGTGAATATATCTTCTGTTGTTGTTGTGTCGCTAATTTTTTAAAAGTAAATAAATAAAATCATTTTGCTTGCAAGCATCAAGTACACTTGTACTTATTTGTGTTATGAAAGACATAACTTTGTAATACTGATAACAATGACACAGCTGATTGTTGATGATCAATCAAACCTTCAGTAAATTCATCACATAAATTGGACAAACTTTTCGCCGCCAGATTACTTACTTTAAAATGTGACGATCCTTGTGACATTCTGAAATCCAGAAGCCTGACAATGGCTATTGCGATACAAGGTTAGCTGAATAATCTGAAGTTTGAAATAAGATATTAGATTATGACACTGTATTACAGCATTGTAGAGTCAGGCAACCAATGAAGACTCAAAAAAAGTAAAATGACGTTTTTATAAGTAGTATTAGAAAATTTGATTCAGTTCTGACGAATCTTTGCAAAGTAACTTTGTGTGAGCGGACTAGTTGAAATAGGATAACAGCGGTCAACATCCGATGTCTCATTCTAATGCAATGCGATATACAGAAGAAAAATAGTTTTTTATTTATCCATATCTTTTGTACAACCTCCGAGGCCCTTTTTACAACTGACAAGTCCTAGAAGGACGAAAAAACTGTACAGCTCTACAGTATCGAGTTAAGTTTGTATTGAATGCGCTTTTGACTAGTGTGTCGTTTGTACACTCTTAAGTACTGTAAAAGCATGCTTATGGTTATCCAAAGGAAAAATTATCGAAAAACTGCAGGATGGAAATGTCACATTATAACAGAAAATGCAAGACACATCGACGAAACATGAAACGTATATGTCACATAAATGTTTATTATACAAAAGTGTTACACTGAATCGTCATTAGATATAGCATTAGTCACCTTTTATCAACATTTCATTTTTCCTTTAATTTTACAAACCATTACAGAAAAATCATCTGTGCAGCATTAAGTAATTCTATATTTGCGAGACTCTTCTTTGTGTAGCATTTCGAGTAAAGTGAAATCGTCGTTACCTCATAATATCTGTACAACAATCAGTATAAATCATTACACTGAAACTTTCCTGTAATAATGGTATGAGGGTAATAAAATTTTCATACAGCGGGGAGTTATATCTGACTGTTGCCCTCGTTCTATTTCGGTACAATATCGTCTTGGCTGTTAGTGTATCGGAGAAATCAGTCCTACATGTTTCTAAATCATCTTCACGTCTAGTTAATGTCTTGAACACAAATAAGGGTGTGTATACATGCTTTTACGAGTATTTTTATTTAAACACAACACAAATGTCTCTGTTCTGTAAGAAAGACCAATGATATGTGAATAAATTTAAGGATATAAGATGTACAGTATACAGCATGCCTGATATAATCAACATTATTAAGGGAGAAGCTAAATGATAATGATGATTGATATCAAGTAGTCAGAACCAATTAATTCTATACTTTTGTAACTGAGAGTAATATCTAGTCATTGTAAATCAAAATCAAAGGCAGATACTGTTGTCAAAGAAATCATTTTCGTTTTTAATATACTCATGACATGAATTTACATCTGTGACACTGGAAGACTAGCTGATTAGAATATTTAAGTTTTGTAGGAAGAAAATTTAAAAGCGAATGTCCTTTGCTACAATTACATCCATTTCACAACGATATTTTGTTGAATAGTATCATAATCATTTTACTGATTACTAAACGGTGTTTGAAATTAGATTTTTAAGTTGTTGGCGTTTCTTAAGTTATAATGATATAAATATATATATTCTTTTCGCGAAATTTATATATGATACAAGATAACTCTATACCATTATTGTGACAACACTATAACCCGTGAACTTAGACCTGGTGTCACTGGTTGATTTTCCTACCCTACACACCAGTGTTATAAACGAAATAATCCTTGGACTAGAGACATAAATAATTAAAATTTCCTATAAAACCAAAACCTCAGAAAGGAATTAATAGAATGTAATAGATACTGTTGTCGTTTTTCATGACGCTACTGGACGTAGTGAAATGGTTTCTTATAATCCGACATTGCAGTAGGCATTGTAAAGTCTTAGACCGGGATAACTATTGATCATTGTCTGTACTACCTTACACAACACAGTGTTCATATTTCAATTGTGATGTTACGAACTCGTTGACTCTGCTAATCACAGAAATCGACAAAGCGGAAGTCAGGACCAGGGTAGTTTGATAAAC